CCCGGGTCTTCGGCGTGACGAGCCAACGCTTTAACCACCGCCCCAACGCTACCCCACCGCCCCAACGCTACCCCACCGCCCCACGTATGTTCTGAATCTTTACTATCTTTATATAACATTCGGATGCATATGATGTGACCAATATTTTATGTCGCATTACCAAACGTCCTTTAAAATATGCGTTGATTATATACATATATATGACATATCAACAGTAACACACAAAAATAATTCAATGGCATTGAATATGATGAAATGAACAAAATTCATTTACAGTAGGTCTACAGTTATGTGTTAATTTTAAATTCCTGATGCTTCAGTATTTCCATACTGGGCTGATATATTTTTGAGGTTGTATCCATTTCTATAAAAATGCATATTTCTTAAATTAAGTCATACTTTGGACACAGAAAGAAATAATGTAAATTATCTTCACAAATGGCCCCACAAGAACAAGATGGGTCATTAGATATAAAACGATTAACTTTGTGCGATTTCAGATCACTACATTCTAATCGAAATCTAATTTGAGTATCTGTTTCCAAAATTTGTATCATATGCAAATTTAATACCTAGGTTGTGTGGCACCTATCTGGGAAAGACATAGGAGGTTGTATTTGTTTAATATCATCTAGTAAAAGGTTCCAAAGTTCTACAGTGTTTGGTAGGAAAGAGTTACTGTAGAAGGTTGTTCTTCTTCAAAGAACGTTTTGTAAATTTGCTGAATTTCTCAAATCACAGGAAATATTCGCAGATACGGGTTCTGGAAGCATATTAGATAAATAGCTGGGTGCTTCATTGTGTATCATTTTATGAAAAATGTTTAACTTTTGTACATGTCTTCTTTCAGCTAGAGGTCGGAGATCAGTTTCTTCATACAATTTATTATGGTTTGCACCGCGTGTTGCCCCACACATAGTTCTTAAAGCATCAAGTTGTAATATTTCTAACATATTTTTTATGATTCATTGTACACTTGTCCCATATGTTGCTGCAGTAATCAAACAAAAGTAATATGAAAGATGTATACATGATAGTACGAGTGTTTCGTGATAAACGATATTTAAAACTTCTCAAGCAGTTTGTCATCGGTGAACCGATATCTACATTGCTATTTATTTGTGAGGTCCAATTTCCGTCTCATTGAAGGACGAGTCCTAAATGTTTATTTGATATTTACCTCTTTAATAGGGATACCTTGCACTGATAACTGGGGTTTTATACACGGTGAACGTTTCTTCCTACTTTGTATACTTTCTGTTTGTTTTTTATTTCAGGATTAAACCTAACTTGCCAAGTTTTAGCCCATTGTGATATTTTCTCTAAATCGTCGTTTAAGCTCATAACTGCTACACTTGGATCATCTATGAGAACATAAAGTGACATAGTGTAATGTTACAATCTATATCATCTACAAGATCATTAATGTATATAAGAAATAACAGCGGTCCTAATACTGATCCCTGGGGCACGCCTGCTAGTACAGGCTTATATTCTGAATTAAATCCATTTATAAATACTTTCTGTACTCTGTCATGAAGATAACTATCGAACCATTTTAGTAGACTACCACCTATTCCAACAGTCAGAAGTCTCTGATGCCATACCTTTTCAAAGGCTTTGCTGATATCGCAGAATACAGCCTTTACCTCCTTACCCTCATCAGGTGAACTTGATCATGTAAAATCATATAAATCTATCAACTGATAACTAGTCGAATCTCCAGGGGTGAAACCAGATTGCATCTTAGTTATGATATCGTCGTCTTTGAAGAAATTATAAACATATTAATGTAACACATTATTCAAATACTTTTGATACACAACTCGTCAGTGCTGCAGGTCTTTAGTTGCTACAGTCATAAATGTTACCTTTCTTGTGGATGGGAATTACCGATCCTTTCTTCCATATTTCAGGGAAAGTACAAGTCTTTCAAATATTCTAAATACATTTGTGATCTGAAGGCAAGTTAAGGTGTAAACATATTGCCTGTTGTCCGATTCATTTTTTGTTTTTGAAAATACACATTATTTGAACCTCAGTATACACACTTGGGTTATATTTTAGCGAGGTGAAAATGGTTTAACGACACGTTCAGTATTAATGTACCTATACGAAGACGTACTGAATCCACTTAAGGCAGGGCGAACTGAATCCACTTAAGGCAGGGCGACATCAAGTACCATGTTTTAATACTGCGTCCGGGGATCGAAACACTGACCCTCCGCTCTCCAGCCATTGGCTCTACCCACTTGACTATGGATGTGGCCATTTATTCCTCTAACTAGACTACAAGGAAGCCTTTATCTGAAGACCTCTAATATTTTCCTGTGATGTTTAACAGGGCCTGGTCTAAATCTTGTAAGTAGAATCCCCAGTCATCTGTCCATAAGTTAGGTCAAAAGAGAATCGGTGTTAGAATTGGCCTTCAGCTACCTGTGCTTGTAACAGACGACTAACGGAATCAAGCGGGTGGTCAGGCTCGCTGACATGGTTGACAAAAGCCATCGTATCCCAGTTGCGTAGATCGATGCTCATGCTGTTGATCACTGGATTGTCTGGTCCAGACTCGATTATTTACAAACCCCCGTCATATAGCTGGAATATTGCCGAGTACAGCGTTTTAACAACCAACATACCAGGTCAGTGGATAGAACTGAGAAGTCCACAGACTGCAATATCTGTCTCATGTATGTGATGTAAGAATATAATGTCTTCCATGCCCTTATTGCGTACCAATTACAAATATTTGTCTCCCGGTAGTAATGCCATCTTTTCAAATCACTTTCCTGAACTGAAAAAGAGGTATATGCACCAGGAAAGGAAAGTTCACTGTAAAATGATTTTACAAGGTTGCATTCCTCCCGAAAATTCATGTCAGAATTGGTCTTCTGCAACCCACGTTGGTCGTAAGAGGCGACTATTGGTGGTCAGACTTACTGTGCACATCAGCCTATCCCAGATCGATGCTCATGATGTCAATCACTGGATTAGCTGGTCCGAACACGCATATTAACATACTGCCGCCATATAGCTGGAATATTACTGTGTGTCGTTAACAACAACCTAGCAATATGCTGATTAAATCTTTTATCAGTGATGGTGTAAAGAGGCAGCTGGCCCAGTCAAGCTGTAAGCAGTTATGTCCCTTAGACGGACCAGAAACCTAAAATCATTGGTTTGGATCCAGAATTCGCCCTGGTAACGTTTCTAGGATTGAAAAGCAGGGACGGCCAGGTAACCCTTGGACTTCATGATTTATGTGCACCCCCGAAATCCTGGATCCGCCCATGTGCTTTATACCCAGACAGCACTACAGTATAGCTGTACCCAGTGATACATGGCTTTCGGGACCTATTGTCCAAAATAGAAAACATACTGATGAAAACAAGCAGTTGTCACTAAGGTGACATAATCCCCCGCCGCAAAATTAATCAAACGTAAAAGGTAATGAAAGTGAAGGTCGTTGTTTAAGATGAAGTTAAATGTCAACAAAAACATGACCAGTCAACATTTTTTGATATCTTGCTCTGGAGTTGTTCAAACACACAAATATTTTCAAGACTTACTTTCACCTTGACATGAATGTCATGGTATATGAAATATGCAGAAAATAGTAATAAAGATATTGCTTATAAAAAAACATCCAAGAGAAGTCTTGAAAGTCAATGAAGAAAATCCAGTGGACCGTTCTTGAGATATCTTGCTGACAATCTTAAGATTCTGAAATCTTCAGAGTGTCGCCGTGACCTTGAAATTTACGTGAAGGTCACCACAATCGACTGAGACCTGCCCCTTCCCTAGATGAAGCTTGGTGTCAAATATGAAGAAAATCTAGAGAATGATTTTTGAGGTATCTCGCTGACAAGCTTAACATGCAGATTAACATGTTGAAATCTTCAAAGTGTCGCTGTGACCTTGAAAATTATGTGAAGGTCACCAAAATCGACTGGGCCCTGCGCCTTTCCCAGATAAAGCTTGGTGTCAAATATGAAGAAAATCCATAGAATGGTTCTTGAGATATCTTGCTCACAAGGGTAAAACGCTAAAGTCCCCTTGTGACCTTGAAATGAACGTCACCAAACCTGACTGGGACCTTTCTTATACTGTGATGAACCTAGGTACCAAGTATGAAAAGAATCTAGTCAACAGTTCTTAAGATATTCCAATTCGTACGTACGGACAGAGCCTAATACTATATCCCTCCTTCTAAACTCAGAGGAGGATAACAATAAACAAGTGCTTGTTGAAATATGACCACACCCATGCTTATCCACAAAATCATTTTAACCATCCAATCTCCAGCCTAGTTACCATAACAATAGGCTCTTATTTTAGTTTGTTTGTTGTTCAAGTTGCACTCAGCAATATTCCAGCTATATGGCAGTGGTGTGTAAATAATCAAGTCTGGATTAGACAATCTGGTGATCAACATCATGAGCATCGGTCTACCCAGTTGGGATACGATGACACATCAGCAGTGATGAATAACATAACGAAGACAGAATCAGATCACCTCTATTTTTCAAAACATCATTGCAATATTTCATGACATTTACATCCGAACAATTTCATTCAAATTCAATACATTTACACACATTACAAATACATTTAAACAGTCAATCAGAACAGTACAACTCAATTTTCCCACATTTACAACTATTTTCAATATGTATATGCAAGAGCTGACATTGTAAAATGTTATGCTGATAAAAATGGGAATTGTCCCTTAAAACATGGACATAAAACAAATGCATGAGCCAACTAAAATACTCTGACTACAGGGGCGGTGGGGTAGCCTAATGGTTAAAGCGTCGGCTCGTCACGCTGACGACCCGGGTTCGAATCCCCACATGGGCACAATGTGTGAAGCCCATTTATGGTGTCCCCCGCCTTGATATAGCTGGAATATTGCTAAAAGCGGCGTAAAACCAAACTCACTCACTCTGACTACAATAATGAAATAGATTCATAATGGTTTGGTAAGAATTGACTTTTTAAAATCTGGTTTACAAATCCTCAAAACTGAAATAATACAAATGGCAACATGTTTATATTCTGAATACCACAAGTAAAATGTTGAAAACCCATTTACTATCGGTATCAACATATATCTATTATTCAAAATACAATAATTAAAACTTCCATGAAATAAATCTTAAAAACTTCAAAATAAAACAAAGTATGAAGAATCGCAACACATCCAAGTCTCTTATAGAACAGAACTTATTTCTTTTCCTATTCATCCTGTCCCAAAATCATTTTAACAAATCTATGTCACATTTTGAGGTATTAGTTGTTTTATTTGAAGTTTTTATTTCAATATATTTTCCACCTACCAACCCAAACATTTTAGCCAAAAATTCATAAAACAAACAAACATCTTGCCCAATGGGCATCATCAGGTTGTAAACAAAAGTTGAGATTAAAACAGGTTAAATTTACATCAAGCAAACACAAAATTTAGAATTGGATTGCATACACAAAATGGAAAAATAGCTGACTAGGATGTTTAATCAATTTTACAAATTATTACTAGGCAAGGTATACATTGCCATTAGATTAGTCTGATGTTGTTCCCAATGCTTTCAGCAACATCTATCGCAAACATATACTCATGGAAACAAATAAAGGAACACACGAAAGTGCAAGTGTTCCTCTACTCTTTTCCGGGTTTCTTGCCATGCTTTATAATTATATTGCAATGTGGGTGAAAATCTGGAAATAGATAAAGGAACACTTGTACTTTCATGTTTTCCCTTATTCGTTCCCATGAGTATATAATGATGGATAAACAACACGATAAAATACAGGACACGATAAAAAACAGGAACTGACCAGAATTGGGACGACACCAACAGAGGTAGTGATTCACTGGTAAGAAACATGAATCATCCAAATCATTCCTTGTTAACAGGGGAGATAATTTAACTGAGTCACCAAGTATCTTCATTATTATGAATGTGACACTTCAGCTTACCAGAAATGCTCACTTGATAATGGTGTTATTCTCTACCTCAAAACGTTGCATTCAGTGTAGTTAAAGAAGTTGTTTGCCTATCAAATCATCTCAGTTGTTCACAATAACTAGTAAATGTCATATAAATATCTTTCTGGTCAAGTTGTGAAATTCACAAAGTATTATCTCCATATCATGATAGACATCCAGTAAGTGTTATCTAAATATATTTCTGGTCAAGTTGGGAAATGCACAAAATATTATCTCTATATCATGATAGACATACAGTAAGTGGTGAGAATATTTGGTCATCAGCTATGTCCAACTCCCAATACCCCTGCACTGTGAAGCATGTGATATCTAATGTGTTAATGTTCCAGTATTTTATAAGGCAGCTTGGGTTGCATCCTCCCCCAGGGAGTTGATAATGAAATTCAACTGCAAATTCATCCAATGATGAGTGGAATGATACAAGTGGCAACATGTAAATGTGTACCATCCAAGAACACATGGGTGATAACCTCTATATATTTCTTATGTGATGTCATTACTTGCTGCTGGGAGATGCAGCTGGGGCCAACGGGTAGCCTAGTGGTTAAAGTGTTTGTTTCTCACACTGAAGAGCTGGGTTCGATTCCCTACATGGGTACAATGTGTGACACCCATTTCTGGTGGCCCCCTGCTGTGATATTGCTTGAATATTGCTAAAAGCAGCATAAAACTAAACTCACTCACTCACTCTGATGCAGCTGAACTTGTATCACAGCTCATTGATGTGGAGTCACAGAACACCAGCATACAAATCTGTCGACAGTGTCGTGGCATCGTAACTGCTATGTGGAAAACTTGCCTTGTATAGCTTTCAACGTATCAACTGAAATTTCTGTTTCATGTTATCACTGTTTACAAATACATAACTCCATTCTGACATTTTCATGTGATAATGCAAGTCTGGTAGTCTTCAGGTACCGGTTGATGATTACCTTTAGATACAAGAATAAGGTAAAACAGATCATCTTAAAATCAGAAAAGCAGTTAAATACATCATCTGTTAAAACTGTCATTAGGAATAACATAATGTAAAATAAGAATAACTACATATTCTAGTTCTTTCTTGTAAAACTCAAAAGTTAAAGATAAAACATGTACTATTCTCAAGTTCCGCTTGGTAGAAGACTGAAGTAAAAGATCAATGACTATACACTACTCTGACATCAATTGTTTTCACGGTAAACACATGAATTAAACATCAATAACTATTTATCACTGTGTAGAACACGCATCTCAGTACGTCCGGATGATGGTCACGCATGCTTGTTCCAGCATCTACAGCTTGGACAGGGTGGAGCCCTTCAGTAGCCCCCTGAGGTGCTTGTAGTAGACCGGATGAACCTGCAAGTAGATAAAACACTTGTAGTCAGCAAGAAGGGCTACTGGAGCTCACCTTGAGCAAAATGACATTTTACATCTGAAAAACTTGACGAACACTTATAGTCGGCAAGAAGGTCTACTGGAGCTCACCTTGAGCAAAATGACATTTTACAGCTGAAAAACTTGACGAACACTTATAGTCCGCAAGAAGGGGTACTGGAGCTCACCTTGAGCAAAATGACATTTTACAGCTGAAAAACTTGACGAACACTTATAGTCGGCAAGAAGGGCTACTGGAGCTCACCTTGAGCAAAATGACATTTTACAGCTGAAATACTTGACGAACACTTATAGTCGGCAAGAAGGGCTACTGGAGCTCACCTTGAGCAAAATGACATTTACAGCTGAAATACTTGACCTAACACTTATAGTCGGCAAGAAGGGGTACTGGAGCTCACCTTGAGCAAAATGACATTTTACAGCTGAAAAACTTGACGAACACTTATAGTTGGCAAGAAGGGCTACTGGAGCTCACCTTGAGCAAAATGACATTTTACAGCTGAAAAACTTGACGAACACTTATAGTTGGCAAGAAGGGCTACTGGAGCTCACCTTGAGCAAAATGACATTTTACAGCTGAAAACTTGACGAACACTTATAGTTGGCAAGAAGGGCTACTGGAGCTCACCTTGAGCAAAATGACATTTTACAGCTGAAATACTTGACGAACACTTATAGTCGGCAAGAAGGGCTACTGGAGCTCACCTTGAGCAATATGACATTTTACAGCTGAAATACTTGACAAACACTTTAAATACTCCAAACAACTGACATCTAAACAATAACATCTGAAATCCTCCACAAAAGCCAAACATTTCAGTATACAGTATCCCTTAGAAGTAACAAAGCTAACCTGAGTCTTGTTCATGGGTTCCTTCAGGGCAGACTGGTAGAGTCGCTCGTACACGTTGCCGTCGTAACATCCCAGCGCAGAAAGGAGGTGGACGTCATGAAGATCCAAAGCATCCACCAAAGAAACAGCATCAGGTCTGAATACACAGAATGTAATGTCTGAAATCATTTAATCCTAACGCAGTCTAAGAAAATCTGTTTTATTTCCACTCTGGCGCCTAAATCTACTGACAATAACTACTGACCAGCAATATAATGTCGGTGTCATGTAGCCTCTGTTGCTTGCGTTCACTATATAACACACCATCTGCTGATTAGGTATATATCTGTCTACCAGCCTATCCCCAACCAGAGTCAAGTCTCAATGTTTCCAAATCTGTCCATCCCCAATCACCTTGTGTGTATAATCACAATATTGTTACAAAAAATGCCCTTAAACCTTTTACCATTACAGCCTTGATCAACACAAATGACCATCAAATGCAATCACCGAGTTCTTCCATGACTGAAACCCATGAAGATCTGGGTTAGAATTGGTCTTCAGCAACCCATGCTTGTCACAAGAGGCGACTAACCGGATCAGGTGGTCAGGCTCAATCTCCACGTCAGTCGTGACGTTGTTCATGATCTAGATGTCAATTTTGATACACAATTTTTATTTGACTGTATACAGACTCATTGTCAAGCCAAAATATAGCTCCATAATTTCAGCCTAGTTTGTAAAGGGTGGAAACTGCATGTATATAGTCAGATATCTCCCTTGCTCTGCTGGGATGAACGTAGTCCTGCGTGTCATCTCACCTGATCTCAGCCAGGAGCTGATACTCCACACTTCTCAACATCTCCATCTGGGCAAGATTCACAGATTCTGTCTGAAAAATACAGAACACACAAGGCTTAAAACACACACAAACCTCTTGAAGCTAGGCACCATCTTGTTGGTGCTAATAAAACAATGTTTGCCTGTAAGAATGTCTTCCAGTTAATGCCTCACAAAGTCTGCTATGAAAGTACTCTAAGCAAGTAAAGTAATACAGTGTACTGTCAATACCGGCATCACACGGGACCAAATAAAAATGCCGGTTTTGACAGAGTGCCGGTTTTGGCAGGTTGCAAGTTCTCACGCCCTCGCGATCCAGTACACTGCATCTAACACCGTAATTGCTTTGCAAAGTTCATCAGTGCTGGAACATGTGTCCATTCTAGAGAACAGTGATCTTTGAATTGTTTTATGCTGTATAGTGTTTTCCATGATGTTAACCAGCCACCTGATGCACTTTTTGTTGAAGGGTCAACTCACAACTTGCACGTTTTGCCGGCCGAGGCATTTTGGCGATACTGACTATTACACTATTGACATTATACGATTTTACCTTAAATACCGCCAAAACAACTAAACTCTTGCTCGTTTTTACAGTCAAACTGCCCACTAAATGTATTAATTACTCTATGTAAGTGACACGTACCACTCACTAATTAACAAGAAACTGATTGACACTTCCCGTTTCTGAATAATCTCGGGAGTAACCGCGAATTGTGTTCTTACATCATTTGGACCATATTGCATCAAAGGGTTGTGCCATCCTTCATGTGCCGTTTTTTACAGATTCGTTTTCATAACAACTTGTTCGTTGGGACTGAAAAACAATGCCGATATCCTGAGTAGACAGATGCCGATGTTTACAGATGTTTCTAAATGATAATTAAGAAACTTTGTGCTGATGTAGACAGAGTGCCGGTGTTTACAGAGGCCGATATTGCCAGAGTCAACTGTACTAGAGTTGTAGCCCCAGCCAGAAGTGTGATCAGTATAGCTATTAAATCAGGATACTGCCCACATCCCCTAGAACACTACTACAACAGACAAGTTACCTTGACGACATCTAACGCCATTTCTAGCCTTGTACCATCATGTTGGAGAAGAGCTCTCAATGTTGTCATACAAAGTAACTTTAAACATTCAACATAACAATCAGTGTCTCGCAGTCATTACACAAAGCACATGGTCTGTCTAGCATTACATGTACCTCCAAGAAGTCTCCGCTGTTGTTTGAGATGCCGTACAGGGCATACAGGCAGCACAGCTTGTGTAGAACAGCCCCCAGTTCAGGTCGGACCTTGGCAGTCTCCACTCCCTCTACAAAACATTCCAGGGCATAGAACTGGCTGTGGACCTGTGCAAGATATGAAGGAAACAAAGCTAATGAGACATTAGACATGGATGCCTTGATACCATTGTTTAGTCAGAAACATTAGGTCAGTTAGCACTCAGAACCAACATTTCTTACATCCTGATTTGATTGTGTGGTGCAGACAAGTGAAATTAGTATTTTAAAAAAACTTAAACTAAGTGTTGAATCTTTCCAGCATCTTGGAAGTCAGCCTGTATCTGATCAGATCTGAACCAAAACATCCAGTGATTGTGATTAAGAACACAGTTTTCACACGACTGTGGTACGACACCACAGTTGGAATTTTCACGTTATAGGTGACACACAATTTGGAGTATCAAGGTGTGGGTCAATACTTCAGTAGTCATGGCATACATCACCACATCAACAGTCCCAGGAGGGGAGATAACTCAATATCTGTAACATATGCATGCCACTAATTACTGTTGATTATTCGTGGATAAATCTATTTTGCATTTAACCAGAACAAATAGCACTAAACATAAACACAATGTGGGTCACTACCGCGTTAAAGTTTGACCAAGCGAAGATGATGTTGGTGACGACTGTCTATGATCCTGACTCCACAGACATACAATCAATTGACTAATCAAGGACTTACATATATTTTTCAATAAAAAGATTCCTGATTATTGTGCACAGGTAATGAAAGTGAGTGAGTATGATTTTACACCATTTATAGCAATATTCCAGCAATATCATGGTGGGGAAAGCAGAAATGGGCTTCACACACTGTACCCATGTAGGGAATGAATCTTTTGAGTAACAAAAGGGGGGGGCGCAGTGGGCGAGCTGGCTAAGGCGCCAGGCTAGTGATCCAGCGAGGTTGAGGTGTCGGGATCGAGCCCACCTGTGACCGGGTGTAAAAACCTTGGAGTCAACTTTGTGTGCAGACTCTTTCAGTGTTGTCACAACCCCTAGTGTACAGTACACAACCCTGTGCACTTAAAAGAACCCACGAATCCGTTGGTATATGACCAGATGGTGGCCACATGAATACGTGCAAACACCTAGTTGCGGGTACAGCAACGTGCAGTGAACTTGGACAAAATACTGTGACAATGTGTCCTAGTCCACCCAGTTGTGAATGGGTACCTCGTTAGGATGAGAAAGCCACAATAACTCAGTGCGCCTAGTGGCTGCAAGAGTTGTATACTCCCCAGGGAGTTGAGATTGATAATACGATGTGCCATTGAGATTGACATCCAATGATCGAGGGAAAAAAATATTAGCGCCTTGAGCAAGCACTAGTTGCCTGGATATGTGCGCTATATAAGTATCATATAATAATAAAAAATAATAATAACAAGCGAATGCCTTAACCACAAGGCTACCCAACCATCCCTTTAATGAAAATGAAACATGAAAATTGTCTTTAGAGGTTAACCATTTGATAATGTTTTGGAGAGTGAAGATGGACAAACTTTATCCAAAAATGATCTTTTTAAAAATAATTGCTTCATACTGTTAAAAAGGAAAGAAGCTGACTTTCGGGAAACAATTATGTCATGTTTTCATTTCAAAAACTAAATATTTTGGCTCATATAATTAAGGTACAATTAAGATAACAGATGACAAAATATCTGGCCCTGCCAAAATATGAAGTGGTTGGTTCTTTTCAGAAAAACTGTTTGACGTATTCAGTGCCAGTGCTGTAAATGAAATATGCTGCATATAATCATCTTACCTTCCCTGCCCTGACTAGTCGGATCATGTTGTTGTTCCATGCTATATGTTGTTCCATCCCACTTGTCATGTCTGCGTGAAGCTTACGAGCAGTGCCGGTCACAATCCTGAACAAGTGAAAAGAAAAAAAAGAGTTACCCCCCTTTATATGTTTTTTTACTGTAGTTCTAAGTGCTTTGTCATTTTTGACAATCATATTCTCAGTCCTGTTTCACAAAACGATCTCAGTGTCACGATTCTGGTAAGTCTACATTAAAGCATAGGTGTTACGATAGTTGCAGTGCTATGACAGTTTTGTGAAACGAGGCCCAGGGTTTTAAACAGGCTTAGAAAATATGGAGTCAAGCTGACTACAGTCAATGCTTTTCGGAGTCATTTTCTAAATTTGTGAGTCATAACATATTGGGAAACAACAAAATTTCATTATTTATTCGAAATAAAGCAACGGCACTGAAAGCATATTTTGTGATATTGTGCTCTGTTGTAAGTAATCAGATGTAGCGCACGGTTATGTATTTGGTGGACTCTGTTAGATTCAAGGTACTCTTACTACCCCAAGAAATGACAAAACGAAGCTCCCAGCAGATGATGGTGCTAAAGATACCCGACTCATGTAGAAATATACACACTTGAATTATATTTGAGTGTGTTACAATATGAAACTGGGTTCTGTTGGATAAGAATAAATAAAAGGATGAAATTGTCTACTTTCTAATTTGACAGTTTCGTTACAGAACAGATTTTATCGCATTTACCCAGGACCAAAGCCACTTACTATGTGGCATGACGTGGAAGCTGTACATAGTCTCTAAGCAACCCTAAACATGCAGCTGAACAGTAACTACTTGTCTCTGCCAAGTAGCTCACGGAATCTCCCTGCTTATCCCTCTATGGGGCGGTGGGTTAGCCTAGTGGTTAAAGTTCTCGCTACCTAAACTGATGTCAAGGGTTTGAAGCCCATTTCTGATATCCCCCCTTCCATGATATTGCTGGAATATTGCTAAAAGCGACGTCAAACCATATTCACCCACTCTCCATCTCAGAAAGTGTCCATGAAGGAGATTTTATTCCACTTCATGTGGTTATTTGGTCTTTGTCAAGTATGAAAGTTTGTCTCCAAAGAGTGAGTGAGTGAGTGAGTTTAGTTTTACGCCGCACTCAGCAATATTCCAGCTACATGCAGGCGGTCTGTAAATAATCGAGTCTGGACCAGACAATCCAGTGATCAACAGCATGAGCATCGATCTGCGCAATTGGGCATCGATGACATGTGTCAACCAAGTCAGCGAGCCTGACCACCAAATAATTCACTAGCCCGAAAATTTGAACGTAGTAACAAAGCAAAAGATTACAACATGTAAAATACCATAAAAAACAAATGACCCCATGAAAATTCACTAGCCAGTCGGGCCAGTGACTGTGGAGATTTACTGGCCTGACTGGATTTTTATGAGGCACAGGCTATCGGGCCAGAGGTTATTTTGCACACTGATGTTGTCTATGTATTCCATCTGATGTGAAAAGACATGATTCCCAGAATATTGTCATGTTTTACCCTGCTCTGTGGGAAGAATTCTGGACACTGAACAATATGTACCTTTAGTTTAACCCTGAATATTTTGCTGAAACCCCTAATACATGGTGGATAGAACTGACAGTGATTACCCATAAGCTCTGTTTCTATAGATGTCCAGCAGTGTGCGAAGGTTCCTGCAGTTGTTGAAGTCCTGGATGGGACATATGTATCCTGGGTCAGCAGCCAGGTAGGACGATGAACCCTGCAGTTGCTGCCCAGACAGAGCATTGGCCACTTGCTTCATCAGATACCTGTAACAGACAGAAAGTGTCAGACAGAGCATTGGCCACTTGCTTCATCAGGTACCTGTAACAGACGGAAAGTGTCAGACAGAGCATTGGCCCCTTGCTTCATCAGATACCTGTAACAGACGGAAAGTGTCAGACAGAGCATTGGCCACTTGCTTCATCAGATACCTGTAACAGACAGAAAGTGTCAGACAGAGCATTGGCCACTTGCTTCATCAGATACCTGTAACAGACAGAAAGTGTCAGACAGAGCATTGGCCACTTGCTTCATCAGATACCTGTAACAGACAGGAAGTGTCAGACAGAGCATTGGCCACTTGCTTCATCAGATACCTGTAACAGACGGAAATGTCAGACAGAGCATTGGCCACTTGCTTCATCAGATACCTGTAACAGACAGAAAGTGTCGGACAGAGCATTGGCCACTTGCTTCATCAGATACCTGTAACAGACAGGAAGTGTCAGACAGAGCATTGGCCACTTGCTTCATCAGATACCTGTAACAGACGGAAATGTCAGACAGAGCATTGGCAACTTGCTTCATCAGATGCCTGTAACAACAGACTAAAAGGGTTAGAGCAATGGCCATTAATTGTCTGCAGGTACAACATAGTGTTGCTCCACTGTGTCACTCAACAAGCCATAATTGCACTACCTTCACTCACTCACTCACCTGGCCGTCTGTTGGTACAACACTGTGTTCTCTCCCTCCACCGTGGGGAGAGTCATGGCACCCAGCAAGTACCCACTGACCATCTGTACACTACCTTCACTCACTCACCTGGCCATCTGCTGGTACAACACTGTGTTCTCTCCCTCCACCGTGGGGAGAGTCATGGCACCCAGCAAGTACCCACTGACCATCTGTATACTACCATCACTCACTGACTCACCTGGCCATCTGCTGGTACAACACTGTGTTCTCTCCCTCCACTGTGGGGAGAGTCATGGTACACAGCAAGTACCCACTGACCATCTGTACACTACCATCACTCACTGACTCACCTGGCCGTCTGCTGGTACAACACTGTGTTCTCTCCCTCCACCGTGGGGAGAGTCATGGCACCCAGCAAGTACCCACTGACCATCTGTACACTACCTTCACTCACTCACTCACCTGGCCGTCTGCTGGTACAACACTGTGTTCTCTCCCTCCACCGTGGGGAGAGTCATGGCACACAGCAAGAACCCACTGACCATCTGTACACTACCTTCACTCACTCACTCACCTGGCCATCTGCTGGTACAACACTGTGTTCTCTCCCTCCACCGTGGGGAGAGTCATGGCACCCAGCAAGAACCCACTGACCATCTGTACACTACCTTCACTCACTCACTCACCTGGCCATCTGCTGGTACAACACTGTGTTCTCTCCCTCCACCGTGGGGAGAGTCATGGCACCCAGCAAGTACCCACTGACCATCTGTATACTACCTTCACTCACTGACTCACCTGGCCATCTGCTGGTACAACACTGTGTTCTCTCCCTCCACTGTGGGGAGAGTCATGGTACACAGCAAGTACCCACTGACCATCTGTACACTACCATCACTCACTGACTCACCTGGCCGTCTGCTGGTACAACACTGTGTTCTCTCCCTCCACCGTGGGGAGAGTCATGGCACCCAGCAAGTACCCACTGACCATCTGTACACTACCTTCACTCACTCACTCACCTGGCCGTCTGCTGGTACAACACTGTGTTCTCTCCCTCCACCGTGGGGAGAGTCATGGCACCCAGCAAGTACCCACTGACCATCTGTACACTACCTTCACTCACTCACCTGGCCATCTGCTGGTACAACACTGTGTTCTCTCCCTCCACCGTGGGGAGAGTCATGGCACCCAGCAAGTACCCACTGACCATCTGTACACTACCTTCACTCACTCACTCACCTGGCCATCTGTTGGTACAACACTGTGTTCTCTCCCTCCACTGTGGGAGAGTCATGGCACCCAGCAAGAACCCACTGACCATCTGTACACTACATTCACTCACTCACCTGGCCGTCTGCTGGTACAACACTGTGTTCTCTCCCTCAACCGTGGGGAGAGTCATGGCACCTAGCAAGTACCCACTGACCATCTGTACACTACCTTCACTCACTCACCTGGCCATCTGCTGGTACAACACTGTGTTCTCTCCCTCCACCGTGGGGAGAGTCATGGCACCCAGCAAGAACCCACTGACCATCTGTACACTACATTCACTCACTCACCTGGCCGTCTGCTGGTACAACACTGTGTTCTCTCCCTCCACCATGGGGAGAGTCATGGCACCCAGCAAGAACCCACTGACCATCTGTACACTACATTCACTCACTCACCTGGGCATCTGCTGGTACAACACTGTGTTCTCTCCCTCCACCGTGGGGAGAGTCATGGCACCCAGCAAGTACCCACTGACTATCTGTACACTACCTTCACTCACTCACTCACTCACCTGGACGTCTGCTGGTACAACACTGTGTTCTCTCCCTCCACCGTGGGGAGAGTCATGGCACCCAGCAAGAACCCACTGACCATCTTTATACTACCATCACTCACTGACTCACCTGGCCATCTGTTGGTACAACACTGTGTTCTCTCCCTCCACCGTGGGGAGAGTCATGGCACCCAGCAAGAACCCACTGACCATCTGTACACTACATTCACTCACTCACCTTGCCGTCTGCTGGTACAACACTGTGTTCTCTCCCTCCACCGTGGGGAGAGTCATGGCACCCAGCAAGTACCCACTGACCATCTGTACACTACCTTCACTCACTGACTCACCTGGACGTCTGCTGGTACAACACTGTGTTCTCTCCCTCCACCGTGGGGAGAGTCAGGGCACCCAGCAAGAACCCACTGACCATCTTTATACTACCATCACTCAATGACTCACCTGGCCATCTGTTGGTACAACACTGTGTTCTCTCCCTCCACCGTGGGGAGAGTCATGGCACCCAGCAAGAACCCACTGACCATCTGTACACTACATTCACTCACTCACTCACCTGGCCATCTGTTGGTACAACACTGTGTTCTCTCCCTCCACTGTGGGGAGAGTCATGGCACCCAGCAAGAACCCACTGACCATCTGTACACTACATTCACTCACTCACCTGGCCATCTGCTGGTACAACACTGTGTTCTCTCCCTCCACCGTGGGGAGAGTCATGGCACCCAGCAAGTACCCACTGACCATCTGTACACTACCTTCACTCACTCACTCACCTGGCCATCTGCTGGTACAACACTGTGTTCTCTCCCTCCACCGTGGGGAGAGTCATGGCACTCAGCAAGTACCCACTGACCATCTGTACACTACATTCACTCACTCACTCACCTGGCTGTCTGCTGGTACAACACTGTGTTCTCTCCCTCCACCGTGGGGAGAGTCATGGCACCCAGCAAGTACCCACTGACCATCTGTACACTACCATCACTCACTGACTCACCTGGCCGTCTGCTGGTACAACACTGTGTTCTCTCCCTCCACTGTGGGAGAGTCATGGCACCCAGCAAGTACCCACTGACCATCTGTACCCTACCTTCACTCATCTCACCTGGCTGTCTGCTGGTACAACACTGTGTTCTCTCCTCCCTCCACCGTGGGGAGAGTCACACCCAGCAAGTACCCACTGACCATCTGTACACTACCTTCACTCACTGACTCACCTGGCCGTCTGCTGGTACAACACTGTGTTCTCTCCCTCCACCGTGGGGAGAGTCATGGCACCCAGCAAGTACCCACTGACCATCTGTACACTACCTTCACTCACTCACTCACCTGGCCGTCTGTTGGTACAACACTGTGTTCTCTCCCTCCACCGTGGGGAGAGTCATGGCACCCAGCAAGTACCCACTGACCATCTGTACACTACATTCACTCACTCACCTGGCCGTCTGCTGGTACAACACTGTGTTCTCTCCCTCCACTGTGGGGAGAGTCATGGCACTCAGCAAGTACGGTCCACCACCTGCCATCAGCATGTAGCCATGTCCCCCCATTGCCCGGCCTAGAGTCTCCAGGTAAACACAACCCTCTTCTGACAGCAGAGCCTTCAAGCAGGACGTCTGACTGTGAAGCTGAAGGAAAAACAGAAACATATTGCAGGAAGGGCATAACATGGGAGTTCTGCCCCTCTGCCAAACACTCCTCCTTGTAACTTTACTATCCACAAGTACCTTGCAGACAAAGGTAATTAACACCTATTCCCAGCTTGCATTACTTAATGAAATACATTTGTAATGACTGACTACTAGTTAACACCAAATTAAGCACCCTGTGAAAAAGGTGCTAATTTGTTGAACACTGGAAATAAAAAAATCTCATTTGCTTAATTTCCTAGGTATTTTAACACTGCAGTTTAACATAACATGCAATGCAATATGTGTGTGTGTGTGTGTGTGTGTGTGTGTGTGTGTGCATGCGTGCATGTGTGTACGAGTGTCTGTGTTTGTTTGTTGGTTAAAGATGAATTTTGACACCAAAAAAACAATCGAGATAACTATTATGATATTATGACAGTAACCATGGAAACAAAAGGACTGACCTCTGCCAGAAGCCGGTTGTTTCCACCTATGATTTCTTCATAAGCCTTCTCATACATGGCCGTCATGGTTGTCGTCACAAACTGGTAGGCATAGACTGCTGCCAGGGCCGGGAACAGCTTGTACTGCTGGGATTGGTAGCTGAGGATCTGCATCTCCTCGGTACTGTAAATAGAGGTGGCACAGTGAGTGAGTGAGTGAGTGAGTGAGTGAGTGAGTGAGTGAGTGAGTGAGTGAGTGAGTGAGTGAGTGAGTCAGTGAGTGAGTCAGTGAGTGAGGCAGTGAGTGAGGCAGTGAGTGAGTGAGTGAGTGAGTGAGTGAGTGAGTGAGTGAGTGAGTGAGTGAGTGAGTGAGTGAGTGAGTGAGTGAGTGAGTCAGTGAGTGAGGCAGTGAGTGAGGCAGTGAGTGAGTGAGTGAGTGAGTGAGTGAATTATTTCGGCATTATCACAGCTGGGGACACCAGAAATGGGCTTCACACAGACCCATGTGGGGAATCGAAACCGGGCTTTTGGTGTGACAAGCAAACGCTTTAATCACAAGGCTACCCCACTGCCCCTTTGTAAACAATGAGGGTGAAAGTGTAGAGATATACAGGAACTTCAGCTTGTACATGGAGGTAGCTTATAATACTAGGAGGTATCTGTGTACAGTGTACAGTGTACAGAATTTGAGGTACAGTATGAGGTTGAAAGTTGACTGATGTGCATGAAGGTTCAGCTCGTAAAGCACTCCACACAATGCTCTTAACACAAGCTACTGACAAAAGCTACATATTTATGAATGTTTGCTACAAAGATTATTTAAGTGAAAAGCTGTGAGTGGCATTAATATCTCTCTTGTGTCCACTATCAGATTGTCAGTCCACCATTGTAACCAGAGTGAGTGAGTGAGTTTAGTTTTACGCCACTTTTAGCAATCTTCCAGCAATATCATGACAGAGGGACACCAGAAATGGGGATTCACACATTGTACCCATGTGCGGAATTGAACCCGGTCTTCGCCGTGACGAGCCAACACTTAAACCACTAGGCTGCCCCACCGGACCATTGTAATCTGAATTTGGAACAGTTTCAATCTTCAAGACACAAGCATGTGACGTCATATCTGATATGATGTCATGAAAAACAGTGACGCTTAGTGAGCACATTCTCTCACATGATTGTTGGGAACAATTCAACAAGTTGTGCCAAACATTTGGACTGAACTTATACATATTATACATTACACATTCACTGAGGTTACATCTCTATGAATGTTATCAGTTTATGTTAGAGTTACAATCATCTCAGTCTTCAGAATCAATCTGGGCCCCCTTACACAAAGCAATCAGAGTGTTAGGACTATTTTAAGCCTTTGTTTAACTATGGGAGTTACAGTCATCTCAAAAAACCTGTTTTGCACTAAGATTGCCTTGCACTAAGATCACCACCTGCAATGGGCCCTAATGCCAAGAAGTATCCATATCTAAGGCTGGTTTTACTGCCTTTATCTTATTAGCCATGTTGGACAAACAGACTGACTGACTGACTGAGTTTAGTTTTACGCTGCTTTTAGCAATATTCCAGCAATATCACGGCGGGGGACACCAGAAATGGGCTTAACACATTGTGCCCATGTGGGGAATCGAACCCGGGGTCTTCGGCGTGACGAGCCAACGCTTTAACCACTAGGATACCCCACCGCCCCTGGACAAACAGAGGATAAGTAAGCCTATATCAGGTTTCCATTCAGCAATGTTCCAGCTAGATGATGGAGGCCTGTAGATAGGCTAGGCTGAACAGACCAGGGACCTGTTTCTCAAAGCGAAAGTAGCGCTAAGGTGATGGTAACTCCCATACTTTAACATAGGCTTAACAACGATAGTCGTAGCGCTACGATTGATTTGTGAAACGGGTCCCAGGGATGAATATTTGTCGGCAATGACCCTCTCCATCCGTGTGTCATGCAGTCGCAGAATCTGATCATGAAAGTATGACAAGGTATGTGGTACAATTCCAGCTTAGGATTCCCATGGATCATAAAGAAAACATAGTGTCATACCCTGGTTTAAGTTGTGACTGTCTGCGCACAGCACTGTATCGTAGAGAAGTGGTCACTCCTTTCATGAGGATACCTTTCATCCACTTGAGTATTTTCACACGAACCAGAATCATTGTGGCATAGTTGGCTTTGCTTGACCCTGATGTGCTGAAACGACCATCTCTCGACACCTGCATAAACATAGAAAATAAATAAATCTTAATTTGCTACAGTGACTCACTATTTCAGATTGTGGAATGTTGCATTTTATGGCTGGGACCTGCTACTTGGTGCAGTGGATAGGGTGTCTGCCTAGTCAGCAGCAGGCAGGTGCTTCGGCCAGGTGGTCATCGAGTTTTATGGATGAAGCCACCATACTGTATACTCTAGCAACAATGAGGAAGTGATTATTGTTGAATTGTGCATCAGCAATCTTACAGCGGTCCACAGTAAACACAAGCGGAAACTCAGAAAATACTCAGAAAATACATAAACAATATGTGACATTAACCAAAATGTTAGAATTTTTGTACCAGTATTTATTTCAAGATCTTGTGATGGAAACCAAATTAGTAATAAGTCAAATTATTAATGTTTATTCTGTCATTTATATATAAACTTTGCCCAAATATGCAGCTCTGGATCATTACAGTACAAAAAAAATTATCAGTGGAAAGAAAGTAACATAACAAGATAATAAATTAATCAGGGATGCAATAATATGTCATACCTGGGAATTTTTCATCAACATGTTTGCTCGAGGAATGCGGACATTTTTCATCATCAAGAAGCCATTATCAATGTTCTGTAAGGCCAGCTTGGGACCTATATCACCCACGCTGACACCTGGAACACAAGAGGAACAATTCAGGCATGTATATCTTCATATAACCCATGCTGACACCTGGAATACAAGGGGAACAATTCAGGAATGTATATCTTCATATCACCCACACTGACACCTGGAACACAAGAGGAACAATTCAGGAATGTATATCTTCATCTAACCCACGCTGACACCTGGAACACAAGAGGAACAATTCAGGAATGTATATCTTCATATAACCCACGCTGACACCTGGAACACAAGAGGAACAATTCAGGAATGTATATCTTCATATAACCCATGCTGACACCTGGAACACAAGAGGAACAATTCAGGAATGTATATCTTCATATAACCCACGCTGACACCTGGAACACAAGAGGAACAATTCAGGAATGTATATCTTCATATAACCCACGCTGACACCTGCAACACAAGAGGAACAATTCAGGAATGTATATCTTCATATAACCCACGCTGACACCTGCAACACAAGAGGAACAATTCAGGAATGTATATCTTCATATAACCCATGCTGACACCTGGAACACAAGAGGAACAATTCAGGAATGTATATCTTCATATCACCCACTCTGACACCTGGAACACAAGAGGAACAATTCAGGAATGTATATCTTCATATAACCCACGCTGACACCTGGAACACAAGGGGAACAATTCAGGAATGTATATCTTCATATCACCCACTCTGACACCTGGAACACAAGAGGAACAATTCAGGAATGTATATCTTCATATAACCCACACTGACACCTGGAACACAAGAGGAACAATTAAGGATTGTATATCTTCATATAACCCACGTTGACACCTGGAACACAAGGGGAACAATTAAGGAATGTATATCTTCATATAACCCACGCTGACACCTGGAACACAAGAGGAACAATTCAGGAATGTATATCATCATATAACCCACACTGACACCTGGAACACAAGTGGAACAATTCAGGAATGTATATCTTCATATCACCCACGCTGACACCTGGAACACAAGAGGAACAATTCAGGAATGTATATCTTCATATCACCCACTCTGACACCTGGAACACAAGGGAAACAATTCAGGAATGTATATCATCATATCACCCACTCTGACACCTGGAACACAAGGGGAAGAATTCAGGAATGTATATCTTCATATCACCCACACTGACACCTGGAACACAAGAGGAACAATTCAGGAATGTATATCTTCATATCACCCACGCTGACACTTGGAACACAAGGGGAACAATACAGGAATGTATATCTTCATATAACCCACGCTGACACCTGGAACACAAGAGGAACAATTCAGTAATGTATATCTTCATATCACCCACGCTGACACCTGGAACACAAGAGGAACAATTAAGGATTGTATATCTTCATATCACCCACACTGACACCTGGAACACAAGGGGAACAATTCATTAATGTATATCTTCATATCACCCACGCTGACACCTAGAACACAAGAGGAACAATTCAGGTATGTATATCTTCATATCACCCACACTGACAGCTGGAACACAAGAGGAACAATACAGGAATGTATATCTTCATATAACCCACGCTGACACCTGGAACACAAGAGGAACAATTCAGGAATGTATATCTTCATATCACCCACGCTGACACCTGGAACACAAGAGGAACAATTCAGGAATGTATATCTTCATATCACCCACGCTGACACTTGGAACACAAGGGGAACAATTCAGGAATGTATATCTTCATATCACCCAAACTGACACCTGGAACACAAGAGGAACAATTCAGGAATGTATATCTTCATATCACCCACGCTGACACTTGGAACACAAGGGGAACAATACAGGAATGTATATCTTCATATAACCCACACTGACACCTGGAACACAAGGGGAACAATTCAGGAATGTATATCTTCATATAACCCACGCTGACACCTGGAACACAAGAGGAACAATTCAGTAATGTATATCTTCATATAACCCAACACAAGCTGACACTTGACACTTGGAACACAAGAGGAACAATTCAGTAATGTATATCTTCATATCACCCACGCTGACACCTGGAACACAAGGGGAACAATTCAGTAATGTATATCTTCATATCACCCACGCTGACACCTGGAACACAAGGGGAACAATTCAGGAATGTATATCTTCATATCACCCACACTGACACCTGGAACACAAGGGGAACAATTCAGGAATGTATACCTTCATATCACCCACGCTGACACTTGGAACATAAGGGGAACAATTCAGGAATGTATATCATCATATAACCCACGCTGACACCTGGAACACAAGGGGAACAATTCAGTAATGTATATCTTCATATAACCCACACTGACACCTGGAACACAAGAGGAACAATTCAGGAATGTATATCTTCATATCACCCACACTGACACCTGGAACACAAGGGGAACAATTCAGGAATGTATATCATCATATAACCCACACTGACACCTGGAACACAAGCGGAACAATTCAGGTATGTATATCTTCATATCTCCCACACTGACACCTGGAACACAAGAGGAACAATTCAGTAATGTATATCTTCATATCACCCACACTGACACCTGGAACACAAGGGGAACAATTCAGGAATGTATATCATCATATAACCCACATTGACACCTGGAACACAAGGGGAACAATTCAGGAATGTATATCATCATATAACCCACATTGACACCTGGAACACAAGGGGAACAATTCAGTAATGTATATCTTCATATCACCCACGCTGACATCTGGAACACAAGAGGAACAATTCAGGAATGTATATCTTCATATCACCCACGCTGACACCTGGAACACAAGAGGAACAATTCAGTAATGTATATCTTCATATAACCCACGCTGACACTTGGAACACAAGAGGAACAATTCAGGAATGTATATCTTCATATCACCCACACTGACACCTGGAACACAAGGGGAACAATTCAGGAATGTATATCTTCATATAACCCACGCTGACACTTGGAACACAAGAGGAACAATTCAGGAATGTATATCTTCATATCACCCACACTGACACCTGGAACACAACAGGAACAATTCAGGAATGTATATCTTCATATCACCCACGCTGACACTTGGAACACAAGGGGAACAATTCAGTAATGTATATCTTCATATCACCCACGCTGACACCTGGAACACAAGGGGAACAATTCAGGTATGTATATCTTCATATAACCCACTCTGACACCTGGAACACAAGGGGAACAATTCAGGAATGTATATCTTCATATCACCCACGCTGACACCTGGAACACAAGGGGAAGAATTCAGGAATGTATATCATCATATAACCCACTCTGACACCTGGAACACAAGGGGAACAATTCAGTAATGTATATCTTCATATCACCCACGCTGACACCTGGAACACAAGGGGAACAATTCAGGTATGTATATCTTCATATCACCCACGCTGACACCTGGAACACAAGGGGAACAATTCAGGTATGTATATCTTCATATCACCCACGCTGACACTTGGAACACAAGGGGAACAATTCAGGTATGTATATCTTCATATCACCCACGCTGACACCTGGAACACAAGGGGAACAATTCAGGAATGTATATCTTCATATAACCCACTCTGACACTTGGAACACAAGGGGAACAATTCAGGAATGTATATCTTCATATCACCCACGCTGACACCTGGAACACAAGGGGAACAATTCAGGTATGTATATCTTCATATCACTTCATATCGCTGACACCTGGAACACAAGGGGAACAATTCAGGAATGTATATCTTCACATCACCCACGCTGACACCTGGAACACAAGGGGAACAATTCAGTAATGTATATCTTCATATCACCCACGCTGACACTTGGAACACAAGGGGAACAATTCAGGTATGTATATCTTCATATCACCCACGCTGACACCTGGAACACAAGCGGAACAATTCAGGAATGTATATCTTCATATCACCCATGCTGACACCTGGAACACAAGGGGAACAATTCAGGTATGTATATCTTCATATCACCCACGCTGACACCTGGAACACAAGGGGAACAATTCAGTCAGTGATGAGGAACAGGTTGGGTTGGGTTTATTCATCCTAATCATTATTTTCAAATTACTTATGATTTCATAATTTCATTTTGGGGGAGAAAAAATAAAAAGGAAAGAAATTGAAAATTGAATCACTAACAGTTAATGAATTTATGACATTTTGACATTGAGTTCAACTATCAAACTGAATCAAGTCTTGAATGAAATCAAGTCAGAAATTTCCTGATAATTTTGCTATTTGGTAGCAATCATTTTGAGCAAAATATTTTCAAATGCTGGGCCTAGATTGTTTAAGCTCTCTTAGCACTAAGATAGTCATAAGTTACTGTTAACGTATGGCACTTACGACTATATTAGCACTATGCAAGCTTCGAAAATCTAGGCCCTGGATTTGAAGGTGGCAAACCATTATGGCACTGACAGGCTAACACAACAGTTAACAAATTAGTTCATTTTCTTGGAAAAGAAATATTGTAAACCAGCACAGCATTCCCTCAGAGTGGATTGACAGTTCCACCTGTGCAACTGAACCATCACTAGCCCCACAGCCTCACAACTTTCTAACAGTCTAATGTCAAGAGAGTGGTGGGGTTAAAACGTTCGCTCATCACGCCTAAAAACTGGGTTTGTTTCCCCAAATGGGTAGAATGTGTGAAGCTCATTTCTAATGTCCTCCGGAATATTGCCAAAAGCGGCGTTAAACTTAACTCACTCACTCACTTATGTAAGGAGGAAATCATGAAATTTGTACTTCCGGAATCTCTACAGTTGTGTATAAATTCACCTACACTTGAATCAGTAATTACTTGCAGGTTCAGAACTACCAATGAATTCCTGACCTGTTATCAGCTACACATTTTACAAATTCATATTATTCCATTAAGGTCTGATTAATATTCAACATTCGAAATACCCGCCTGCCCGACCGCCCGGGACAGGCTATTTTGAACATGGACTGCCAGATTCTAAAATCCACCTGCCCGAAGGTCGGGTTAAAATTTAGACATATATATAAAGATATTCATCATATTTCAGGATAATAAATCATTATTAATTCACTCGTAAAGATAGAGTAAATAGGTAAATTAGTATTGTTTGTGGGCAGGGAATTTTACATCTAACCAGCCCTTTGGTCCGGCTGAAATTTTTGGAATTTTCATACCCTGTAATATTATTTTATTTTCACCTCCATCCATCTGACATCATTTCACAGTGTCCACATGGACAAAATGTTAGTATTGTCTCACCTTTTATAAACAAAATAACCATATTTTGCCCTACCTACCAGATGCAAAGTACAGTGACCAAATTGTGAAAGGTAAATAACTTTTCAATGAAAGGCCTTGTATGACTATCACTGATGGCTGAATGTTTGTAAATCTATCAATGAAAGCAACTTTGTACATACAAATATTAAAAAATATGCTTAAAATTACCGGGGAATTTTGTAAATGACATGCAGGGGAGTCACTTACTTTATACATAAATCTTAGGGGGATTCATTTACATTGTACATGCTTCTCTATAAAAACCATCATCATCTTTTGTGTACAGCATTCTGACTGAACTTTTGGCTTCAACTTAGACACCAACTCATAACTTTGTTCATTAAGAAAGATAAGTTAAAATAAAAAACACTTTCTTCCTCCAAATGGATAGGCCTGTTTAATATCATCTCTATCACTGAGACATGCTGAATTTCCCACAATGTAATTCGCACATGCTCACAAGCATGCAGGCTATTTTTAGATTGGGATTTCAAGGTCAGATTGATCAACATCAGCTTCTGACACCCTGAACCTTGAGGTATTTCTCATCAGAATAGAAATGTCACTAATCTTTAACATGATATTTACAATTTTTTATTAACTGAATTTTTTAAACAGAAATATTTTGCTGACTCTCACAGCACAAGCAATTCAAATTGTCTTTGTCTATTCTCACTTTATGTGCATTAAGGGCAGAATATAGTTAATCTGGTGAATACTGTAAGGCTATCCTAACAACTGGTTGTCAGAGTGACAAGTATACCTTTTTGATGAGGTTTTCTCCCTCAGGAAGACACACTGATTTTATCACAGGCAAGGAGAGCTAAATAATAAAATATACAATTGGGGCAAATTTGAGTGGGAATAATGTGATTCAAGTCAGGAAGCATGTCAGTATGAAGATTGAAACAGTTAAGTCATTCATAACTTTAAATCTATGATTATTTAAAAATGTAAAAAATATATCATCTAATTAAAACTGAAATATTTAGGAATTTTTGCTTATAAAGTCAAACATGACACAAGGAGAAATAGAAAAGTAAACATATCGAAAGTCAAATAAATAGGGGAAAATGTGTAAAAGTTAATCAAAATGTGCATATACACACACTTAAAAAAAATACTATAACGCACATAAATACAACATCCCCAAGTTGACAACAATGAGAAAAATGTGTCAACATTAACTAAGGAAACAAATCCATAATGAGGTGTGAGGGTACAGCTATTCTTTCAGTGGAGTGGAAGTCATATCTGACCTACTTTTAACCCACTGAACACAAAGGCTGTGTGTGTGGGGAGATAGCAAGTCAGGACTTGTTTGTCCAGCTCCTTCCCTAATAAATCAGGGCAAGGTGAAATGAATTGATTGAAGATACCAGTTGCAACAAAATTAAAGTTAAATGATATTGCATATTTAAACAATTGTTATAACACATAAATATGAAGGTTTGGGCAGTGTTTATCCCATTATTAATTTTTTTTTAAATTTAAAAGATGACAAACAGAAAATAGAGTTTTCCAAAACAAAACAAAACAAAACAAAATACATGCAAAAGTATTATTCAAAATTGTGCAGTGTCAGTAGTGTATTATATCGTGCAATATATGACAAAAAGGACACATTACAATAAAACCACTGTTAAAAAAAAAAATTAAAAAAATAATAATACTTCTACTCCATCAAAATTACATTAGAAAGATATTGAACATTGTTGAAACATTTTGTTCAAAGCTAAGTTTCTTTTCTTTATTCATTTTTAAGCTGAGGTCTTCCTCAGCTCCTCAAACATTCCCCCCCTAGGTGTTAAAGGTAATGACCTTTGTACCCCTCAACCAACGAGCGAACTAGATAGTTGAGGCGCCCACACCCTAAGAGGTATGGGAAGGTAGGGGGGAGTGGGATTCGAACACTTAACAGAGGGTATATAAATACAACTCTATTAGCTGTAATCACACAAGGCATAACCTACTGACATTAAAATATTACACGTAATTTCATAATTTTAAATCAAATATTTAATCAAGTGACATTTAATAACAACACATCTAAAGATGATATTCATATAATATTTGTGGTAAATTCAATGACATGAAAAAAAAGAGAATTTTGCATTTTGAGCTAAATTGAATATTGTGTTTTCCCAGGTTTACAGGATTAGCAAACTGAAAATTACCTAAACATTATCAAACTAAATCTTTTGCATAGGTCAGGTGACAACAACTAACAAAGTATGGATAATAAAGAAATAATTCATTTTAATACATAAAGGATACTAAACAGAACAAAATATTAATGCTAAAAAACACCATGTGACCTGCATTTGTGATAGTGATTTTAATGCACTTCAAACACTTGTGCCAGTGATGGTGAGTGAGTGGGTATGGTTTCACATCACTTTAAGGAGTATTTGTGTAATGACTCAGTAGGGCACACCAAGTAAGGACTTCACATGATGTGGCCTTGACGTGCCTCGAACTTGGATTGTCACCATGATGAGTGAACTCATTAGACACTGGGCCATGTCAGTACCCAAGCTAGCAGGTCGTTCAATACATATCATAAACATAATCCAGGGGTGGAACAATAGTAGTGTTACAATTAAAATCACAATTGTATCGTCATTTTATCCTAATATATTTTCTATTTGAATAAATTTTCAATTTAATAAATTAATTTGTAATTTTACTATTTTTGAAAATTGAGACTCAGGGGATGTAATGTAGAATAACATTCTTTTAAACATTATAATTTATCTTTTTCCAAAAAAATATCAAAAGATCACTGCAAGGTGCTGATATCTGAGTGATCCTATGAATGCAGTATATGTACATTATAGGGTCAGCTTGACCAGTTTGGCCAGTCAAGCCATTGTGTGTTCTATTATCCTGTATGATACTTATATATTGCACAAGTACCTGTTATATTGTACCATCTCTGCAACACCACTGGTACAAATTCAACTTTATCAAATATATCACAGGAAAAGAAACACTATTATTTCAAATTCAAGATTCAAACTCCCAATAACTGGGTTCTGGCAAAGGGAGATAACTCAGTACTAAGGAAGAGACTTCAGTGGCAGAGGTTATACTACACCAAATCAGAATAAATAGTTTTATATGCAGTTGGAGCCATCAGTGAAGACTGAATTGACTGGAAGCTGAGATTAGATCATTTTGTATAAGAATTTGGTGTTTTCTAAAAGCATATCCATCATGTAATTAAAACTGACATATTTTGCAATATTTAGTGCTGCCCATTTCAGTATAACTAATGCTGAATGGGACCGCAGGTATTTTCAAGATGGTGACATTTGTGCAGAACTGGGGTCGGTCGGTTTACCTTATGGTTATTAAAATGAAACTGGTTGAGGCAGTCATTGCTTTTTTGTAATAGCTGTTTTAGGATCAGACTGTGCACATTGTAATAGCCATTGGGTACTTAGGTAATTTTTATAAATATATCATTACCACAGAAGTCAATGGGGACAAGATTTGGTTTAGTGAAACCTATAGCCTCAACCACCGATAGCCTCAACCACAGATAGCCTCAACCACCGATAGCCTCAACCACCGATAGCCTCAACCACTGATAGCCACAACCACAGATAGCCTCAACCACAGATAGCCTCAACCACAACCACAGATAGCCTCAACCACAAGCCAACCAGATAGCCAACCACAGATAGCCCAACCACAGATAGCCTCAACCACAGATAGCCTCAACCACAACCACAGATAGCCTCAACCACCGATAGCCTCAACCACAACCACAGATAGCCTCAACCACCGATAGCCTCAACCACAACCACAGATAGCCTCAACCACCGATAGCCTCAACCACAGCCACCGATAGCCTCAACCACAGATAGCCTCAACCAGCCATGTCATTTGTGTGATGAGTAAATGATTGGATGAGAGGATGAATGAAATCTGAGTGAGTGAGAAAGAGTGGTGGTCAATTAATGCCTTAGACTAACACATAGTCTCTAAATATACATAATTTTGATAGAAACAAATATATCCTTTAAAATTGAAAAGGAGTCAGGGTTTTAGCATTGAGGAAAAGACTGGTTGGAGCGGAAAATAACGCAGGTCTGGGACTGTGAATGACAGGTGTCAGGTGTATAGTGGTCATCAGTCCAAACTCACCTGGTATGGGTGTGTGATCTTCTAAACTTCGAAGCTGTACCATGAAAGGGTGCATTCCATAATTCTTCCCTCGAAGGACGAGTTGGGCCAATACTATTGCATGAGTGCTGGATTTTCCTACTGAAATATAGAAAATATCAGTCAGAGAATTCTTGCAATATTGATCAATACTGACACCTAGGGTTGGGTATTGCCAACATTTTTGTATTGCAATATATTGTGAAGTGTAACACATGGTTTAAGGTAATGAAATTACTGTTTCCTTTTGTTTAAAACAATGCCACTAGCCACTGTCAGGACTGTAATTGTACAAGAGATCAACTGAAAATGTTTCCAAATTGTTTATCCCTACAATTGCTGGTACCAATCTATTTTTTTATTTATATGGTTCAAAAGTCATGCAAATGCAATTATATGACCAATAAACTATTATCAAAGCTATTATTGCATAACAATATAAAGGAAAAATGTTAATCATATTTTTGACTACATCATGAAAATTACCAATCATGGTCACGGAAATTGTCGATCATATCCGGTGAACTGGTTCACGAAAAGTGTACTGCAATATATTGTATTGTGAAGTTCGAATTGCAATATACTGGCTAACCGGTATTATCGTCCACCCCTACTGACATCTAAATGAGTTTAGAGTGAAACACTTTCACAGATGTGTGGGTGGTATCTGGGACACTAAAGCACCTACGTGTTAACAAGAGTTTAATTAAAAGATATGACATTTATGGGTTTACTCTCTTTTCTTTTAATAATGACAATGAGTGAGAGAGTGACTTTAGTTTTACGCCGCACTCAGCAATATTCCAGCTATTATGGCGGCGGCCTGTAAATATTTGAGTCTGGACCAGACAATCCAGTGATCAACAGCAATGATCTACGCAATGGGGATACAATGACATGTGTAAGCCAAGTCAGCGAGCTTGACCACACGATCCCGTTAGTCGCCTCTTACAACAAGCATGGGTTATAATGACAATGATAATGACAATGATAATGACAATGACAATGATAATGATAATGACAATGACAATAATGACAATGATAATGATAATGATAATGATAATAATGATAATGACAATGATAATGATAATGACAATGATAATGACAATGATACATAGAGAGCCTCATGTCTAACCAGTACTGCACACTGGCATAGTGTATAATGAGATGATGTGACACTGGAATCTGAAATATACCTGTAAATAAAAATAGGGAAGTCTCAAGAAAAAGATGTTTGAAACTTTTAGTTGAATTCCTCAAGGGCAGCTATTGAGAGTGTGTCACAGAGCAAGTGAGGTTTGAGGAAGGTTGTCTCCCATGGTTGTCCTAGTAACCATGGTAACTGGGTTTTTCATAATAGACACACCAACTTTGCATATCAGTGATAGCTCTTAAAGTCCACAGGATTTTTACCTCGACTCACAAACATGGTGGTCCCGAGGACCCCCAATTATTAGTTTTAAGGGTCCTTTTTGGCAATACGAGTGTCCTGTGAAGTAACAGTGTAGAGAACTGTATGTTTTGATAATTTCTTTAGAGCCTGGAATGAATCATTGATCATATGGACTGATGGATGAAATTATGTTTGAAACTGCTCTGAGAGAAACAAACACTAAGCAAAGTCATAGATGTGTTGTGGGTACAGTCAATAATATTTTGCGTCCCTCTGGATGCAGTGAATTGTTCTTCGGCGTCCATTCTCTACATTAGTGTGTACTGGATGCAACATGTGCACGTCGTGTAAAACCCTGAGTACATCATGATTCTTAAACATTTTCTCAGCTCCTGTAATCGATCTTGACCTGTGATATTATGTAGTCATAAATGTGACTAGACTATATATGGCTCCTTAGCAACCTTTGCCTGTCTTAAGACTTAACTGATCTTTTGATCAGACTCGCTGGTTTTCTTGGTATGTGGGGTCGGTGAGGTAGCCTAGTGGTTAAAGCTTTTGGTCAGACTTCGAATCCCCACAAGGGTACAATGTGTTTTCTGGTGTTCCCCGCCACGTGATGTGGCTGGAATATTGCTAAAAGCGGCGTAAAACCAAACTCAGTCAGTCAGTCAGTTTGGTGTGTGTGTCATCGTAACCTATTGGTGAGCAAGCAGTTTTAACCCGCTTTTAGCAGTATTCCAGCAATATGGCTGGGGACACACAAAAATAGCTTCACACTCAGTATATTTCAGCGAGATGAACTACGTACACCCTCCTGGCCACCACTTCATCGATGTGATCTTTGGGGTGTTCATCACAAACTCATCGGTCTGGGGGTCAAAGGTCGCTGTTGTCTCTAGCGCCAACAAGTTGGTTCCTTAAACAACAAAGACAATCAGTAAGTCCATCAATTGTTTAAAGAAATCCTCTGTAAAACAACCTAATCCCAACATGTGTGATATTTTCAGATTAATTGTCATATATTTCATATGTACAAAGCTCACAAAGTTGATGATCCACGTATCAACATTTATATACAGACAGCAGTTGTATACAAACTCTATAACAAAATGGAAGGATTAAACATTATGTATCACTCAATGTTATTTTCAAATCACTGACTAGAAAAAAGGTAAGTCTTAGAAAGATTTCAAAAGTATCTCAAATATATACAATATCAAAGTCAAACTTGAGCTAGCGATTGGTAAGACAATGTGAGGCCTTTCAACATGTTCAAGGTGTTATTTTCAAGGGAGAAAACAATTCAGGACATTTCCTAACTGACAAGTGAGTGAATTATATCAAAAACTTAGAATGATATCCCCATAAATATACTCGCCGTTTTAGGATGTCATCCTGTTAAAGCTTGTATAGGGGAGAGTTTGTCATATACTCAAGATTTATAATCTAAGCATTACAAATCCCATATTCTACCATGACACTGAAGGATGACGCCATTTGATTTGTAAATTTTCCTTAATTTGATGCAGTTAATCAAGGATATAAAATCTCTGCAATGAACAGAAAAAAAAGAAAAGATTTTCAGAAACACACTTATGTCATGATAAGATTGAGACAAACATATTTTCTTTTATAGATTTGGGTGTGGTGGATTACTGGCTAAACACAGCTGAATATTATCAAATGTTTGGCCATGTTTAATCAGTGATAAAGTTAGACAGTGTAATTCCAAATATAACATATGCTATAAATGATAAATAACCTCGGGACAGAACAGGCATATTTCACAATTATTAGAAATATTACTGTAAAATATACAATCATATAATTTTAGTATTCCCTGTTTTCTGGGACCAGAAACAAACCATACTAAATACTTCTTTCAGTGGTCTTACCATGTCCAAGTTCAGTCTGTGCATAAGTTCCAATGATTTTAAAGTTGAGAGCTAATGGCAGCCATTTTGCCTTCTGTTCGTCTGTAGCTAGCCGTTCAATCCCGGGAATGAACATGGAGTGATGCAGACCAAGTGCCAAGTCATGACTTGTCAGGCTGAAATGGAGAACAAATAAGTGGAATTCTATACAGTTTTAACAATATTCCAGCTCTATAATGAGTTACAAGCAAATGCTTTAACCATGAGGCAACCACCATCATCATTCAGACCGAAAGAAGCAAGCAGATACCTCCAGTAAAATAATGTCACAGAATAAAATCGTTAGCCACAAATGATGGTATGAAAAGGATTGTAAACCTATTATAACCAGAGTGTGATTCAACTTATTTGTATCATGGAGAAATAATTTATACAGAATTTCAGTATTAATTAATACCTCATGATAGTTGTATCCAACTATTAATAATATGATCCGGTCATCAGCAGGTCTTTCGTTTAATGGAGGTTTGAGAGTACTTAACATGGCGACAAAACCAAACATTCTCAAATTATAGAATTTCATGTTTCGCACTCCAATAATCCAGGAAACAGTCCTTCCAAACTTTGAATCAACTGAAGTGATCATTTTATTTCAAGTAAATCTAGGTAACTTCTTTGAGTGGCATTTTAGAAGTTGGGAAGTACAATATAGAACAAACTTTATGAATAACAACTTCTTTTTTTTTATTCGTGAGTGCGACGTTTCGATACAGATTCTTGTACCGTTGTCAAGCATAATGGAACATGAAGAAGGGGGAAGTGTATATATACTGGATGTAACAATGTAACAAAGAAAACAACATAATTAACATAAATGGCTAGGCTAGGTTTGTTCTATATTGTAAATCTAGGTAGGTCAAATATAAACTGTCAGCACCTCCTGCCAATTAATTGTAAGTGTACATTTGAGTGTAAGTGGTAATGTAAGAACAGTCATTCCTAAATTACTAACATTTAATTGTATATGCACACGATTAAGTGAAAAGTAACAGTATATTTAAAAAAAAAAAAAATCAAAATCATTGGTTCTACATGCTGGGAAAGTTTCTGTTCACATTATTGATTTTAAAAGCATCAACACAAACAAACATGACAAACAATACAAAAAATACAATTTCTAAATATCAAGATTTCTAGATATCATTTAATTGAATATATTTTGACTGCAATATCATAGCGCAAAGTACAATGAAAATTATTATAGTTCAAAAGAGACTGTTCGTAATTAATAGGTAGGGGGGTGGTGATGATTTTTATGGAGAAGCATGTACAATGTGAATGACTAGGGGTGACTATTGAGGGGGAAACAACTATTGCGATACTATTGCAATACTTTTTGTCTCATTTGAAGTCATTTCCCAAATGAAAGTATAGTTTATATGAAATAAACACAAGTTGAAGTAGTTTCAGTCTCTTTTAATAACTGACAAAAAACTTGAAACCCAGATCAAGTAATCAGTTAAAACATAAACTCAATGAAGCTGCATGTCTGCATCCAAATATCCCGTATTTTGTGCTGCGCATTTATCAATGGAAGTCAATTACTAAACTATCGATAGTCACACATACTGTCGATGCATTGATAGTTTTCATTTCTACCATCGATTAATTGCTATCAGAGCCTCAACAATTGCTATCCATCGATAGTTCAATGCATCGTTTCAGCCCTATGACCCTCCTAAAAATTATGTACAAAGAAAGTGACACGCCCCCCTTGCATGCCATGTACAAAATCAACTATCTCCACCCCCATTCCCATAATTTTTCAGCATAAATTACAAAATATTCTTATGTACAATATTTGTTGACCCCCCACCAGTACAATTTTACAATATCATTTGAATCACTCATAAAATATTTAGTTCTTAATTCCTTAATCACAAGGGAAACAACTCTAAATGGCCACACACAGGTAACAGACGGTGGCAGGCAACATTGTGAACACATGGTGGTGCTATGGATTGGTGTGTAAGTGTGTATCAGCTTTCACAGTACATTTGTAAATGTCGGGGAAGGATATAAATCAGGTGGGCTGGACTAGCTGCCAACAGAGCTCGACAAAATATTTGGAGCCATTAAAGTCTACTAACATGTTATTCACTCTGAAAATGTTCTCTGGATTTTCAATATATTTTAACTCTCATGGCCTCATTTTACTGTGTATTTGCACTAAAAAGTAGACATTTAAAACAATATAATTCAGTCTGATCTCCTGTTTCAGGTGACTTGTAATTTGTATCGTTTCATGTTCATGCATGAGTGAGTGAGTGAGTGAGTGAGTGAGTGAGTGAGTGAGTGAGTGAGTGAGTGAGTGAGTGAGTGAGTGAGTGAGTGAGTGTGAGTGAGTGAGTGAGTGAGTGAGTGAGTGAGTGAGTGAGTGAGTGAGTGAGTGAGTGAGTGAGTGAGTGAGTGAGTGAGTGAGTATGGTCTAACGCCACTTTCAGCAATATCACGGCAGGGGACACAGAAATGGTGTTCATGCATAAACTCACAATGCAGTGTTCACAAATAGCGTCTGACCCTCTGACAAATCCGGCAGATTCGCCAATGGTCAGACAGACATCTGAAACTTACAGGACTCAATGTCCTGTGACTTTGAAACACCATTCATGAACACTGCAATGGTAGCATACATGTCCAAGTACCAACAAACACCTAGCACAGTTTTATACATTGTTCACTGTAACAAAGTTCATGAATGTGAGGTGCTTGTATTCATGAAGGAAATGAACATTTTGCAAAATATGAAATCACGAAAGTTGGAAAGTTGGTGTGGTTGGTTTGTTGTTCAACGCCGCACTCAGCAATATTCCAGCTATATGACGGTGGTCTGTAAATAATCGAGTCTGGACCAGACAATGCAGTGATCAGCATCATGAGCATCTATCTACGCAATTGGGAACCGACGACATGTGTCAACCAAGCCAGCGAGACTGACCACCCGATCCCGTTAGTCGCCTCTTACGATAACCATCAGTTACTGAAGATCAAATCTAATCTGGATAATTGCAGGTGGAAAGAACACAACATTGGTTAATTATGCAGTGTTGTTATACTCTTGGCTTAATAAATTGTTTACTGGTATTTAAATCCAAACAGCTCAAAATGATAAGTAGACATGTATTTTGCATATTTTTGTAAATGTTCACAAAAGAAGTTCAAGAACAGCCAGTAATTTCATAGTGATACTGTGCTATCTGGCATGGCACAGATTAATTACAGTTATATGAAAGAATAATAGGATGACAATAATACATATGTGCTGTGAATATTTGTCAATACATGTGATACAGTTATCATAATACAACATTATTATGTGCTGTTAGACATTATAATGCTATGATATCATGTCTTAAATGTGCTGTCAATCATAATAAAGTGGTATCATATTTACAAATTGTTTCATTTTTTTGGCCAGGGTAACCCATTCCTCATCTATGATATACTGTTGGGGAGATTTGAGAATAGACCTCAGGTTCAGTTGGGATGTTCCAACTCCTCAGAGATGAGGCAGGAGATTAGATGGACTGGACAATATTTGTGGTTTTAGGATGTAGATGTTTTGGAAGGATACCATGAACTCACAAATTTGTGTCATGTTATTTCAGGACACAGATTCCACGCTCCCGAGGTGTGAAACAAAATCAGCTACATCAAATCTTGTTTAAAGCAAGTAATTATTTAATGCAAGAAATATATATAACACAGGGCTAATTAAATGACACATAAACACAAGACGAACAAAACATGTATCATCAGTTCAAGGCAGCTTTGTTATTGCTTTAAGCAACCTCTTTGAATGCCAACATTAAGTAATGAAATATTAAGAATTTAATGGAACATCAGAGTTTAATACATTCATCTGGATTTCATACAACCGGGCCAAGTTTGTACTGACTGACTGATCTATGATGTTGGTCAGACTGTTTTGATCAAAACATACATCATAAGTTCACGTTATTGCTTTGCGCAACCTCCTTGAACGCCAACATTAACAAATGAATCAATAGGGTTTAATTTGTTGATGTGGGTTGGATACAAACAGGGCAAATTTTGTACTGTCTGACTGAACAATGATGTCCATGCTTATTAGCTGTCCATCGATACTGGTCAGACAGATATGGTTATGACAGATGTAACAAAATATAAATATACTGATTATGCTGTTAGCCAACATTTCCAATATTCTCTATCATTGTGGGTTTTTTACGTGGGTATCCATTTCATAATCATAATCAGAATTATCTCCCTTTATCCTTAACCATGCAAGCTGCTCTGTGAACTAAGGTAATGGTGGTATCAACTATATTTGGTGTTTGCTATCTTGATCATGCCTTGTAGTATCATTTAGAGTACATATTGCTTTTCACAAATCTGCTGTTACAAAAATCTCACTAGACCAGAGCAAATTTGCCCTTTTGGGATGTGACTGGTAGATTAGAGGCGATGTGTGTGTAACAATTTGTGTTGGCCTTCAACAAAAATGCAATAGCTTTAGCTTCTAAAATTATCAATTTTTGTTTTATGCTAATGTAGGTTTGATATGATGAAACTTATTTTTTAAACTCCCTAATTTCCTTACCGAAAATGTTTTGAAACACTATTATGTTTCCATGGGAACATTGCTTGGAGTACCAGTAAAGCATTGAATAGCAAAGTAACTTGATCAGATAGGTTATTTACAATACATGTACCACATGTCTGAGATGCTTTTGGTGAATTCTTTTTCCACAACTTCCATGCTGGTATGATCTATTTGTCATATTTTTCTGAAAAATCTCAGGTACCTATGGGTAACTAAATAGAAAGTAAAAGAATTTCTATTTCTTCAAACCATATTTCGTCTTCTTGTTCTTAACCCCCAATATCTTGTTTGCTGTTCAGTTTAAATCTCATCTAAACCTTGAAATGTGTTGCATCTTTTGAAAGCTTACCACAATATTGAGATGGGAAGACAGTGCCAAGGCTCCAGTTTATCACAAGTGGAAAACAGACAGACCTAGCCCATAGCAAACATGCTACTATGCTCATTTACAGTGGAAGGACTGTGTGTATATATTTCAGAATCACATAGTATTCAAACACATGGTGTAAAATGTAAAGTTATAGACTAAGAGACTGAATTGAAACAAATCTTTAAATTGTATTAAACATGCCTGATTACACATACTGGCATTTGGGGACAATTATTCCACTGTTAATAAACAATGCTGAATCTAATACCGAATGGCTCCATTCTATACAACCAATATTGCTGAAAGTGGCGTAAAACTATACTCACTCACTCACTCTACAACCAATTCTATTTGTGTGGCTGTTTCATGAAGACTAAGACTGACTGACTGAGTTTGGTTTTACGCCGCTTTTAGCAATATTCCAGCAACATCACGGCGGGGGACACCAGAAATGGCTTCACACATTGTACCCATGTGGGGAATCGAACCCGGGTCTTCGGCGTGACGAGCCAATGCTTTAACCACTAGGCTACTCCACCGCCGTTTCATGAAGAGTCTTTGTTGTCTTGTTCATGTTTATCCAACTCCATCTTACATAGTTTTAGCATCTGCAAAATAATTCTGGTTCTGAGAATCACTCACTCAACAGCCATCTCAAAGTCTTCCTCCGTCCACTGGTACCGCCGCTTCCATTCAAACAGTTTTACAGACTTTTGTACCGACAGTTCATAAATCTCTTCCTTCGACATGAACGCTCTCTCTGCATCTTGAAATAATGGCTCGCTAAACAGTAGATGTTCTGAAAGAAAGAATCAGATTCAGGCTTTATAACTTGAAGGGTAGTTACAACAGTCTTCATGATGGCTCCCAGGAATGGTCACAAGAAGAATCATATTACAACGTCTTTGGATATAATCCACTTACTTTGACATGACCTCTCTCTCTGCTTCTAGACTGACTGACTGACTGAGTTTGTTTTAACGCCGCTTTTAGCAATATTCCAGCAACATCACGGCAGGGGACACCAGAAATGGGCTTCACACATTGTACCCATGTGGGGATTCGAACCCGGGTCTTCGGCGTGACGAGCCAATGCTTTAACCATTAGGCTACCCCACTGCCCCTCTGCTTCTAGAAACAATAGATCATGAAACAGTGGATATTCTGAAAGCAGGAATCAGACTGCAAACTGTTACTCTCACTAGGGTCGTTACAATAATTCCCTCCATGACAAGAACCTGGCATGGCAAGTCTTTTTTGTTTGTTTAATGCTGTTGTCAGCAAATTTCCAGCTACATGACAGGGCAGGGCTGGAAATCACTTTAAAAATTGCTAGTGTACTCCGGTACAGTGGCACATGTAAAATCACTTGCCCTGATAATTTTTCCACTATACCGTTCGTTTTCTTGTTGATTTTTAAAAAAACCCAACATAATTAACATTGGAAAGTCAACTGGACACCGGTACAGTGTGATATACAAATTTGCTTGCCTGACAGAAAAAACCACTGGACTCAGACGTCGGGCAATGGGTTATTTCCACCCCTGCAGGGGTCTGTAAATTACTGAGGTTGGAAACGCTGATCAAGTGATTGACATCATGAGCAACAAACTACACAATCAGGATACCATGGCAGGCATCAACCAAGTCTGCGAGCCTTACGACAAGCATGGGTTGCTGGAGATAAATTCTAACCCACAGTTTCACATGTTTTTATTAGCTATTGTATCAATAACATTTTCATATTGATACATCTACAGAATAACTACTTTTGTTAACGACTACATCATATTGCTTTTGAGACAAAATATATATATTCAACTTTCCAATCAATTGTGATATTTGGGGATATTTTGGGTCAAGTTCTAGTTCTACTGGGGTTAGGTTACCATAACATGGGTTTTAGTGTGTTCCCGGCTATGCTGGTATGCATAGCCACAACACACCCCACAGGTTGGTGTGCTCTGCCTGGCATGAGCAGCACATGCACTGCCTGCCTCTACCCCTATAAACATGATAAAGAGAATAGCTTCACAGCACTCTTTGTCTTTGGTCCACTGGTCCACCAGAGGTGAGGACATTTACTTTGGGTACCTAGTCCTGGTAAGGCAAAAAAAATATATGTCTATTTCCGGTAACTCGACCGACCCTATCCTTACAAAACACACACACACACACATCTTTTTTTTAACCAAGTCAAAATCATGACTGGAGTGCATTTCAACTCATCATTTTCATCCAAATCGGGTATGAAATTTTAATGTTTTTCAGTGTATGTAGGGCTAAAATGCATTGTATTGACATAATGGGCACTCACTGACAAAACCTGCAAAACCTGAGTTGCCATTGACAGCGGGGTACATTGAAATGTTACTCTCTTGTAAGCAGGGTACATTGAAAATAATAGAACAGCGCTCAGCCAATCAGAAAGCGACATTTAGGTGTGAGGTAAGATAAAGTTAATTAATACATTTAATTTTTGGACATAGGCTCTGAAATCAGAGACGTGTCTCATTAGGTTTTAGGTTGCTAGGTATATTGGTGAGTTAGGGTGTTAGGTTAATTAAGTTCACGTTTTGTAAATAAATGATTAAATTTGTCTTTCCCCTTTGTTATGTTTTTACCAGCAATGAGACCTGATTCATAGAACCTATACACTTGAAGTTGGCTACTTCACCATCATCATAAAAATATACAACGCAAGGTCCTATACCCTACACTAGCCAACTTTCAACTGTCACTGGGCAGAGAAGTACATAATTCATCCTTGAATTATTTAACAAAAGATGGTTTTATATCTGATAACTATGAACAGTTACCACTGTTGGTTAAATGAATGTAACATCGAGGGACTAGTGTTTCCATAGGAACCATACACTGGAGAAAAAAACATATTAATTAGAAATCTGATCTTGTGCCATTTACATGCACATGGTTGAGAATGTGTGTCACTGTGTAATGTGTACCATGTACCGTTTAAGGTAGACACAGATCTGCTACAGCTGTATGCTTGTGTAACAAGTGATAAACTTAACCCAGCTATTATCTGTCTCAGCCAGCTGGGTCCTTGAGTGACATATTTTATGTCCAACATAGACTCGCAGCAGATAACAAGCCGGTCAGCAAGTCGGAAACTGTGACTCAAATGTTTTGGTTTACAGATCAATGACCTGAGCTAAGAGTAATTATCAGAAAATGAATTATTTTCTTTTTTCACCTAACAATTTCTCTTTGAGGGGTAAGCATAAAAAGATACAGCTACACAAATATCATAAATCTTTAATCATAAAAGAAATTTTCTGTTGTGTTTCGTTATTTGACTTAACATTGTATAGCATGCTAATTCACGATGACCATTCTCGTAAAATATTCACATGTAAGTGATTTTAAATTTCTTTCATTGTCTGATAGGTTAGGTTTGGTTGAATATGACTATCGATATTTGATTGGTTTAAGGAATAATTGGGTATTGTCAAAATTTTCGCCATGCATGTCACAGTATTAGTAATATCTAAAAAACAAATATATATACATGTCTTTCACCACTCTCATGTACATGAAACAGACAAATGAACTTGACAATAAGTCACATCCAAACATTTATATACTAATATAAATAAACATACATAACCCTTCAATCAAAATTCACACGACATGACATATGCCGTAGGTTAAGTGAAATGAATTCATGGTCTGTTATTAGTAGTTAAATGAGTGTGTTTATTATTGTAATTTTTGCAGCTCATAAAATAATTATTAATGGCTGATAATGCTGAAGTTCTTGATTGCACCTTGAACAAATATTGAGTTACAATCAGCCAATAAAAATTATAAATAATTATAATTGTAAATAATAAATTGTAAGTTTGTTTGGATAATATTATATATCATTATATATATTATGTATAGTAAAAGTCTGAAACATTAAACGAGTATAAATAACACTGTGAGTGTCTACAGTCACAAAATTAGTAATGCTTCAGGTAGATCATAAGTACAAAGTCCAAATCTACACTTGGTAGTAAATCAGATATCTATTTATTGATCAAATGCTGCCACCACCTATGCATACCTCTACTGCAGTATATACTGCACTAAAGTATCCTACGTCTCGCTTATTGAAGCAATAGTAACTCATGTTATGTTGTGTACGACATCAGACACATTTTGGACCGAAAAGGAACAGAATGAAATAGATGCACTTTCTGCAGAATTGTTTAAAAATGTCAACTCATTTGTTAAAAACATACACAACTGACATGTTTTAAAGGAGTAGAGTATATCCAAAATCCAAAGAAGAACTATAAAAATTCAAATACCGATGTCAATGATAATTATTGATTAATTGTTCTGAGCCACGTAGATCTATATCCAATAATATCCGGTCGCAGTATTATAATCTGGAATACTCACTGTTTTATCCAAAACGGCTAAGAAAAGCTCAAAAAGACAACACATTTCGACGACAGCACAGACACATTTCATTTCTCATTTTGTGAATCATTTCTTCGAAAAATTCGACAAATTATCTTTTCGTCTTGTAGCCAAATATTTTCCGAATATATTCACGTTCTTACCCAGTTCCCTTTTCCGCTTTAATTTTTCCGGTCCTCCGTAAAATAGGTGACACAGCTCCCGGACATCAAATGTCGCAGTAACACGTTCTTTCTGCAGATCGGGATTAATTTTCCCGCTGACATTTCCAACCACACTGTCACTCGCCATTTTGTTTACGGAAGGTTGATCACATGACTTGTCACGTGATTTGACGAAAACTACAAAGGGGAACATCACATCTAACAAAGACATGTATACATGCTGTAATTCCGTAACAAAGGATGATCGCATATGTATCCAAATCCGAGTAATATCTTTAGTAATTAGATAGCTAATATATTTAACATCCACCCGTCTGTAAAACGTTAAAAAACAAGATTGTTTTGTTTATCTCTTTTTGAATTTTGGATTAAAGTAATGAAATAAACAGGTGTTAATTCATGCAACCACAGCTGTGCTATGAAGAAGAAGAGGAAACATAATTAATTGCCGTGTCACATGTTGAATTACAATAAAGGGCAATTCATTATTCCAGGGATTTAAAAACACCATCCGGTCATATAGGCTATTAGACACAAATATTACAGTTATATAAAAACATTCACAATATATTCACAACATCACATACACACACGCAAGCCCAAAAATTTCACTCGGACTGCATTAGTAAGCCTGAATGTGTCACAGCCCCACAAGTGCATTATTTTCCCTTCCACCTAGCCCTTCGACCCGTGAAGATCCGGGGTAAAATAGGTCTTCAGCAACCCATGCTTGCCACAAAAGGCGACTATGTTTGTCGTGAGAGGCGACTAACAGGATCGGGTGGTCATCTTTTCCCAATTGCGCAGATCGATGCTCATGCTGTTGATCACTGGATTGTCTGGTCCAGACTCGATTATTTACAGACCGCCGCCATATAGCTGGAATATTGCTGAGTGCGGCGTAAAACTAAACTCACTCACTCACTCACATAGCCCTTCCTTCAATGCTAACGCCCTAAATGAAGCAATATTTGATTCCATTAAATCATATTTGATTCACGACTGATGCTTCTATCCATAAAGGGGAGACTGGCATATCACAGAATAGTAATATTGTGTTGCTGTGGTTTATTACGAAATTGTAATATTGTGGTTAATTACGACGGCGAATTGGACATTTGAGTAGTGAGGTGTGTAAAGAGTGAGCATTGTTAAAGTGTAACAATAATCACATAGATTCATTCACATGACATAAATATTGTTTAATATCTACTTTAGGATATATATTGGAATTTAGCTGTCCCAGCCAATAACTGGCACACACACGCACGCACGCACGCACGCACATATACATGACATATGGGCTTTGAGCGCGTAATTCAAAATATTTCATATTTAGGGTCCCGTGAGTTGATTTCCCTGCACATGAAAATCAAAGGAATTAGCATTTTTTGACATCCTACGGTGTATTATATAGAAATAACAAGTAAACATCATAAACAACAATTGGGCTATTTGGTTATATTTCGTCAACCATTACAAACTGCTGGGTTTCTTGTTCCAGCTGGGGCAGTGGGTAACCTAGGCGCGTCCGCTCGTCACGCCGAATTCTCCTTGATTCCCCAGCTGGGTACAATGTGGCCAATTTCTGGTGTCCCCATCCGATGCTGCTGGAATATTGCTTAAAGCGGCGTAAGACCATACTCACTCAATCACTCACGCCGCCGGTGTATGGCTAGTCTGATGTTTAGTCCCAGAAATGTAGCTATTGTATTTAAAAATATACATCTACAAATAAAAAATCTAATGAATGAAATTCCAAATTCAGCCCAGAACAGCTCCTTCAGCTGACGCAATCCAAACCTTGTAAGTCATTTAAACTGAGACTTTAGCAGGGCTATTTTTAAAAACTATTTTCCGGGGCCTGGGAGACATAGTTCAGTGGGGACCGAGTTTGTGTCTGTGGGTAATACTTTAGTGGGAGAAACCTAAACGCAAGTGCAACCGGATGGTGGTGGGCTTTAATGTCCAGTTCCACTCAAAGCGATCGTAGCCCTACAACAGTCGTAAGTCTATGTTAAAGTAAGGAAATCAACTTTGCGCTAATCGCTTCGAGGAACGGGGCCCAGTACTGGTCCGCCATCTCACTGAAGAAATATAAAAATAAAGGTGTTCTGGGTCTTATTCGGTAGGGGACCGTAGGGGGCTTTAAGTTTCTCTGTTTGTTGTGGTGCAGTCGATAGCTACGCTGGTCCAGTTTGTATGTCAGTAGTATTGTGGCTTCCCCCATCTACACCGTTCACGGTACATTTATGTTCAGTTATACGGTATTTAAACGCGTCTTTAGAGTATTTGTTGCGGTATAATATTAATGTCACGGAATGGTGCTTTAACGACATTGTGATCCAGTAAAGAAAGTCGACAAAGGACAGTAAAACACCTTGTTGCATGCTACAATGATTTCTCGGTTACCTCTATGAAGTTCTCTTCTTTCTACATTTCGCGGTATGTTTGAATCTGACGTGGCGAACCCGGGACCTCGGCGTGACGAACGAACGGTTTAACCACTAGGCCACCTCCTCTTGTCATATTTTATATCATCATGAAAGTACCCGTGAAGATCCGGGGTAGAATAGGTCTTCAGCAACCCATGTGCTTGCCATAAAAAGCGACTATGCTTGTCATAAGAGGCGACTAACGGGATCGGGTGGTCAGTTTCGCTGACTCGGTTGACACATGTCATCGGTTCCCAATTGCGCAGATCGATGCTCATGCTGTTGATCACTGGATTGTCTGGTCAAGACTCGATTATTTACAGACCGCCGCCATATAACTGGGATATTGCTGAGTGCGGCGTAAAACTAAACTCACTCACTCACTCACTCATTATGAAAGTTGTTAAAGTTCCCGGTTACAGACTGTAGTAAACTGTCCGCCTCATTATATTATCTGAGTTTTTGTAATCGGTGTTTTTAACATATTTTCTGTCCTGTTGACACCGTCAGATGTCCATATCTAATAGTGTATCCATCCTGGTTCCCTGGGTTTGTTGCGCCTGATGGGAACCAGGGCCCATATTCTCGAAACGTTCGTAGCCCTATGAATTCTTAACTTTGATCGTAGCCAATGTGTTAAGAATGGGCTTAAGAAGTTCGTAGGGCTATACGAACGTTTCGAGAATAGCTAGCCAGGCTGATATTGTATTCCGACAATGCACGGATTGCACCGAATGCTCGTTCATCACTGAAAACACGTGATGTACATGCTATCCTGTTAATATTGTCATATAAATAATAATTAATAATATCTCTGCACGGGACATTTTCAATAAAATTCACCAATTGTCTGTAAGTTGTATGGATCAGAATTAATAATTTGCTGTTGTGAACATATAAACAAATTAATATATCAAAATGACTATATTGCATATATATGTATGTACAGGGATACTCTACAACAGGGATAGGTCACTCGCTGGCTTTCTTTACCATTTGTACTAATTGGGGTGTGCCTCGTCATGCTCCAGCGCACACAGTGACTTGGTTCGTTCCCAGCGCAACTTCGGCTGTTTAACAGTACTTCAGCCAGTGTATTGCATCAGTCGGAATTTTACAATGAATGAATGAATGAATTAAGAGCAAGAATTATATGTGAATGAATGAAAGAAATAAAGAAAAAAGAACAAAATAAAAAGAACATGTGTGAATAAATGATACACCACGGCCATCCCTCCCCAAACATGTTATGTTAAAGAACGCAAAACTATCGGTAGAACACATGTGTTAACATCAGCTGTCCTTTTTTTTAAAAATCTACTTTGAGACATTTTTTTACATTAGTAACTAATTCAGATATCTTATACTATGATCAACAAGAAAGAAAGAAGTTTTAGGACTATAACACTCAAGCATCACAAGCATCAATGGCGTATGTCATATTTTTCACACACCTCAAATACACCCTAACAAAAAAAATTTAAATTATAAAACTATCACTATTACTTGAAAACACCTTTCACCTGATGGTATATTCCCCTCATAAAAATTAAAGGTGTATGTGAAAGATGTTTTAGAACATATAACTAGAAACACTCAAACAACGCCCTGTAGTATTTCAATGGCAGATCGGCGATATGTCATATTTTTCACACACCTCAAATACACATATTTTTCACACACCTCAAATACACCCTAACAAAAAATTAAATGATAAAACTATCACTATTACTTGCAAAACCTTTCACCTGATGGTATATTCCCTCATAAAAATTAAAGGTGTATGTGAAGATGTTTTAGAACATATAACTAGAAACACTCAAACAACGCCCTGTAGTATTTCAATGGCAGAAATCGGTTGGGGTGAAAATCTGAAGGTCGACGTCCTGAGACTAGTTTCACTTTGCCGGTTAATAATGGATTACGAGGACAATGCAGGATCAAAGTGTTGTTAGAGGTGGATAATCCGGATTATGCGGATGAGAGCGCACCTAATGAGAAGATGACAACAGATGACAGATTTTTATTAGTTGACAGATTTTAGCATTTTTAATAAATACATCGTAAATTCATATAGCATCAGATTTTAACCTAAATGTAATAGGTGGGATGCTGAATCAGCAAACTGCCTCACGGACAGTGTTCCTTGTTCAAGCTGGTGACAGATGTTATCCAGTCGTCGCTCCAAATCCCTGTATTTTCTCTTCTTGGAGGGACGCTTCTGGTCAGCAGCATACTGGACTAGCTTGTTTTCGGTGTTGGTCTGTTCTCGTGACAAGAACGACACAATCTCGAAAATGTTTGGATGAGCCTTGCCGACGTATTTCTTCAGGCGGGAATGCCATCCTTCTAGGTGGTTGTTTGTTCTTGGCCCATTTGAGTTGTAGTGGTTCCATTGCGTCAAGTGCAGATCTCCCTCCACCCAGAAGTTTGTCATGTAGTCCCCGAGTTGTCGGCACCGGTCATCATCTGGCATCGTCGCCAAGGTATCCAGCCACAGGTCCTCTACCTGAAGAAGAAAAGATACATTAATTAATGTTACTGAATATACAGGGCAAAATAATACCTTTATTACACAACCTATTGGGGTGGAGTTAACAATTTGTTTTAAAATAACTTACCTCCTGTGCTGGCACCAAAGGCAAGACGGCACATCTCCGGACGAACCTCTTGATCTCGTCATCGTCCTGGTAGGCCTTCTGGAGATGGTGCTGCTGGGTTCTCCTCCATACACACTGGGTGAAGTGGAAGAAGCAGCCCTTCCAGTCGCTTCGGGGGAACACGATCGCAGAGGCGTTTCTGGCGGCAACCTCATAGTCCATCTGCAACAAAATATTGGAACACCATGATACTAATATTGACAACAATGGACAGAAACTGTGCATGGGTTTATAATTATTCGGCGGTGGAAAACCCAAGGATTCTCTTGTCATGGCCGTCGTCGATGAGGAGGAAGGGGTCGCCAGAAATCGTCGTCTTGTATTCATCAGGGAAGACTAGGTCTTCTCGTCTGAGGGGAAGTGGTGGCATCACCGCTCGCCTGGATCTGTAGAGAGTGCTCCGGCACCCGGAAGGTGGGCATGGCAGCAACCAGTGGCTTTGGTCTCATCATTCCAACTTCCATCTCTCATGTCGATAAGGCCTTCTTCGTAGAGGGACTGCATGGGCTGGAGGGTCGAAGCTGCCTTCACCTTCAGCTTTTCTAGCGTCTCCTTCGCCTACAAAAAGCAAAGAATTATTAACCATTTGGTTCCATTTATTAAGCATCTGTTATAAAATTCCAAACTTTTCCATTTATTAAGCATCTGTTATAAAAATCTGTGGCAATAACAAAATTTATACATATATAAGAATTTAAACTCTTACCTTAATATCACGCGTGACAGTTTGATGATTGTGTTCATCGTTCACCATGGTGACGATGTCATTCGTTGTTGATGCTGTGGATTTGCAGCCTTTTGCAGTACATATCCAAGATATCCAGTCTCGTTTTCTCTTGCTGACTCTGTACATGAACCCGCCAACAACCAAGTAACGACCGCCGCGGGCTGTAGGGATGAATCTCTGATCTAGCTGTGCATTTGCCATTTCGAAATCGAATGTGAATCCTTTGGCCATTCCATAGATATTTATACCAAAGATATGAACAGTGTTCAATATTGGCACTCTGCAAAGTGTTATTGTAAACTTTTCAAGTGACATGAGTTCACCCTCAAGTGACATGTGCATGTGCGACGAGTTCACCTAATCAAAACATCTAGAGTAGATTATCCTAAGCCTAATCAGAACCTAAACTTCAAAGAAAACCGCAGGTCGGCGTCCTGAGATTAGTGGAAAATCGAAAGGTCGGCGTCGTGAGACGACGCCACCATTTTTCACACACCTCAAATACACCCTAACAAAAAAAAAATAATTATAAAACTATCACTATTACTTGCAAACACCTTTCACCTGATGGTATATTCCCCTCATAAAAATTAACGGTGTATGTGAAAGAACAATAACTAGAAACACTCAAACAACGCCCTGTAGTATTTCAATGGCAGATCGGCCATATGTCATATATTTCACACACCTCAAATACACCCTAACAAAAAACATTTAGTTATAAAACTATCACTACTACTTGCAAACACCTTTGAACTAAAGGTATATTTCCCTTCTAAAAATTAAACGAATATGTGAAAGAGGTTTTTAGTGATAGAATTTAGTCTTTCTTCGCTGTGTACTGAGAATTGAAGCCAGTGAGCTACAACAAGCCGACTTGAAACTTTACTACAAATCTACTGTACTAATACTGCCACTAATAACAATTATTTGACTTAAAATGAAGTGACAGAATAGGTAACTTATCTTCTACATGTAGGTTTTCAATTGTCACAACACTCAGCGTATGTAATCAGCTGTTGAAAATAAACCGGGCTCAATCTTAAAAACTACGCTGCCGCCATATTGGCTACACTGGTCACGTGACGAGCCGAGGCATAGCTTAGGGGTTTTCCGAGGAGTAACCACTCCCCCTTATAGAGTCTCCCTGGTATGTATATATGTGTGTGTGTGTGTGTGTGTGTGCGCGCGTGTGCATGTGTGTGTGTGTGTGCGCGCTATGTATGTATGTATATCTATGTGTGTATAAGTCCGACCGAGGCCAATACAGGCTTACATTGATCAAACATGTTATCTGGAACCCAAAAAGATGTATATGACGAATATGAATTATAACAAATTAAACATTAATTTCTCATAACACTTTTCTTTTTCGTGTTTCGAGACAATATAGTCGTATTGATCCAAAGCGTCCATGAAATATGCCAAGTTCAGTGTTCGCAACCATCTGGGCAATAGCCCCATACTACGTGATCTACAGAACAAGTTCAGAAACATATGTAGGCTAGATCTGTGGGGCATGCCTATAAATCAACATTAACGGTAATGAAAAGATACACGCATTTTATCAAAGTCGTCAATAATATACTTTGATCTTAGTTGCCATGTATCTCTTCGATACTGTCTTCTTTTCTTTTTCAGGCATTGAACAAATCAAAACAACTATAACTTGAAGCTACATATAATACGACATTAAAAGGGCATTTAACTTTACTTCAATCTAACGACTAAAGAGTATCCCTATTATAGAGTTACAATGCGAGTTCACAAAAAAATCTTGTAGCTATAATAACCACGTCTTAGCATAGCCTGCAAATGGTCAGAACTGTTATTACAATCAGTCAGGGATACTCGGCAACGAATACATGGGGTGCATGGCGGGATGGTTTACAAGAAAGAGTGTACAGTTTTCATGATGGTATTACAAAATATACATAGTTTTTTTTAAAACACTAGTTCGTTTACAGTTGAACAATCTGTTACATTTTAACACATTGGGTTTTTTAACATAATGGTTTGGGATATAAGTGTTCCGATGATGAGGTTCTTGATATTGGTATTCAAGTATAAGACAAAATATTATGGATCTACAATAAAGAAGAAGTTGACATCCATAATATTTTGCCTTATACCTTTCCGATGATGTTTGAAGAAAGGGCGGAGAAAAATGTAATGAAATTCATCGCCAACATCACACGTGTCACAGGGTTTACACATAATTTCTTTGAGGGGCGGTGGGGTAGCCCAGTGGTTAATCGAGACGGACTCGTTATATAAAGAAATGTCATATGAAATTTACAGCCTTGTTCGTTTCACGCAGGTGTTCGCTGGCATTGTCACGTGATGTCATAGCAACCAGTTTAACCAATGAGCGCACACTTCCTTTGCACGAGTTTTTGATGCGCGTTAATTCAGACTGGAATGGAAGCAGACGTGGGACAAATTCAACAGCTGCAGAGTTGTCCGATTAATTCTAACAAGCAGGTGAGATTTAATTTATAACCGAGATATTAATAACTTATAACAGACACTTATTATTGGTATTTCTACTTTTTACACGCTGCAATGAACAGTTTCTGTAAACGTTCGATTATGAAACGTACTCAGCGAGATTCTTGTCCTGTTGTCAGTGTTGAGGTACCACTGAAAATACGCTCAGTGCGAGATTATGTAAACACATTATCCATTTCCGGCCATAGTACATATACACTAACAAAGTATGGCATGTGCGTTATCGGGGGTGAGTAAATAAAAGTTTGACACCATTTTCAACAGTACGAATGTCCATATCACCAAAATATTACCGAATCTTTGTCTAACATTGTATTGTGGGTGCTGTTGCAATATTGATGCAATAACAGATACGAAACCAATAACCTGAACACATTTGAATGAATAATTTTTATATTTGAGGATGACCCTTAATATCTATGGGAGAGGTGCAGTGCAAGTTATAGTTTGATTGTGTAAATTTATCGAGAATTACCACTAATTATATATCATTGAACTCGGGAAAAAGTCCCACATCCAGGCGCGTTGCAAGCCGATTTTTTCGTGTAAGCCCGATAGCTTGTAAAGCTTTATATTTAGATAGTATTGGGGGCTTGCCCAACCTTTTTAGCAACAGTCATGTGTACGCCCGGGCTTTTTTCTATAACGGTAGCTACGCCCCTGACATCCCACTGTTTAACTAGTAACGTTACAATCAAATAAATGAATTGTTTTCAGATTAGATTTGGATGGTCTTTTGTTTAAAGGAAAGGTGCAGTTAGATACAGATCTCGTATGTTTGTCAACAGTAACAGGATACATTTGAAGTTGGGAGTCACGGTCGGATTATTAGCCTTGCTTACATGTTTTGGCTTGTCCAATTTACTTCAACTGATGTATTGTTTTCAAAATGAATACAGCTGATACAATGCACCCTAAAGCTAAAGAAAACTCTTTCCTTCATATGTCCAACTGCATTTGCGCGCGCAAAATTTGCGATATGCGAGACGGGGTCTAAGCTGGACATTTCTATGTAAGTTTATAGCCATACGCAGATCCAGGACCATGTAAGCGCAATTCTCGCACAACGTGTTGATCACCGGATTGTCTGGTCCAGTCTCCATTATTGACAGAACCCCCGCCCTATAGCTGGAGTATTGCTGAGTGCGGCGTTAAACAGCAAACCAACCGGTCAGCTAAATCACTCTGATGGTTCAGACTGTTTCACTGACGGCAGGTGGCCACACAGATGCTTATTACCTCACTTCAGCTGTTCTGGTGTTGTGTCCAATGTCTTCTACATCATCTACAGCTTGTCCTTCGTTGGAACATTTACCAAGCTCTTTACAGACGATATCACATTTCTTTGGATGCAGTCGTGTCGGACTGTGAATCGTTTTGGAAGTGTGAAACTAGAATTCCAGACATTCTAAAATATTTCAGGGCTGGTATAGTTGTAACGATTACGAAGGGGATGATATATACTGTACTTTCTGTCTTTGAGAGTCTCGCACTAAGTGACTTGTGGTCAAGGAAGCGTCTGACCTGATCCATTTCTGATACCCGATCGACCGCCTCTGTGGTGTAGTGGTTAGAGCGTCCGCCCGGAGAGCGGAAAGTCGCGGGTTCGATCCCCGACGGCGTCACCAAAAGACGTGAAAATATGGTACTTGTTGGTCCCTGTTGGCGCTCGGCATTAATGGGTACAACAAGGACTGGTCGGCTCGGAGTCAGTATAATGTGTCAGAGTGGGGTATTCATGCTTCACTGCGGCATGGTATCTCAGTGGGCTAGCACTATAAAACCAGCTTTAGTCTGGGCTAGTACAAGCAGCCGCACATACACATACACGCATGCACGTCGCCATATGAGCGAAATATTCTCAAGCACGACGTAAAACCCAATTTCACCTCACCTCATCTGATACCCGATCTAACTGATGGTTCTGTTGTAATTAGTGCGATAAATGAGTAAGTGAGTAAGTTTAGTTTTTGCGCTGCCTTTAGCAATATTCCAGCAATATCACGGCGGGGGACATCTGAAATGGCTTCATACATTGTACCCATATGGGGAATCGAACTCGTGTCTTCGGCGTGACGGGCGAACGCTTTATCCACTATAGGCTACCCCACCACCCCGCGATAAATGAGACTTGCACAGGTATTCAAAAAGTTATAGAAAACGTTCTCTACTAGCTGGTCGTGAGCTTCATGATGAGAAAACATATTATTACTTTCAATATAACTTATGATTTTATAGAAATGGAATGTATTTATGCTATTTTGCAGAAGTCTCGATCTACCAACGATTGCGTTTGGCAATGAAGTAAGATAATATTGCTTTTGTATCAGGTAATGCTGCTAGATTGGTCCGCTTTATTACAGTTCAACCAGAAATTATTGAAAATTTAAGATTGTAATTTAAAAAAAAAAAGATTCACTCATTACTCACGTATTAAATGTGAATATTAGCAGAACATAACTCCAGATTCAAAGACAGGTGAACAGTTAGTATTTTGTCAAGTCACTATGGGCAGCAATGCAGGCTTCAATGCGGCGGGGCATACTACTGATAAAAGAAGTTAGAAAGTCGTGGTCCATGCTGTCCCAATATCGGACCACCTCTTCTTTCATTTCAGCAATATTTGTCAGATTTTTCTTATTGACACTTTCCTTCATAAGTCCCCAAACATGTTCTATTGGATTTAGGTCAGGGCTATAGCTTGGCCAATCTAATAATGTCATATTTGTGGTCCGAAACCAGGCCTGTGAATGCTTTGAACGATGCTTTGGGTCGTTGTCCTGCTGGAAAATCCAAAACTTTCCATTGAACACGTGAGCAGATGGAAGTAAATGTCCCTCGAGAATATCTGTGTACCTCTCACTGTTCATATTTCCTTCAAATACACAGAGGGACGTTGCCCCTAACACAGGCTCCGCGAATTTCTCAATAGCAGTATGATCGAAAAAGAAAAATATCACATAGTCGTAATGAACAGAACATACGTGCACTTGAATAACCGGACTATGAACTATCTGATTAACTATAAGTATACAATAAACGGTGGACGTTAATACTATCTCCAGCAGCTCGATGACATAAGCATACATTTCTATGCCGGCAGAATTATTTTCAGGACTTAAGTCTTCCATTGGCGCAATCTTTACTCGATACACCCTCAGTTGTCCCGTGGGCTAAGATGGAATTAAGATGTCCTGTTATCCTATGTAGGTTACCTAGACGACCAAGGTGCCTGGACATGGGTTACACACTACAACTGTCCGTGGTCATGTGGGCTCCTTTCCGAGAAAGCCATGTTATGTTGGACTTTCCCTGTGAAGAACGTGGTTAGTAGATATAGGGGGTGTATTTTGCTGGTCAGAATATTCCGAGTAGCGGGGAAAGTATAACCTTCCGCATGCATGGTGAAGTGTAAGAATGAGCGGCGGGTGCTGTCCACACCCAATATGATACACCAGTTACCGGTGAAAGGCAGTTGTAGTGTCAGCTGAGGTCGTCCAGGAGTCTGGTTGCATGTTCATATATCGATATAGCTTTCACTGCTTCAATGTGCACAGTAGTTCGTGCAAAGACAGTGAAACATTGTATACTCGAACACCTTTTATGCGTAATGACGAACCTTGTAGTCCCTCTCCCTCATGTGACGCGTGTTTTCGGATCGTTATACACAATTTCAGTTATCTCACAAGGTAAGGTTTGATTAGTCGATTTTGTATTAGACAACTCGACTTTCAGTTAAGAAAAATTTATTTCAGCCAAAAACTGATATTGTTCAATACATGCATGCAAATGTCTCATTTAATGGTTGACAGACATTCGCTGGTCTCTTTGCCAGTGAATGTCCATATTGGCTGACATGGAGTGGTTTCTGCTCGTTTATCACAATCTTCGCAGATATGCATTAGTCTCTTTCCCGGTTTATCTCCATCTTGGCAGGCATGCACACCATCTTGGCACACATGCACACCATCTTGGCACACATGCACACCATCTTCGCAGGCATGCACACCATCTTGGCAGGCATGCACACCATCTTGGCAGGCATGCACACCATCTTGGCAGGCATGCACACCATCTTGGCAGGCATGCACACCATCTTGGCAGACATGCACACCATCTTGGCACACATGCACAACATCTTGGCAGGCATGCACACCATCTTGGCACGCATGCACACCATCTTGGCAGGCATGCACACCATCTTGGCAGGCATGCACACCATCTTGGCATGCACACCATCTCTCGCAGGCATGCACACCATCTTGACACACACACCATCTTGGCACGCATGCACACCATCTTGGCAGGCATGCACACCATCTTGGCACACACCATCTTGGCATGCACACCATCTTGGCAGGCATGCACACCATCTTGGCAGGCATGCACACCATCTTGGCACACATGCACAACATCTTGGCAGGCATGCACACCATCTTGGCACACATGCACAACATCTTGGCACATGCACAACATCTTGGCAGGCATGCACACCATCTTGGCAGGCATGCACACCATCTTGGCAGGCATGCACACCATCTTGGCACACATGCACAACATCTTGGCAGGCATGCACACCATCTTGGCACATGCACACCATCTTGGCACGCATGCACAACATCTTGGCAGGCATGCACACCATCTTGGCACACATGCACACAATCTTTGCAGGCATGCACACCATCTTGGCAGGCATGCACACCATCTTGGCACACATGCTCACCATCTTGGCACACATGCACACCATCTTGGCAGGCAGGCACACCATCTTGGCAGGCAGGCAGGCACACCATCTTGGCAGGCAGGCATGCACACCTTGGCAGGCATGCACACCAGGCATGCACACCATCTTGGCAGGCATGCACACCATCTTGGCACGCATGCACACCATCTTGGCAGGCATGCACACCATCTTGGCAGGCATGCACACCATCTTGGCACGCATGCACACCATCTTGGCAGCACACATGCACACCATCTTGGCACACATGCACACCATCTTGGCAGGCATGCATGCACACATCTTGGCAGGCATGCACACCATCTTGGCACACATGCACACCATCTTGGCAGGCATGCACACCATCTTGGCAGGCATGCACACCATCTTGGCACACATGCACACCATCTTGGCAGGCATGCACACCATCTTGGCACACATGCACACCATCTTTTGGCATGCGCACCATCTTGGCACATGCACCATCTTGGCACGCACCATCTTGGCAGCACACCATCTTGGCATGCATGCACACCATCTTGGCAGGCATGCACACCATCTTGGCAGGCATGGCAGGCTTGCACACACCATCTTGGCAGGCATGCACACCATCTTGGCAGGCATGCACACCATCTTGGCACGCATGCATACCATCTTGGCAGGCATGCACACCATCTTGGCAGGCATGCACACCATCTTGGCAGGCATGCACACCATCTTGGGGGCATGCACACCATCTTGGCAGGCATGCACACCATCTTGCAGGCATGCGGTCTCATCTGGTGGTCTATCCCTTTCTTGGCAGACATGCATAAGTCTCATCTGGTGGTTTATATNCCCCATCTTGGCAGGCATGCACACCATCTTGGCATACATGCACACCATCTTGGCAGGCATGCACACCATCTTGGCAGGCATGCACACCATCTTTGCAGGCATGCAAACCATCTTGGCAGGCATGCACACCATCTTGGAAGGGGCATGCACACCATCTTGGTAGGCATGCACGGGTCTCATCTGGTGGTTTATCCCCTTCTTGGCAGACATGCATAAGTCTCATCTGGTGGTTTATCCCCTTCTTGGCAGGCATGCACGGGTCTATTTGGTGGTTTATCCCCTTCTTGGCAGACATGCATGGTCTCATCTGGTGGTTTATCCCCATCTTGGCAGGCAAACACGGGTCTCATCTGGTGGTTTATCCCCTTCTTGGCAGACACGCATGGGTCTCATCTGGTGGTTTATCCCCATCTTAGCAGACAAACACGGGTCTCATCTGGTGGTTTATCCCCTTCTCGGCAGACATGCATGGGTCTCATCTTGTGGTTTATCCCCATCTTGGCAGACAAACACGGGTCTCATCTGGTGGTTTATCCCCTTCTCGGCAGACATGCATGGGTCTCATCTTGTGGTTTATCCCCATCTTGGCAGACAAACACGGGTCTCATCTGGTGGTTTATCCCCTTCTTGGCAGGCAAACACGGGTATCATCTGTTTTTTATCCATTTCTTGGCAGACATGCACGGTTTCAGTTGGTGGTTTATCCCCTTCTTGGGAGACATGCACGGGTTTCATCTGGTGGTTTATCCTCATCTTGGCAGACATGCATGGTCTCATCTGGTGGTTTATCCCTATCTTGGCAGGCAAACACGGGTCTCATCTGGTGGTTTATCCCCATCTTGGCAGACATACATGGGTCTCATCTGGTGGTTTATCCCCTTCTTTGCAGACAAACAGGGGTCTCATCTGTGGTTTATCCCCTTCTTGGCAGACATGCATGGGTATCATCTGTTTTTTATCCATTTCTTGGCAGACATGCACGGTTTCAGTTGGTGGTTTATCCCCTTCTTGGGAGACATGCACGGGTTTCATCTGGTGGTTTATCCTCATCTTGGCAGACATGCATGGGTCTCATCTGGTGGTTTATCCCCATCTTGGCAGACAATCACGGGTCTCATCTGGTGGTTTATCCCCTTCTTGGCGGACAAACACGGGTCTCATCTGGTGGTTTATCCCCATCTTGGCAGACAAACACGGGTCTCATCTGGTGGTTTATCCCCTTCTTTGCAGACAAACAGGGGTCTCATCTGTGGTTTATCCCCTTCTTGGCAGACATGCATGGGTCTCATCTGGTGGTTTATCCCCATCTTGGCAGACAATCACGGGTCTCATCTGGTGGTTTATCCCCTTCTTTGCAGACAAACAGGGGTCTCATCTGTGGTTTATCCCCTTCTTGGCAGACATGCATTGTCTCATCTGGTGGTTTATCTCCATCTTGGCAGACAAACACAGGTCTCATCTAGTGGTTTATCGCCATCTTGGCAGACAAACACGGGTCTCATCTGGTGGTTTATCGCCTTCTTGGCAGACATGCACAGGTCTCATCTCGTGGTTTATCCCCATCTTGGCAGACATATGGGTCTCACCTGGTGGTTTATCCCCTTCTTCGCATACATGCACGGGTCTCATCTGGTGATTTATCCCCATCTTAGCCGACATGCACGGGTCTCATCTGGTGATTTATCCCCATCTTAGCCGACATGCACAGGTCTCATGTGGAGGTTTATCCCCATCTTGGCAGACATGCACTGGTCTCTTTGTTTGTTAATCACAATCCTGGCAGACATGCACATTTTTTCACTATTATGTGAGACTTAATTTTTATCTTGAGGACAAGGGCTGTATTTTTTTGGTTAAGAAACATCCTTATTTTATCATGATTCATGGCAAGTGTCTGGTCAAAGGGGAGCAACTCTATCATTACTTATGTCATAATGCAATACTTTCATCTGGTCCCGGTTTAAAGGTATTTGAAAGAGCCGAGGGATGTGTGAAAGGGATGAGAATGTTTTTTTTCTCTTATTCTGAGGATCACAACCACTGTAAAGTGAAATAGAAACAAGTCAGATGTGAGGCGTGTGTGTGATGCTCTGTCACAATCATTCATATCCAATGACTTCAATGTCATGAAGTAATGCATCAGCTGCAGGAGCATTAGCCATTACTTCACGGCTTGGATTTGATGGTTAATAGACTGACCATGGGCTGACAACCACATCTTCTCAACCCATGGCCCTGTACATATCAAGACAATGTGAACACAGACCTTCCTTCATTGTGGATCTGAGAAAAATCTTGACTAACTCCTTTTAAAGTTTCTGTCAGAAGAGAAAATAATATGGTTCACTGGTTGCGAGACCGAGACTTTTGGTGTTGAGTTGAGTTGAGTTTTACGTCACATCGGCATTATTCCAGACATATAGTGACTTATCATTATTATTTTCCTTGTTGATGTATATTTGAAAAAAAGTTTATTTCAGAGAAATAAATACATTTCATGATGAAAAGACAGTCACATAGCTGGGATGAAGTGCCAATCTTCAGGGGCGACCGTCTTCGTGGTGTAGTGGTTAGAGCGTCCGCCCCGGAGAGCGGAAGGTCGCGGTTTCGATCCCCGACCGCGTCATACCAAAAGACGTTAAATATGGTACTTGTTGGTCCCTGCCTGGCGCTCGGCATTGATGGGTACAAGAAGGACTGGTCGGCTCGGAGTCAGTATAATGTGTCTGAGTGGGGTATTCATGCTTCACTGCGGCATGGTATGTCAGTGGGCTAGCACTATAAAACCAGCTTAAGTCTGGGCTAGTACAAGCAGCCGCACATACACATACACACGCATGCACGTCGTCATATGAGCGAAATATTCTGAAGCACGACGTTAAATCCAATTTCACCTCACCTCACCTCACCTTCAGGGGCAGACACTCGATCCACTAGACCACAGACACAACTGAGTTGGATTACATTTAATACCAACACCCAGTACAGATCAATGCACAGTTATGCATGGGGCTACATAGTGCATTTTGTCAACGTGGCTAAAACACTTCGCTATCCACGTTTATTCCTCAGTAAAACTTCACACTTAAGTAAAATGACAAAACATTATAGGCAAATCATTAGGTATATATTTTATTCCAAGTTTGCAGCGTATCACTTGTATACACTTATTGGCCACTCATTCAAACAATAAAACATAGTGACGTCCATTTTTATACAGGAGGGGGATAGTTACAAGTATATAAAACTGTCATAAAATGTTATTTGTGCATTTGAACGTCATATTAACAACGAAGATGCATTACCACCAAAACATAATATATCTGGTGTTTTGATGGTGTTCAAAAGGGATGAGAAATCTAGTTTCAGACCCCATGGTTATTATAAAACTATTTCTGGTCATTTTTGTCTTATATTTAACAAACCTTTTAAATGCATATTGTGACAGAAGTATGTTTCTATCAAAGATCTCATGAAACTGAAACAGAATTCTGATAAAGTCATAAATATGTTCATAAAAACATTTACATAAATTACACATTACAAATTAGACATGAATTATATTGCCGTTGACATACATGGTTATAGATTATTTCAAGGGTTATCATGCAATATCAGCTTGAATAAATAGCTACAAACATCATCATGCTGATGGATAATACACACAATGATTTACTATTCAGGTTGTATTTCAAATCACCTGTACTGATTTCATTTGTACAATTTCTCTGAAACACAAAACAGCAACAAATATTGACAAAACATCACAATTTCCCATCGCGACACACTCCAACATGCAATCCTAAACATTACGCACACAATTTGGAACTAATTATAACTGAACAGAAGACAAATATTTAAAAAAGTTTTAGATGCACACTGTCTTGATCAGTTGAATGAAATAAATGTCTATCCATTTCATGTAGCATTTAAAGCAGTTGCATGTCATCAACCATAAAAACAAAGGAAGTAACTTGCATCAGCCGTTTTGGTTGGTAAGTTTCACAAGAAAAGGGAGATAATTCACAGCAAAGTCCCTTTGAACATATAGCCTTAATGCCAAACAAACAAACACACTCGATCATCTGCTGAAGCACATTTCACTTTCATTAAATGGCAAGCAGTGAAAATCATGAATGGATCACTGCAAAAATCATTGATGACACCAGGTGATGATTAAAAAGTGTGTCCTGCTCTTCCTCAAGCACCAACCACTCAGAAATTTGCATAAAAAAGTAAATTTTTCATGGTTGAAAGACTAATTATGCAAAGTGTTCTGAAAGAAATCCAGTAAACATTCATGCTTCCTATTAGGAAACAAAACACACAAAAATCTCGTCACACATTTCAATCCACTGCATATATACAAGTAACGATTTCTGGTGATCTTTCCAAATGCAGGTATTGATAGATGTTTTTCAATTATTCTGCTACTAAACTGTTGATGAGAACTTAAAGGTAGCTTCAACCACATTGACACAGAAAGTGGTTTTGGACTTTCCATAATAGAACTCAATCATCATGCTGTTTTCATTTTGTCCAAATTGTGCTCATTACATAACCACTATCCTTTAATACTGCAAACAGGTATACACAACTTTCATTCCACAAGAAACAAACATGTCAAATGTGTTTTTAGTCAAATAAGAGCAAATAACAAGGTGAATGGTTTCCATTGCCTATAGAGGTGAACAACACCATACAAATTCTGAAGTAAACTTCATTAAATATAACATAAATTAGACCTAAAGATGACTGGGTCTGTAACAGGAACAGCTTTGAAATTACACTGTAACTCCAGTGAAGCTATTTGCTCAAATTTGAGAAAAAGATAAATCTTTCAAAACATGAACATCAAGAAATAAATAATGCAGAGCCACATGAGAAATATTTATCAGTACAAAAGGGTTGTATTTGTTGCATACATGACCATAAGGAAAGTATTCTATCAGAGATTTGGATAAATACTCAGGAACTGACAATAAGAAAACATTCCTCAATGAAAATAGATTGACTGAAGCAAGCAAGCCTCATTACAAAATGTATATCAATGTCATGTTCTGAGTTGCATTGAGAGTGTTGAAACACACTTACTAACCAGTGAAAACATTTGCTGATGTTAAAAGACACTGCCAAGTTGAAAACACAGTATGGGCAAATATTGCATAATATATCTCATAAGTGGAAGACGTGAAATAATCATCCTGCAATTAATCAGATTTACCATGTAGACAGATACCGGTGATCAGTGATAACCAACCAACAACCTACAGATTCTCGGACAAAAGATGGATCTTTTTTTCCATATTTGTGGAGATATAAACACAGAAAACACTAAGAAATGTAACACAACATAAATCTAAAATTAGCACTAAACCATAACTTGAGAAACATAATTCTCTAAAAAGTTTTTTTCCCAATTATTACATCATTTGGTGTTAAAAAGTGACCATCAAATGATGACCGTTAATCTTCTAAAAAGGTTAAAACTGTATTGTGAAAGTTTATTGCACTGCTTGCTCAGGCACCTCAACACAGGACTATTGATGTGATTCTAACCTCTTAACTTGACCTTGTCAGGACAATGTTGATAGCATAAACCATCTTACCCAAAAAATAAAGTCTGATAAATAGACACTGATTAAAAATGTCACAAGACACTAACTTTGAGAACTAGCCAGAACTGTATAATTCTCTTTATGGCCAGGCAGCAACCAAAAAGACGACAAACTAAGTCAAAATATTTTCCCCATGCATTCAACACGACAAGACCAGTAATTCACAGTACGATACCAATATATTACCTGAACACTTTACAAATATTATGCATAAAATATGCCTATGGTAACATTCTGTTAGCAAACATATTGGGTAAGTGTTAGCATAGTTACATATTTGTACAAAAATATGGTATATTTCTGAAAATAATTTTCCCTATATGCAAACAATGCTGTTGTGAACCAAATACATATTGAAACAATAACCAATCAGAAATTCTGAAACAGAAAGATTCTAATTCGGCAGAATGGATACTGTGATATATATATATATTAATAATTTATTTTTCAAACCTTGAAAATTCTTTACCAAGACGTGATAAGATATTGAATGTTACCAGTAAGGAAACAATTTAATGAAAAATCTGTTGGTATAAAACTAAAACATGAACCATTTTACAAAGGCACAAAGGAAAGCAGTTAATTTTAAGTGGCCATCAAGAAACCTGAATCCACCACAGCAAATTACCCTCTTCACAGATTTCATTGCACTTTCTTAGAGCACAAATTAAGATTTTCAAGCCTCTTCTGATACACATTTTCAACACAAAAGCCTAAAATCCCTCAATAACTTTCTGTTGTTTGAACTAGAGTTTACAGTTCATGAAAAAACATAAAAAAAATTAACACCTTCAAGTAAAAATACCAATGTTAACCAATGTCACAATGGCTGGCAATTTCTCCTTATTAGAAACTTATTCAAAATACTCTTCAAAAGGTATAGATTTGTGTGGAAATGTTTTTTATCACTTATGACATATTTAGAAGATGATCTTAAAATAATGTATTGACAGTATGTGATGTATCTTGGCCTTCACGAAGGACAATATTCGTCCACAGAGCTGCAGAAAATGTTAGTAAGTATTTCCAATTCCCAAAACAATGTACACAGTAACTGTGTTAAGGCTTCGAATACTGAACAAGTCTTACAACAACCAATCTGAGCAAGATTTCCCATAAAGTCTGCCTTGGAATCCTTGATAAATGCCTGGAAATCTAGAGACTGGCATAACAAAAAAAACCCTAAATTGTCAATCTAAATGCCATTACCAATGTATAAGCTGGGTATGATCCTTCCAAGACCTGTCCTGAAATTCACTGGCAAAAGTGATACACAAGTTAAAAGCAAAACGTGTCAAATACATACTGAATGAGGTAGATAGCTAAAGCAAAACTAATAAATTTCCATCACAAAAAACACTAAGCACCCTTATCGAAATGTGGTCGAAACGTGAGGAAATTGTATAAAACTGTTCAAGTTGCACTTCATTTCCTTCCATCATACTTACTCTTTTTTTGGGTGATAAATTAGCAAACTAGCTGTTAGGAAAGCAATAGAAATACAACTTGAACAAATCTACATGTCATGTTCGACTAGGAAATGTATTTTCATGTCTGTTTTCACTTGCTTGACTACACAAACAACGGGGACATATTTTGACCTGGAATTGTGTGTTATACATAGGCTTTTCCTGACATGATGAACCTATCTGTCAATCTCAGTAACTGTTTTGTACCATATGCTGATACGTTCTACACTGGCAGGTCCATTGGCAGCATATAACCTCATTCCCTTTCACATAACTTAAATGTGAACTGAGTCCCCGGACAGGTCACTTCAAAATACTGAATCCACCTCAATGTCTAAATCAACATTCACTTTCAGATGAAAACAACTTGAAGTAATTCATCAAATAGGCTATCAAAATGCACTTCCATGTTTCTTAAAAAAACAACAACAAAAAATCCAACCCAACTGTTGTGGTTTAAGCATAGCAGTCAGAGATAACAGCCTTGGTTGCATGATCTGTCAAACAAACAACAGAGCCAATATTGCTCATTGATTGGATTGTGCCAATCAATATCAGGTGTCAGAATGTCCATGTACAAATAGATGCAGTGAAACATGGTGTGGAGGAAAAGGTGTGTTCTAATGCATGTAGTTTTGATTTGATTTTGTGAGTGGTGATACCCATGAAATTGAGCATGATTCAATCAATAAAGCAATACTGGCCTTGCAGATCACAATATTTGGCACTTATGAGTACAGAAATCTTTTAAGGGTGCAATATTTAGCCGACTGGAATTACGACCACATTGTTTACCACTAACTTTTGTGAAACTTAATAGAAGATTTTCATAGAAAAAAGATGTTTCATACTGTTTAGATGTCTAAACCAAACTGTAACACAACTGTGCAGACTTTTGAAATCATTGTGGGTTATCAAATCATTAGGGGCTGTTCTGGCATAAATATTGCACCCCTTTAGAATGAAGTTCGCATGATGTACAGAATTCTCTGAAAATCCTGACATCATATTACAAACTAAAACGTGATAAAATATAAAAAAGACAAGACCTGCTTTTCCAATTTGAATCATAGTGATTTAAACCTAATTAATAATGTTTAGTTCTGATCAAATGGTGTAACTTGTCAACAAAAACATAGTCTAAAAGGCACATTATCCATGGATACACAGACGTGTCATGAACACTTGGTTTTAACTTGATGACCAGATGAGAAGGAATCTCACTTTCATTTTATTTTTACTGTATTTTACATGCCTTTGCTTTTTGTACAATGACTGGTTAATAATCTCCCTTTATGGGGGAAACTTATTCTTCACAAGGAGTACAAAAAAACAAAAGAAATGATTATTTGACAAATATCTATATCTTCTAATATTGCATATACACCTTTCCTTCAAATATAGATTACATTACATATGTGTGTATACAAATCATCACAAATATGTATAAAGGTTTAGTCTGTCTTTTTACAATTAACTTTTTACAGCAAAAATACCTAAGGTATTTGAAAATTCAACCTGGGTTTGAATTCCTAAACCAGAACCATAGTTCTCCAGAATTTAAAGTACACATTCAAACAAATATTAGAGATATGGCAATATTTTGTACTTCTCAAGATACCACAGTTCTAGATTACATTTTCAGATACAAATGTAAGAATATCCCTGTATGTCCAAATCATTACTTACAAGGTGCATACAATTTAGTGACAATTGCAGCCATCTCATGATATAGTGTCAATGTCGCCATGCATTCAGACTATTTCATCAAAAGGGCATCGTATTAAATCACTGCAAACAATGTCTGTCGCCATTAAACATGCCATGCTACAACACTTGGACAATTCGAATCTAAGCATCATTGGCTTTTTAAATGTATTTTTCTTATACTAAGCTCGGAAGACCCATAAGTGAGGATGTTGCACTGTAATGGACTTCCATGCAAAGGGGAGGTGGCACAAGCTGAACAACTTCAGTCAAAAAATGTCAAATCAAGCAAAACCCTATACATCAAAACACAAATTCCAGTGAAAATTGCACACAAAATTTGAATGTTACAAAGTGTCACTGCATCATGATATTTCACCTTGATTTTACAAGTGTGCGAAATCTAACAATTTTTAATATATATCACGAAAGATAGTCGAAACTAAAAAGATGTTCAAATATTTTCATGGTACAGCTGAGTGGCTAAAATGTCGCCAGTGACTATTGTCTGGCACGCAATTTCAGCTGTTTTCTTCTCAGGCACCTGTGTTGTGTCGGTCCTTTTGTGTCGTGGACTCTCCCCTTTTTCTGTTCCATTTGTCAATTTATCTTCTTTCTTTTCTGGGACTTCTCTGGGGCTGTCACTGATCACTGACTTGTTCATGTAATATCGCTCTGCAACCATTGTCAACTGTGGGCTTTCATCCTCCTCATCACTGAAGTAAATTTCTTCAACACCTTTCAACCCATCAACTTCATTTGGCTTGAAATTCCACACAGGTACCACTCCAGCACCACTTGGAGCTGCATCTGAAAATGCATATTTAATTCCACCTATCGTTAATGGTGTTGTGACTTCAGTACTGTCATTCATATCAGGGATAGCCTTTCTCATTTCTTCCTCAATATTGCTAACAGGAGTCACTACATCTTTAGGTGTGCCATCGAGCTGTAGATCAAGCTTGGCAGCAACCTTTTCAATGAGGTCCTCTATAGATTCATGCTCCTTCCATACTTTTGTAGCCCGCCAACGGGCTCTGCTTCCTTTTGATGCGGGTATTGCATCAAAACAGACAGTTTCTCCAACCCTCAGCAGTTTATTAAGATCATCAATGTGTTTGCCAAATATTGTCCGATCTATGAAAACGTGTTCGTGTTTGCCGAGATCAATGATACCCCAAAGTTTGGCGACATGGTAGACCTTCCCTTTCCTACTAGTGACTGTAGGCTTGGTTTGGACTTGAGGTCTGCTCCCCGTGATTATTACATTTAGTCGAGTATTCTTGATGACTGAAACCATTCCATCCTCAGAAATCGTGAAGATGTTGGAATGGGTACGGATGAACTTTTCCAGTTCCTGCTTTCCCCAGCCAATTGTATTGCGTAGACTTTCTGGTGCTTGGTTGAAGTTTCCAGAAAGACTGTTGATCTTCATGTCACCTTTCTTCTCAATTATTCCTTTTATAAACATGACAGCTTTGTACTCATTGGCTGTCATAGTTACAGGGCCAGGTTTTGACCCTGATGTAGGTGTTTTGGGTGCAGCAGTCGGTGGTTTCATCTCTGCAACATCCAATGATTTGGGTCGCCGTTTCAATCTGGGAGTGTGTTGAGAAGGCAGTACCAAAGGATCATGAGCCCCAATTGATGACGTCAATTTCAGATCTTCTATAGGCTCAGCGTTTGGGTTCACAGCACTGTATGTAACATTGTCCTTGAGACTAACAACATCTTCCTTCACATCAAAGATGAGAGGATGCTTTAGTATCCATTCTGTGAACTTATTCTGTGGCCCAACACATTCTCGGATTTCCACGGACGCTTGAGAAAGGTGGCCAGCCAGACTAGCGACTGGCATCATGGTCTCTCCTTTCCGCATCATCTTGCTTCGAAAGTACTGAACAGCCTCGGTTTCAATGGAGACGTCAGGAAGACTCTGGCCGGAAGATGATGCCGGACTACTTTCTCGAAAATTACCCCCAAGAGAGGCAGTGCCATCGTTCAAGCTTACAAGGTTTCCGTTGACAGTAAACAGGGATGGATACTTCAACAAAAACTTTTTTAGCCCAGATTCATTACCCCCAGCAGCTTGTCGCATTTCTGGCGTAAAATTGCGGCTGCCGAAGCGCCCTGCGAGCTGACTGATGGTCAGGGGCACCGTGCTGTACATCAGCGTTTCCAGGAAGTACAACATCACCTTGTGACCCGGATCATCAGCCATCTTTTCGAAATACAGAAACGACGAATCTGAACTTAAAAGTTAGCCTCTTCGAAAAATTTAGTTTTCAAACCTGAAATGAGAAAGGAAATGAAGTTAGGTATGACTTCCGAAAAGAGTGCACAAAAAGTTAACATTGTCACTTACTTACATACCTTCATTTGACATGTGTTTGATGGGGTGAATGATAAAAAGGGTACTTATTTACTGGAGTCACAGTAAATAAGGTAATCAATAAAATGGAATGAAACTGAAAGAGCAGGAAACTGTCAATACATTTCAAAACTGAAACACAACACATAACTTGTGATAAGGAAATATACACTGGCCCGTAGTGACTGTTAAGGGGATGTGAGTGAGTGAGTGAGTGAGTGAGTGAGTGAGCATAACTTGGGAGATACTTCGATACCACTTTGGCGTAATTCTCATTTATACCCATGAGCACAGATATGTGGCTCACAAACCTACAAATATAGTCGGACAAACAGGATTCCAGCCCATGATCACAGATTTCAGGCATTCAAGAGGTACACAACTCTGCACAGCGAACTGCAACTCCTTACACGACTGGGTTACCTACACCCTGACAGACCAAGACATATCCCAGGTAAAAGCAGTGAAATAGCTGAAATGAAAGAGAGTCCTGGGGTAATAAGAGATAGGCTGCTTTAGCTTTTGAACATATAACAATCTGCTATGCCAGTTTAGGAGGACCTCTTGTCTTTTATTCTCAATTTAGAACAAAGTAAAAGCAGTTTCTAATATTCACCAATTCACATTGAATAGTTTCTCCTGGGATACAGAACAGCTTTGAAGAGAGGTTTTCATTTCAATGATTCAAATCTGTAATTGCCACAGAACAGGAATCTGTATATTATAACTTTAATTAATTGGTAAACAGAGAATTTTAAGAGTGCCACAGAACATATGTTGATTTTACACTTCTTGCATGAAAAGGCAAGTAATGTTTCATAGTTAATCTTGTTCCAGGTTCTAAAATGTCTACATTTTCTTTATACTTTTCACATGTTTTAAGAATAACTGTAGTGCTTTCTATATTTAATTACCAAGTTTTTAAATAATTCACTCATCATTCTATCATCATCAAACTTTTATAATGCATTTATCATTAGTATCATTTTGAATGGCTGACAAAAATGAATTTAGTTAAGAGATTTGCTCTTCTCAGCATGTGTTTACTTGATACTGTGGCCATGCTCCCCATCAGAGTGGCCTCCACCAAGCCTGACTATATACCTTGACAATGTTGACCTGATCTTGCAGGTGTTGCAAATGGATTAACCCACCTTTACAGGTTATGAACAATTTATCCATATTAACAACACTAATCCCTTCTTAACAATGTACCAGGTGGTTTGTCTAAGATTCTAAAATTAGTACCTTTTGCAGGCAAATTTGGAAAAACATTGGGATTTTTTCAAAGTTCTTAATTTCTTTTATTCTAGGGTATTTTACTGTTGCATTCAATGCTGTAATATCAAAATAAGCATATATGGCTCTTCCTCTCTAAGAGATACCTAAGTTACCTGTACAAAGCCTTGATGAAAGTTATAACTATAGTAATAGTTAATTAGTAACACGAATCGGGAAATGATTTTTTTCTGACATCTGCTTTAGACTTGGGCCGAATACCAGGGCCTAGATTTTTTAAGCGCTCTTAGCTCTAAGATAGTCATAAGTTAATGTTAATGTATGGCACTTACAACTATCTTAACGCTAACAGTAAGAGACCTTCGAACATCTAGCCCCAGCAGGTCAAGATTAACTGTTGTGTACATGTGATAAATTACCTTTAATCCTTAATGGAGATATTAAGTCTCCTTACAATATTTCCGACAAGTTGTCACTAATGACTATTGATGATATTTTACAATTAGAATAATCAAATTTATACCTGGTCTTACATTATCATACACTGAAGTAATTCCAACAGTGTCAAAGCTTGCAAACAGGCATCAATCATATACCAAGCTAGAATCAAACTCAAAGGTGGAAAACAACATGGTAACTAAACATGATTCAGAAACTGTTCCACTGTAGAAAATGGACATTCATACAATGAGAGTATATACAGTAAGCCTTTACCGTGTTGAAGTGAGTATCTGTTATGGTCAGTACTTTACCCTCTAGAAAGACCAAGCACCTGCTTAACAACTATTTCTAACATGCATCACTGAACAAAACTGTCCCATTACAGTATCCATTAGGGCTGCAACGAATACACTATGTGGCGAATATGATACGTATCATGAATATTGGTTAACGAATACGAATAATTATTCACCAATAGAATATTGTAGTTAAGCGATTGATGTACAATATGGAACGCCCATGTTGACAGTTTTGATTTGTCACAGCAATAACCAGTGATCTCATGACACTCAAATTTGGTATGTAATCATGGTAATAGTTATAGTCGACAGTACCATGCGCAGTCTTGGCAAACTAACATGACTTGCACTACTGCAATGCTAGTACATGTTCCATTCTTGCATATCTCACTTTGGAAAAGGACATAAGGGTTCAAGTAAAACTTGCTATCTTAAAACAATCGTAATTATTCGGTTCTGGTGACCACGAATAATGAATTGAATTCATGAAGGGCTACGATTCGATTCACCGAATATGCGAGTGAATCATTACAGCCCTGGTATCAATCACAGTTCACCACACTGTAGAAAAATACACTGTACTTAGGTATGCTCATGTTCTGCAATTACACCTGCTGAGTTTTTGACACACATTTCACATATGTACGAAGCGAACTATGCTACTAGGTAACAGCTGTCAGCATCATAATAAACTTTGGTCACATTGTAGCTGTCTTCATGATCCATGGAAGACAGTCAAGACAACTGCTGAAGTGAGCGAGGACTTCATGCCACTTTAAACAGTATTTGAGTTATTTCTTAGGAGGTTGTTATTGGTATTATAGGTTTTAGGTTTTACAATGCTAAAAGAGATGAGAAACACTTGACCATATTTCAATGGTCTCTTCTCATATTTTCTCTCAAAGCTGATCTATGACCATGACATGTTTTCATTAAAGAATAAAGCCAAACAGATTTGGAAAGCTTGTCCATTACATGTTACCAAGGTAACTTTTGATATTCTATCTGCTATATTCATGATATTCCTAAATGATAATATTAATAACATACCTCAACTTATCTATTCAACCCTCCACACATATTGGACCTTAACCTGACTCAACAGTACCAACCAATATGTGAAGCCCAATCTAAACATTTGAAATTCAAACAACCAGCCTTAGTCACCCTGACTGACTATTAACATTCCATGCTGAATCATATGCTGTCACATTGTTCTCTTGTCATTAGAAAAGGTTAGGCGTTGAACGAGCTGAACAACTTTGTCACAAATATCATTGAGTCGGGGAAATGTTGAGAAAATTACTGAACTAAATATTCTATCAAAAGAGCAATGGTAGTTCACAATTATCTGCCTGGATACACATATAATTACAAGCCTGAGTTTGAAACCATGACTAAAAGTAGGCCCTTCATCATAACTCAAATGTTGACAGTAAAAGATTATTGAACAGATGATAGTAACAGCAGAAAATGTGTCCTAACAAATTTATCAATATTACTGGTACTATCACATGTATTCATATCATTGTACTATTATGTTTCTACATATAGGCAGCAACACAATGCCAATGTACAATGAACATACAAATTGCAGATGTATAATATGTATCATTCATGTGTGGAAGAAAAGTCACTGCACAGGTCCGAATTTAATCAACAGAACTCTGGCATCAATGCGACATGTGGTCTACACATTGACAACACATTGGGTAAACACCCGAAACAGCTTGATTATCTACAAGCCCTTAAGGAAGCAGCTAACTGACACAGCTAGTCAAGTTAACAGGCAACTGCCGTTCTACTCATGAAACCACACTCGCATGTTGGACTAACGGAATATTTTCTATGAATGAAATATACAGGCAATTTTACTGCCATCACCTGCATATTTTAATTTGAAAGTCCCATCCGAAATATTATTTGTACAGTAACAAGGAATTGTTAGGCTTTCAAACAGATTCATCTCAGATTCCAAACACATGCCTTTGCCAGGCAAACTGGGGGACTTTGACTGTTATTTCATTTAAATTTAGCAGAGGTTATATTCACGTTTCAATCATGACAAAATGTAAAACTAAGCCCTAATAAATCTTCCTCTCTATTACTGTTACTGGTCCTGTTGTCAGTATAATACAAGTCACCTCTACAAATATGTAATGTGGATTGGTGATTTGAATCCAAGAGAGTATGTGATATAACTGGAATTCAAAACTGCACTAAACAGCTGGGAGACATCTGTTACAGCTACCATGTTAACTTCCATGATGTTATCAGTCTGATAATGTTCCTCTTAAGCATGTTAAATTTACAAATGTTCTGTTGCCACCGCTACATGCTTATACAATTTTTTACATGTATATAATATATGCACACAGAAAGTGACAAAAGCAGATATATAGTGTTTGAAATAAGTCTTGATTAACTGACTGAATTTGGTTTTACACCGCTTTTAGCAATATTCCAGCAACATCACGGCGGGGGACACCAGAAATGGGCTTCACACATTGTACCCATGTGGGGATTCGAACCCGGGTCTTCGGTGTGGCAAGCCAACGCTTTAACCACTAGGCTACCCCACCGCCTCCGAAATTAAGTCTTGAGGTTGGGTCCCATGTTATAGCATTATCATGTAACATAAGATCTATGACAATTAATTTTCATGAATTCCAAACACTTCTAAAATATACAAATACAATACTACACAACTGTAATCAGTACAATTCTGCAAAACAACCTCAGCACTATACCACTTAAATTCATTTGCAAAACCTTTGAGATCTCCTTTTAAATGTCACAGTTATCACTTGCATTAAACATGCCCACTCTTGTCAACAGATATTTTTGAAAAGAGTCGCCTCAGATACTGCCAGAGTGTGAGCAATTGAAGCATACACTCTGTATGCCAGTATGAGCGTAAAATACCTGGAGGACAAATACAATGTAGGCAAGATAAAATCCATACATCCTCCGTAATGCACAATGATGGATGACACATCACAGTATTGTCTTTATGGGGTCTATGCGACATAGCTCTGAGTCCTGATATGTGTGTTAAACAAGATCTTGTAAAGACAAAATACAGCTGTATAAAGTTACCATATCTTGATGGAATCAGTACAAAAGGCAGCTATAGACAGCAATGTGCCCTCAATGCAGAGTCAGGTAACTGATCAACACTCTGTGAACTGTCATTCAGTTACTGTTCAGGTATGTGTGGTATGTAGAAGCAGTCATGTGGAAAACCTTGCTGTCACAGTAGGTCATCAAGATCTACGGCAAGTGACATATCTCCAGTGTATTGGTCAAGCTGAATTTTCCTGGACCCTGCTTGCGACCCAGAAAGTGGACAGAGCACTTTTAGAAGCTTGCATATACAATTACATTCCAATATAAACCATAACATTCTTAGGCTATTCTTAACACAAAGCACTCAACTGCTCAAATGTGTGTAGAACTAGCCTTTGAATTTTTGGTAGTAACATTGCATTAATAAAGCCTATGAGAAATATACTCACACAATTCACACAATTGGCAGTGAACAAGTTCATGTCACGTTAATATCTGTAATCTTGACTGGACTAAATATATGACAGTACTGCACCGTATATTTGCAGTAAATCACTTATTTGCTCTACCAAAGTACCATGGCCTACTCATGTATGTTCAGTGATACTGAGCAATAACAATTTTGTATTTTTCTTACAATTACAATATGCAATGTTTATAAAAAAAATAAACATAACAAGGGCATTTATATTTTCGGGAAATTGATTTACAACAGGAACTGTATTAGATTTATCACTTGCACATTTACCCCAAAGATATCATTACCAAATATTGGAAATAAACTGTAATCATGATAGCCCATGAAAGGCGTTCTCTTCTACAAAACATAACATCTTTGAGAACTGAGGGTCGGTGGAATAGCCTAGTGGATAGCCTTTGCTCGTCATGCCAAAGACCCGGGGTTCGATTCCCACATGGGTACAATGTATGAAGCCCATTTCTGGTGTCCCACACCGTGATATTACTGGAATATTGCTAAAAAACCTGCGTAAAACTTGAGAACTAACACAATATTCATAAATTAGTGCATGGCTAGGAATGCAAAGTGCACGCTATCTTGTGCATGATTTGTGAAAAAGTTTGTCAAAGCAATTTAGGCCCATATTCCATCTAATCTTAAAAAAAGGGTGGACTTAAGAAAAATATTGTAACATCTCACGTTTTCATAGAATTTATCAGTCAGAGAATGTCATTGACCAGGACAGAAAACAGACTTGTCAGTTTCAGTCTGTCTACACCAGATCATCGGTAACAAAGCCTATGTTCCTCGGCTAGCAGTGAACATTGCAAAGGCATTACAACATCTCGTGGCAGCATTCCAGAAACATACTGAGGGGAGTGTACTAGGGGGAGGGGTAAAAAAAAACGGGTGTGGCTTCTGCACCAGCGATTGCAATACCCAATAGTGAAGAGTAGTGGTTAGATCATGTTCGTGCGATCATTCTTTGAACTACAGGCGAGATAAATGCTGATATTAGATCGTCGGGCGCTAACATTCCGAGAGTAAACGAATATGAACTACGTTCTCGCAGTCGCAGACCCGAAACGTCATCGCAGCATCTGCCAATTGCTGATGGAATTTCGTCGTTTCAACACACGTATTCAATTAAAACCGATACAGCTGCAAAACAGACATAAATATAGAAGACTCATATTGAATTTTGTGTATAAACAACAAATATAATGTCTTACCAAACTAAAATTTTCCGAAAGTTTGAAGAAGCTCAACGAAAGCTGCCATCTTGGGAAGTTTTGCCAAGATACGGTTTTCTTGACAACTTCTCACTCGACATTACAAATCGACTGCGTATGAATCCGTCGATGTGGGTTCCTACAAGCAAGGACATGTAGTCAGCAGTATATGGGATTCTGAATATGTAATCGGATTATGTATTGTATAACGAAGACTATGAGCGACCTCAATAAGTACGTGGACATATAAACGCCCGTGTAGGTTCTACGTTGGGACAAAGGCAGCTAGATTAAGTTAGTTACATACAGTAATCCATGCGTTAAAGGGACTAACCACTTGATATTCCGTGGTTAAGTGGTTAAAGTGGGGAAGTGGTTATCCTCCAGATAATACTGGATACAAAATATATGTTCCTCACAATTTACAGGATTGCTTTCTCTGCCTAATGTCTTGATAATAATCTACAACCAAATGTTCGGCTACTTCTTTTAGAGAAAACCATGTATATCTTGAAACAAGTGCTTGAAATAAAAAATAGATCTGGTTTGTTTCTGACAAAGCCGCAACTGTCATATATACATAGTTTGCTTGATGCATATTTAAACCTTTCTGGAACATTTTGGAGAACAGATTATATTTTCTTTAAGCCCCTCCCGACATCAGCTTACCTCCTACAGTTATACGGTGTATATAATAGTCGTAAGCACAATGCCTGCTTTGTTGAACGGGAGCCCTTTGTGTGAAACTCCAAGCAATCCTGTTTTCAACTTAATAAGCACTGGTAATCTTGTGACCGTCTATTAATCTACGGGGCGGTGGGGTAGTCTAGTGGTTAAAGCGTTGGCTCGTCACGCCGAAGACCCGGGTTCGAATCCCCACATGGGTACAACGTGTGAAGCCCATTTCTGGTGTCCCCCCGCCGTGATGTTGCTGGAATATTGCTAAAAGCGGCGTAAAGCCAAATTCAGTCAGTCAGTCAGTCTATTAATCTACAATAATGTTTGTAAACATGTCGAAGTGGGAACAAGTGGAGAATCGAACCGGGTCTCCGGCGTGACGAACGAACGCTTTGAATAACCACAAGGCTACCCCACCGCCCCTGGCACCCAAGAGTTCGTGCTTGTTTTTTGTCACGATAGAATAGGGATAAACACTGTATTTCCATTGCAGAGCTGGGTTACTCTTCAGATTTAACTGAATTTGGACCCAAATACCCCGCTCCATATTACAAACACAATACCTGTGTCTCACAAACATACGTCTATCATTATTTCTGAGTTTCCCATGCAGGAACCTTTTTTGTAGGAGAAAATAATGATGGTCATTTACAGTATTGTGAAACCGAAGATCCCAGACCAGTATGGGTTCGGCTTAGGATCACAGTCCCGGAGAAACTAGTATTCAAACCACCCTTCAGCGGATCCTGGTCCATACTCCATTCTCGAGGGTTTCATCAAGACAGTAAACGCCTATTGCTCGGATTGTAATGTTTGTAAATGGTGAGGTGAGGTGAAATAGGGTTTAACGTCGCACTTAAAATATTTCGTTCATATATATGACGACGTGCATAGGTGTGTATGTGTGGCTGCTTGTATTAGCCCAGACTAAACTGGTTTTATAGTGCTAGCTCACTGAGATACCATGCCTCAGTCTAGCATGAATAGCCTACTCAGACACATAAAACTGACTCTGAGCCTACCAGAACCCGCGACCCTCTCCGGGCGAACGCTCTAACCACTACACCACGGAGGCGATCACGTGTATGTGGTTGTGTGGTGCTGTCAAATCTATACTATTGATATTCCATTTATATATCTTTCGCGATGAGTTAAAATGATTATCTTAAATAAAACGAAAAGCTTATTGAAAATGAATGTCTTCTCGACAAGTACACAAGTCAGTGAGGATCCGATGTGATGAGCGTAGCCTCATGTGCCCCAAAGCAGCTTGAACATGTCGGTGTTATGATTTGTTATTTGTTACCATCAAAACTCTACCTAAGACGTGACAAAGCGCAATTAACATATTACCTCGTTTGACAAAAGTGTGTTTGTACATGTTATCATAACACGCACGAGCGGATTAATCCCTGACATTAATACGTTGTAAGGTAAATAGCATAATACTTTTCGGAATTCCCACAAAGCCCAAATAACTTCCGCTACGCATGCGTTAGAGGAAGCCGCCATTTTTGTGCCGAAATTTAAACCGTTGTGTACTCAGGCCGCAAAAAATTGTGGGATAACTGGATCCATAGCACAAATGTGATAATGACAGTTACTGACGAGTAGATCGCATCGAGATCGAATCATCATGTGGTGGATTTTATCGATGATATACTCTTTCATGTATAATTCCCTGCTGGATTTTGTGTTTTTCATTTTGGTGGATGTTGTTGCAAAGACACCTTTGCGAGAAGCTACGTGAGTGCGTTTAGTTGTTGTTACAGGTGCTTGCTAAATTACGTAACCAGTACCGCAAGCTATGTCATGCAGCACTGTTGTTATAGTCTTGACGGACATTTAAATTGTCAATTTAAAACAATGTTACATGTTGAGTCTATCAATGGACATTCCACAGCATTTAAGAACTGTTATCTGTAAATTCAGGTGTAATAATTTTAGGCTAGCAAATGAAACAGGAAGGCATTGCAATTTAACTGCTAGTGAAAGATTTTGCTTATATTGTCATAGTAAAAAATTCTTTCTTGTTGAAGATGAATTTCATGTCTTGATCTGTCAGCGTTATGAAGCCGAGAGAAGAAAATGTCTTCATAACAGCATAAGAAATAGCCCTTCTATGGACAATTTTGTTAGAATTATGTCAAGCACTGATAAGATTGTAATATTAAGTTTGGCAAGGTTTTTATATAAAGCCTTTAGGATAAGAAATACAACAAATTATAATTAGATCTTCAGTATATATGCTGAAATATTGTGTGATAGTTTAATGTAGCTTCTCTGTTGTTATTTTACGAGAGCTTCTTTTTTTTTTTTTTAAGATACCTGTATCGTGGGAGATACTGGTGGGTAGACTCCGTACCGATGTTTATGATAAAACCGTCGCATCTTAATAGATCATTTGAGTGAATGACAGAGCATAGTGAATTGTTATTTTAATAGCTTTATATTTCTATTTTTCTAACATAACATTATTATTTTTATAGTTTCCTTGACAGTGCCTCAGACACCCGAAAGTCCACACGTTACTGAGATCATTATATGATTTGACCCATATTGAATAATAACTTGTTAAGTATTCCAAGTCTTCAGCTATCAGCATCTAAAATTATATTCAGGCCTAGTTATCAGTATTTTACTTTACATCCAAACCATCCATGTCAACTGCTATTGACCTTAGTTCATATAAATAAAGTCATATTCCAACCAAGGCCTACATCAAGCACACCTTGGTATAGTTCAGAACGTCGGTGTATACCATTGTAGGAACAAGACGTTTAGCTGGCTGAACAAACCTTGGTATAGTGCTAAGTCGTCTAGTTACAGTATATGCTGGACTACTGTTGACTAATCATGTTCAAACTTTCAGCAATTTGACTTTTTTATGGATGTCTTTTACTAGCATGATCAAGTGCTTTAACATTTTACACATGATTTTTCAAAGGTAAAATCCTTATGCTTTTATATGTTTGCTGCCCGTGTTTTAATATTAAAATGAATGATTGATTGATTACTTTGGGTCAGTACAAACAGTTGGTATTTTAATGATTAATAACATTATTTTTGGGGTGGATGGCTTAATTTTAACACAATTATTTAGGCATCTTATGGTAATGTAAACATATGCTTCAGTCATTTAGTTAAAAAATTTGTAAAGATTAAGTTACTTGAGGACAACTCCTAAAATCTCAACAAACTAACATCAAGATCCCCTAAGCTTGTTTGGCAGTTTACATGTTTAAGTAATTGCTAATTAGTTCAAATCCATTGTGTTTTCTTTAAAAGAAATTAACTTTTGAAACTTTGTAGGTATGAGCACAAATGCTACTAGGTACTTGATCGTGTTCAGTTCATGGAATATGGCCATAATAGTGTAAACCCAACTCTTTTCAGAAAGTTCTTGGATGCTCTTACAGTCTTGTGGCTTGGAAGGTTGTTCTGGTTACTAAAAACTTAAAAGTTAAATGCTTCTTCTCTCATTTCAAAATTAGTGTGTGTAGTACTGGCTCACTCGTGCTCGTGGGTTAAAAACAGCTCTGCTATTAAAAAAATAGGTGTGGAGTAAGCTGAAGTATAACAGTGAGTGTGGGTGATCTATTTGTACAAAAGTAGCTGAGCAAACAAGTTCTGTACACACCCTTACACTGGCTTGAATAGGATGGCCTATTGGACTTGAACTGCATTCCTCCTGTAATGGAACAGCTGAAAATATAAGGGATTTCCCCTTCCTCATTTTAGAGGTTAATAATAATCATGATAATCAAATCAGTATGATTAATAACAGAATAATTATCTTGGAATTTATGTTTCTGCTGATGTGAAAACAGCTGAAACCTGCAGAATCTAGAGTCACTGTAACACATAAGAAACACTTTCCTGCAGTCTCTGTTCCAAACAAAATATAATATCCAATAAATTGTGTTTCTATGACAAGTAGTTATCATTATCCTCTGCACAGACTTGCACAAGTCTCTAATGTAAAACCAATAGTTTAAAAGATAATTTCAGTCCCTCCTGGATTCCACGATTCAGCGGTTGCAGAATAATTGGCAGAAATTACCTTTTGATGCAGAAAAACGTCTGGTCTGCAGTAGACACATTTTCATACAGAATACCTGCAGAATTTGCCATTTTTCTACTGCTGAATTTAACTAGTTTGAAAATTGAAGGGTGGTAAGAGGGGGGAAGTTCATTCTTGATCACACTCGTAAGAGTACTGTTTCATATCATCTAAATAAAAAAATGTCTAAAAAGACTATTAGTATTAACATGAATAACACATCTCTTCACTCAAAAACGGTACATACTTTGCAGAAAAGGAACATGTTGACTTAATGAATGTCATGAAGCTCTGAAACAGTTACAGCTTTGTGTTTAAGAATTACAGTTTGTAATTCTTTATCATTTTTTGTTGCATATTTTTCATGTTTTCAACTGCAGAATGTTTTGCAGAATTTAAAAAAAAATTGGATGCAGAATTTATTTAAATTTGCTGCGGAATTCTTAAAATTCGCTGCTGAATCCAGGAGGGACTGGACTTGTAAAACGTTATAAACAACAGACTGAGGTCCTTAGATACTGTCCGCTTATCTTGCCTTGCCTCTTCGAGGGATAGAACTACTATACATCCATGGGTTCTGCATTCAGTACAGCCTTGGAGCAAGGCTATCCTCTGCACTGTTTGGTTTGTTACTGCATATACAATCAGCATCAATGATGGTTTGATTCTGAAACTCTCTTGAATGTTTTAAGTCTTGATATGTTTATATGTTTGTATATGTGATAGTTTAGTTTTAATTTATGTCAGATTAATAAGTTTGTCCTTAATTTACTGGTTGGTATAACGTAAGTGGTCTGACATTATGAAAGATGTAAATATTCTGAATGACAACAACATTTTTCCATTGGTTGGTAAACACAGGTATAATGTATTCTAGCCTTATAAGGTTATTGTTTGAAAATATAATTTAAAGCCATTGCCACGATTTTACCTGTTTAATTCAGGGATTTACCATGAGTCCTGTATTTGAGGGTCCCTGGGACTCATGCTTATAAGCCCTGGACAACAAAATGGGGTTCCCAGACACTTAAATATTGATTTTCTCTTTGTACACTGACACTATATTATATAGTGACAGCATATATTGTTGCTCACATTAAAAATCACTGGATTGTTTGGTTGAGACATGATTATTTACCATGTTTGTTTGGATGCCATCACCTAGCTGGAATATAGCCGAGTGCAACAGTGAGAGTAACGGTGCTTTTGGTCACTACATTTTTTATCTTACAGATACCTCTTGTTTAAAGAATTCAGTTTTCTCTGGTTCTGTACAAGTACAGTTTGAAATTTTTTCAGGATGATTTTGATAATTGTTTTGTTTCTCTCCAGGAATGATGATGAGAAGAGGACAATTTGGCTGTATGAATCTCTCATCTTGACTGCAGTGTCAATTGGGATCTACCTGTTAGACCATGTGCCCTACCTCCTGCTTCTGCTAACCACCGTCACATTTATATATACTCAGCTGTATGGTCGCATAGACTTCCGATACTGGTGGAACCTCCTGAAAACACGATGGGAGGAGTACCAGCAGCACGAGGAGAGCATGGAACACATGCGCGAGCAGCTGTCTCGTCAGCGTCACCCTGTGCAGCCCAATACCACAATGCCATTCCCTCCATACTACCAGCAAGTGCCCCCGGGAGGAATGGGGGCTTACAGCGCAGCAGGGACCGACCACAGTGCCCATCTAGTAAGTCAGAAACAGGGACTTAGTCAAAAAGAACCTGATAGTTGGTTTTGGTCTAGACCCTCCAAATGGCTTAGCCTAAGACAGAGAGGCCCACAGCCTGTCCCTGACCCTGTAGTCTCTAGGGAGAGTCCAGTGACATCCAGACATGGTGTCCCTGTAGTAGGCCTCAAGCTGGATGACAATCTACCCCAGAAAGTGGCCTGGTTTGATGGGAAGGAACTGCGTCGCCGTCCACTCCGCCCAGAAGGTTCAACACATCTCCCCAAGCCTATTGCTGGGTCATCTTTAGCCTCAGGGGCATATACAGGAACTTCCACCATTAAAACTAAATTTATGTCAGCTTTTGGACTGAACAGTCAAACGCCCAAACCCCCAGGGTTGAAAAACAATGGTCAGAATCTGTGTTTCATGAACTCCATTGTGCAGTCTCTATCTCGAAGTCCTCACCTCGTCACCTACCTCTCAGTAGATGCTGCCAAGGAACTGGAGTGTGGAGTGGCCGAGTCGCTCCTGCTCACAACCTTTGTAGAACTCCTCCAACAGTGCAGTCTCCCAGTGGGAAGCAACGATGTCAGTGTTCTTGACCACACTACCTTCAGACAGTCTGTGTCAGCCCTCAACAGCAGCCTGATGGCTCCTCCAGGACAAGGACAAGTTCAGCAGGACGCAGCTGAGTTTCTCATGTGGTTGTTGGAGTCGGTGCATAACATTCTCAATAAGAACCGGAAGGCACTGCAGGCTGGTACTGATTGCTCACTCCTTGTCCACCTCATGTTATTGCTTGTGTCACATGTTCGTCATTAGTAGGACTGCATGCGGAATGTCCTCATCCCAACCCTCGTCCCTGTCCCGTCAGAACCCATTACATAATCTGCCCACCATATCTAATGGCTTGCGCTTATAATCTTGTCTATTTCATGGGTGTTGGGTTTTCTGTTTGTGATATTTTCAAGTTTTTTCATTGACAGCTTTTATGCACATTTCCATAGTTCAGTTTGAAAACTGATATTTTTTAAAAACATGTTTCTCATATTAACCATTGTGTCAACTTATCCAAATTCCCCCCTCAGCATGATTTTCAGCAAGTTATTAATATGACTTATGGGGTAAGTATGCAAGATGGAACAGACGTTTACTTGACATGGCCTCACACAAGTGGCTAGTATACTGTGTTAACATTAATTACTATTAATGATTTTCATGATAAGCCATGAAAGTATATTTGTAAAGATGCAATACCAATAAACATGGTAAGGAGAAATATACTTTAACAATAAACAAACTGGCATGTTGTCATGCTTAATTAGACTTTCTATCTCAGACCTGCTTATTTCTGGACAAATTAATCTTCCTTTAGAAAATATCGAGAACTGAATCTTCAAGTCCCACTGCAATTTGAGCTGATTTAAAATTCATTTAATTAAAATCACACTCAAAAAAATACATTCAAGATCAGTTGTTTGTTTAATTATTGAGTTGATGTAATATATTAATTTGTATTGTCCATACTTATCCAGCAGGTGTATTTCCTTTTTGAATGTTTTTTCACACTTCTTACTACTTACAATATACCTGTACACTAGGCATTTCTCACAGTACACAGTGCTTAACATGTACATGTTTTATTTCAAAGTCCAAAGCAACTTATTTGGAACAGACCATGGTTTTATGCAAATTAATGTGCAATGATATTGTATTACAAAGGACACTTTTTAAATGCCCATTTTGAAATTAGACTTTGCTTCATTATAAATGATAACTGACGTAAAAAAGAATAACTTTTATGCTGAAACTATTAAGGATGTTGCTACCATGGAGTCTCACTGTCACTATAAAAAGAAACAGATAGGAGGGGTCGTCTCAAAAGCAAAGCCAGGACGGGTGTCGCAGACGATGGTTTGGGTCGGCTAGGAGATATTTGGATAGAGATATCAGCTGAGATAAGTCCCTCCTTTAGGGGAATTATACTGGAGAACTATACGGCATGTCATAACAATTTACAAATAATATCCAGTTCTGTCGATCTTCGGGTGGTGATGCTGGCTATATATCTTGAGACATTTGATACGATGCTTTTCTATGGTTATCAGGTATCATACTCTTTTACATATCTCAACATAAAGTTTATGAAAGAAAGACATGTAAGATGTTAATCAATAGATGAGAATTCAACAGACATGAAAAAGCACAAAATATCTTTGAGATGACCCCTTGTGCCTGTAGGCAGCACATGCATTTCATGCCAGGTGAGTCGACGGTCTCCCAGCATAAGGCTGAACAAAGTTTACAATGCTGCCCTATCTATGCCTGCATGTATTGTATAACTAATTATAATTGTGATACTCAGATTCCATTATAGCTAAATTAACCTTACTATTTTGTGGCCTTGTCTGGGTTTTATTGTGCGGTGTTCAAAATTTTGGATTCATCTTGAATATGATATTCATTACCATTGGATTGAATATGGGTCATTTGACTGTAAACAGAAGGGCTTGAAACAGAAGAATGGGGCAGCCATCTTCATATTTTTGTTTCCATTGTTTGACTATCAGTTGTGTGTTTATTCTGTATGTTGGCAGTTGTTTACAAATTTTTAGGCCAAAATATTGTCAAACCTAAGTTTCTCTCATCATGATTAGTCAAAACTCCAATATAGAACAAGTGGAAGCGCAACAACATACCGGTAGTGATTTCTGTTACTCAAAGTTAAATGTTTCATTTGGATATTGTCTGTACTGAGGGCTTACGATTCACATCATCCACCCAAAGTTAAATGTTTCATTTGGATATTATCTTTATTCCTGAGAGCGTAAGATTCACATCATCCATGCATGTTTTCATAAATGAATACATAAGAAGGGTGTGTTATATGTCAGCATATGGGACTAAGAAAGGTCATCCTGGTGCATACAGTGTAATTTTATGTCTTCAGTCTGTTATAACCGCCACAATCATTCTGGATTAGAATTGTTGCTTAGCAACCTTCGGGACCAAATCTCTTATACCTAGAAGATATTTTGTACGTAGATCTTAAGTTGACCTTCATACAGCATGTGTTCATGGTGACATGTTTTCTGAAATGAAGCCATGGGCTCTATGAATTCTGTGTATTAGAATTCAAGTTTAAGATTCTGGTGGGTTTAGATGGATCATGGAGAATGATGAATGTGGAATGACACTACAGCCATTTTTAATGTGACTAATTTAGGATGGATTGTAAACAATGTTTTGTCATTCACATTGTATTATTAACTGTAGATACTGAGTGAATGAAAGTCCTGGGTCCCTACTCAAAGTGATCGTAGTGCTACGACAGTTGTAAGTCTATGTTAAAATATGGGAGTTACGATCATCTTAGCGCTACGACAGTCGTAAGTCTATGTTAAAGTATGGGAGTTATGATCACCTTAGCGCTACGATCGCTTTCAGGAATGGGGCCCAGATGGTTTTAGCTGGTTGTTGTAGTGCATCAGTTAACAGTGCAGTATGGGCCTTTCACCTGAAAAGTGTCACATTTACAGTTATTGTAACTGATGGTATCACATACATAATGATCGGGACGGTGGGGTAGCCTAGTGGTTAAAGCGTTGGCTCGTCACGCTGAAGACCCGGGTTCGAATCCCCACATGGGTACAATGTGTGAAGCCCATTTCTGGTGTCCCCTGCCGTGATGTTGCTGGAATATTGCTAAAAGCGGCGTAAAACTAAACTCAGTCAGTCAGACATACATAATGATCACATTTCAATCAAAATGTAGTTCAACCAAGTGACATTTCTCAGGTTAGATTGTTTGAAAGAAAGTATTCTCGTATTTATGCTCCAGTGACCATGTATTTTCTGTATTTAGTAAACAAACTCCCTTTTTCTGAAATCAGAACCAATGGTTTGATGCAAGCCTTTTGGAGTGCTTCACATTCTGTTTTGCATAATTATACAAATATGCTGTGACAATAGATGCATGACAGTACAGATTTAAACGTCAAGGCGACCCCATTGCAAGTTTCTCTGTTAGATGACAGACAGTCTTTCTTCGTTTTAAGAAGTTTTCCTTGATGCATGTTAACTTTTCATGACATGTTTATATAAATGTGCAAACTCATCAAAAAACAGTTGATAGACAGGCAGTATTGTAAATGATGTGTAAGATGTGTTGATGTGGCATAGGTACTAGGTGTGGGAGAGATTTCTGGTTTGTGATTGGCTTTGTAAAACCAAGGCATCCTTCACTTCGAAAATCACCGACTTCTTGTCCAGTCAGGCCGATGGGGCTGCCTAGTGGTTAAGGCGTTAGCTTGTCACCCCTAAGACCCAGTTTCGTTTCCACACATGGGTACAATGGCATGGGTACAATGGGTGAAGCCCATTTTTTGGTGTCCCCGTTATGATATTGCTGGAATATTGCTAAGAGCAGCATACAATTTAACTTGCTCACTCTAGTCCAGTCATGCGGGCAATTTGTGTTTTGTTAGTCATCTTTCTCTTCAATTTGCCTTTTAATAAAAAAAAATATGACCGATGCCGGTTATTCTGTATAGTACTCGGGGTTTTGCCATTGCTATTGCTTTTTGCAGAGTTCTTTTGCATGATTAAAAATAGCCAGAACTGTGAACATCTATCTTATTTCAAATTGAAAAAATACTTTTAATGACTAATATGTCAGACATGTCAAGCATGAACAGAATCCTGCAGCATAGCCTGTTGTCAGCTTCCACACTTATGTTCAGTAAATAAATGCCTCTTAGGTTTGTCTTCAGCTTGTAAAAGTAGCTGTCAGTATTAGGTTGTAATATTGCTTGGGCTGCAACGAAAAAAACCCCCATTGTTTACATGGGACAGAAGGTAATGTTAACTTGCTAGCTAGTGGCTACAAACAGTTAGTGTATCCTCAGTAAACTACATCTATACTTCCTCCGAAACATCAGTGCATTTCAAAGTTGATTTCGATGGCATGAAGTTGTTTAACACTGTTTTGTACAAACATTATTGAAAATTGATGACATAACCCATTTATAGCCCCAATATTAACTTAAACTCCTCCTGACTGACTCGCCCGATCAATACTGATCAAACAGTGATTGTTTCAGAATGCACTGTTTTGCCCTGATCAAGTATTGATTGTCAGTTGTTGCATGTCAAGTACACTGTAGTCAGCACGCCTGCCAATGTTACTGGTAGATTTCAGCTTATGTTAGTTCTTATACATGTTGGTAAATTTCAATGATGGTGGTCATGTTTCTGAAAAACTGTTGTAAACATGAACTGTATAATAGTTTGTGCACATATAGAATGACCATTATGATTTAAATATACTTTTTTTCAGTTGGCCAAAAATTAAACATTCAAATGGCGGATGGAAGGATGTGTCTTTCATCAGTTGGTGTAACATGTCCTTCAAATCGCAATGCAATTGTTGATATAAATTTGCCGAACGGACACAAGTCATACAGCTGCCATTTTCACAATGTAATTTTGGACCATTTACTGTTATTTGGCAATTTAATGTAATATATTAAACATTGAGTGTAAATAGTTTTAAAAGTTTTATGACTCACATGATTTTGCCATAGATAATTGACAATTTTGTCCATGATGTTATTTGTAAAGTCACCAGTGAGCTTGTAAAACGTCTTCAGGAGTTTAAATCTTCAGTTGAGTTATTTCCATACATAGTGGATGAACACAAATGACCAAATGAAAGAATGACCAAATATGCTTCATGTTAGAAGATTCTATTTTGTGTGTAGCTTCAGCTTGAGGCTGAATGTTGGTGGTTTGTATGTTTTGGCTGGCAGTTTGTGCTCCATTGTTTCAGACAAGACCAATGGTTCCCGGAGGGGCGAGGAGCGGTTTTCAAGCCCAACATTGGCAGTACTAAAGTTCATCTACGGTGACCTCAACTCTCGAACAATTATTGACCTTAAAGATGCATGTAGACGAGAGGTAATTGTCTGGTGTTTGTCATTAGGGGTTAGACTGGTTAGCTTGGAGGCAATATACTGCATCACAGTGGGATGGTCATGTTCAGACACACTTGCACACATACAGAAGTCACCTGTGAAGGTCCGGGTTAGAACTGATCTTCAGTAACCCATGCTTGTCGTAAGAGGCGACTAACGGGATCTGTTGGTCAGGCTTGCTGACATTGGTTCTAATTTGCGCAGATCGATGCTCATGCCGTTGATCACTGGATTGTCTGGTCCAGGCTCGATTATTTACAGACCGCCGCCATATAGCTAGAATATTGCTGAGTGCAGCGTAAAACAAAACTCACTTATTCACATACAGAAGTCAGTCATGTTGGTATACAAGCACCGTTATGACCTATTTTTCCTCATGTGAGATTTGGTTGACATACTCTCACGTAAGAAAGAGGTAGGGACAACTTCATACTGTATCAGTTCTTAAATAATCAGTTGTATTTGTCTTTTCCATTTCCAGTGACCATTTGTTATTACATTTATTCCTGTATAAGGTCAAAGAGAATGTTCCAGAGAGACTTCAGTTTCCTTCACTTCCATTTGACCTTAAAGCATTTCTAGATTTATGCTTGTAAATATACCTTTTGTATCCATATATCTATCAATTTCTATAAATACATATTTTTCCTTATCCTGACTCATGCTCTTTTGCTTGTCTTCTTCTTCTTGCGAACATAGTGGAACACTTGTATCTCCTTATTTGAAGCTCCCTTCAAAATAAAATCACTAATTGGTACTCACCACGAGTTGCTCCCCTTTGCTTCCCCTGGCGGGAAAGGTGTCGCCACCCTCTGGCCATGTGCTTCACTCTCTCCTTCTTCGCCCAGTGAGCAGGATGTGAGAGCGCCTTGTGTCTCCTTACACACCATATCCTTTGATAATCTCTTAGTTTTTACCTCTCATAGGTTACTATAGAGGTATAGCTAGTATCCTTTACTATTTGTATTGATTAATTATCGTATTTCTACTGTTTATTCACGCGGTATTCGCGATTGTTCAGTTAGCTTTACGCTGATGAAAATCTGTACGATTTGTAGATTACGCTTTTCTGCCTCCCATCCACATGTAATATGCCCTAGTTGTTCTACCGTGTATGCTTAATTCACGCTTGCAGTTACTGCATTAATTTATCTCATTCTGCATTTAATAAATATCACCTTTAAGCGTCTTAAGACGCTGCAGATAGATCACGCAAAACAAGGGCAAAACATGGCAGAGAGTCCAGATATTCCATCCAGTCAGCTGCTAGCGATCGACCCTCTCCAGTCTGGTGTTCTGCTAGAGACCCCTGCGGCAGAGGAACGTGGGACGCAGTCCGTTACTCAAGAAACGACCGCCTCCCCAGACATCTCGCCATTGCAGACCAAGTCTAAGAGGGCCTCATCGCCGCCTCAACGCAGATTGAGGACACTCCAGGGCAGCGCAGACTTCCAAAGGGAAATCTATTTAAGAAGACAGCAAGAACTTTCAGCCGAGATCGCTCCAGCAGCAGAATTGGGCCTCTACGATGATCAGCCGATAATCATCCCCGACTTTACGCAGAAGAAGCGACCGGGTGTCAGCAACTGTGACTTCTGCAGAGATCACCATGCAGCCTGAGGCCTTCTACACCGACGCCAGACGCCATTGATGTGAACCCCATCGCAGAAAAGACGCCGACGACTTCGCCACAGATCATCCCAGAAGACATGATGCGGCAGATTATGAACATCATGGAGGACCACTACAAACTGCGCTAGCAGGGTCCGAAAGCTTTCGCTGAAGGCTCCAACGTGACAGCACCCCAGAGGCACCCCCGGCCAACGTAGCAGCCAAGACGATGTCACCTTCGCTAAGGAAGTCCCGCACCACCTTGACGGCGACCTAGATGTACAGCCTTCGCGAAGGCCTTCGCTAAGGCGGAGAGATCATCACCATCTTCGATTTCATCTCTAGATATGGACTCAGACCATCAGACATCACGGAAGCCTTCGCTAAGGTCATATCATCGATCCTCGACCGACGCAATGAAGCTTCGCTAAGGCATTCGCTGGCGAAGGACATATGATTCCAGATCTTCATCATCTAGAAGAACATCGAGGGACTGCCGGAAGAGCTTCGCTAAGCTATCAACATTCACCTCACAAGTCTCCTCGGAAGATCATCCCATAGACGCATCTCCACTTCGCTTCATCACCAGGTCGACACCGGCCAGATCTCCACATAGAGCCGCGACAAGTCAACTAGATCGCCACAAACCTCATCAGATATACAGACAGCTACACGCAGTCCCAAGAGCATCTACAATTTGTTAATGATGATGGTTTTGAGGATGGTGGAGGAATCATATTTTCTGATGCAGAGATACGGGTATTGGATGGTCAATAACCTAGATCTCACATCACCATCTAAAAGTGGCAATACAGCTTAGACGATTTGATGAAGGAAGATGATCCAGATGCAATCACTTCTACCCCGATCGACCATTATGCAGTGCCACAGAATCTAGATGCAGCTTTCCAGAAAGCTACGAAAGTTCAGATACCACATCTGCCCAACTTTCAAGCCAAGAAGTTCTCCACGATAACATGGACTCCTTCTACAAGGCCCAGGACATCGATGAGAACTATAAGATCATCAGCGATGTAAAGAACAAGATTTACAAGATGGATGATCGCAGTTGGCTCATATAGAAACCATGACGAGACGTATGTTCTTTGGGTTAAATAGATCTAGGACGATCAATGAGACTCTTATTACTAGATTCCGGGATTCCACGACGGAAGATGATAGAATGATTTATTCTGCCTTACTTATGCAAAAGAAAGATCAGCAGTTTTTAACGGATCATCTTACATCTGTTTCAGCAGCACTGACCTTAGCTCGTCAGCCAAGGCCTCCTCGCCTCCTGTAATTGGGGGGAGAACTTTACAGCCCCACTTTATACAGCCCCGTGGTCGACAACATCCATCTTTGACGGAGAAATCGACAAAGTCGCCAAGGAAGTCTCTAAGGATTCCAGGGAAGTCCTTATGATTAGATCGATGGACACACTAGCCAGCGCCATTCGGCCAGACTTCACAAAGATACTCAGGCAGATCTAAGTTCACGGGCCTACAAAGAGCAAGAGACAGGAAGATAGCCAGCTCTAGAGGTAAGATTCTTTTCGTCGCCATACGGCAACTATAGAGGAGGATCAGGAAGAGGCAGGACACCCAGAGATTCCCGCAATTATAGACGCTGAAACACAGGTTCGAACGACTGGAGTCTTCCACCCCAGCCGCTCCAGTACAGCCAGCTCAAGTGGGTGGACGCCTCCAACTACACTGGGAAAACTGGGGAATATTGCAAGACCTTTACGCCTCCAACATTCTTCAACACGGATTTCAGATCCCTCTACAGGCTGCTCTCCGCTGACAATCAAACCCCCCAAGTTCGATTTACAAGCCGCAACAACTACCAAAGATAAGAGAGGCTGTTTCATCACTCCTATCCAAACAGGCCATAGAAGTAATAGATCAAGCAAACGCCGAACCAGGTTTCTACTCCCCAGTTTTCCTAGTTCCCAAGAAAACTCCACGGAGAAATACAGACTCATCTACAACATGAGCTTTTTCAACAAGAACTATCTACGCGAAAACCAATCGGGGTTTCGCGATGATACATTTACCTCAGTTACGCCAGATGATTCGGCCCTATGGACTACATGGGCAGCATAGATCTACAGGATGCCTACCTGCACATCCCCATTCATCCCGATTCCAGGAAATACCTACGATTTACTCTAGAAGGGCTACATTACCAGTGGAAAGTACTCCCATTCGAATATCATCAGCCCCTGGCTATTCACGAGGATAACGAAACCGATTATCAAATTTCTACATCGCAAGGGCTAATGCGCGCTTTTACCGACGACGACGGGATACAAGTAGATCAAGATCCACTGCGCCTCAAACTACAGTTAAATTATTATCATAAAGCTACTAACACAACTAGGTTGGTTAGTAAACTTACGCAAGTCGGACCTAGTACCATCGCAAGAAGACCTGCAGTTCCTAGGTATTCGATTCATCACAAATCGCGAACCGTATTTTGGTACCAGAAGACCGCTGGCTCAAGATACAGCAGACCATTCCACCAGCTCTACTCTCTCCGCTACCACTGCGACAATGGCAGAGCCTACTAGGTCTTCTCACATCAGCCCAAGACATGACTGTCACAGGCAGATTACAGTTACGCCCCCTACAGGTCTCATCAACGACATCTCAACGATGTACAACCATTCAGTCTACCAAACATCTCAGACCGCATCTACTATGGTGGACCAAGAAATCGAATGTCTGCGAAGGGATTTGTTTAGCAGAGCAGGAATACAAAACCCATCTGTATGTAGACGCTGTTACTCCAAGGTTGGGGAGCTCATCTCACCAACCACACGATATCAGGGTTATGGAATCAGCAAGAATGCAAACTCCATATAAACAGTCTAGAAATGAAAGCTGTAATCAATGCCATTCTACATTGGAGCACATTTCTACAAAATGCCTACTTAATGATCCATACAGACAATTCGACAGTGGCGTTTCTACATAAACAAGCAAGGCTCAACGAGATCGATGAACCTTTGAACCTAAGCTTTCAACTGTTCGATTTTATACAAGATCTAAATCTACATGTCAGAGCAGTGCACATTCCCCGAGCCAGAAATATACTAGCAGACGCTCTCTCGCCTCATCTACCATCACCGACAGAGTGGATGATCAACAGGAAATTTTTGCACAGATAATCAAGCAATTAGGAGCCGCTAATAGACCTATTCGCCACGCGATTCAACAATCAGCTACCGACATTCGTGTCACCAGTCCCAGACCCCCAAGCTTGGGCAACGGACGCTCTAAGTCTATCATGGGAAGGCCTCAATGCGTACGCGTTTCAGCCGCCAGCAATAATACCTCAAGTATTACAGAAAATCAGACAAACACAGAGCCTACAACTCACTTTGGTCGCGCCCTACTGGCCGGCCAGAACGTGGTTTCCCATACTAATTCAAGAAATCGGTCAACCAACACTGGAGCTACCTAAGCGCGCCACAAACCTGTTAATTCATCCTCACACCAAACAAGTGCACGGAAAGTGTGTTTAAACAAGAGAGGATATTCTGCCAGGGCGGCAAAAGCAGTCACGCTTGCCTTACGTTACTCAACTCGTAACTTGTACGACGACAAGTGGCACAGTTTCGAAAATTATGCAACAAAGAAAGGGTTTACAGCAAGAGAGGCTTCACAACCTCAAGTGGCAGACTATTTGTGTTACCTACGCCAAAACAAACATTTAAAAGGTTCAACGATATCAACATATCTTGCCGCGCTTAGTTCTGTAATCACCATGAGAACGGGTGTCAAATTGACAAGATCTCCAGAGTTACTGGCCTTACTACGAAGCCCGATTGAGGACCAAAAGCGGAAGTTCCACGCTTCCAGCTTGGGATCTGAATGTAGTGTTACAACACCTCACGAGTGAGGTCTATGAACCTTTGGAATCGACAAACTTTGAATTTCTCTCACAGAAAACACTGTTTCTGCTATCGCTAGCCACAGCAGCAAGAATGTCTGAAATTCACGCTTCTGGATTACGAGAGGATACAGTTTGATGACAATCATAACACAGCACCTCGGATTAAGATGGGATTTCATCGCGAAAAATCAACTGCCAGGTCAACCAGACAGATTATTCCACATCCCGGCGCTATCCTCTATTCTCGGATCAGAAGATACACAAGACCTATCACTGTGTCCGTAAGAGCCAAAGTTTATTTAACTGACGATCCAAAACAAGGAGAAGATTTCTCAAACGCTTATTCATCCCCTTATCGCCTACTTAATCAAACAGAAGTGTCACGGACCACAATATCTATTTGGATAAGGACTGTCATTCTCCGTGCCTACAAGGCAGCAGGCTTGGACCCACCAACAGCATCAAATCCACATGAGATCAGGGCACTGGCCTCTACCCTCACTCTACACGGTAACTGTTCCTTGAACACGCATTATGGAAGGATGCTATTGGAAATCTAACATGGTATTTGCTAATCACTACCTGAGAGACATCACTACAGAAGATGTCTCTGGCATTCACCATTTCGACCACTGGTCCTCGCCAGCAACTGACAGTCCCTCAGAGGCTAAAATATTATCCTCACAAGATTAATATGTATTTTATACATACTCATCTAGCTTATAACTCTACGGAGTTTTAGGGCTATGTATATATGTTCAGCTTAAGTATTCAACCTTAAGCATATACTTTGGTATAGTCAATTTCAGTGCCTCTATCAGAGTCACCTATATATATATATATAATTTATATGTATTGTTCAATATATTCATAATGTAATTCCCCTTTAATGGCTTTATATAACCTATGGTTTCTTTATACAGGAAACATCCTAAATCTAAGCCTTCATGAAGTTCCCGTAGGGGATATTACAGTATATCTATACAAAATCACTAATTATAAATCCAAAGTATTATGTTACCCACCTCCGCTCCAGAGGATGCTACAAGCAAAGAGCATGAGTCAGGATAAGGAAAAATATGTAATTTTTAGAGTAAAATTGATATTTTATACTTATCCTGACTCATGAGGTTAGCCCTCCCATCCTCCCCACATAACACTTTGGATTTCCCTGTAAATTCAAGTGTTGGGCTCGCTAAATCAGGAGAGAGTGGAGCACATGGCCAGAGGGTGGCGACACCTTTCCCGCCAGGGGAAGCAAAGGGGAGCAACTCGTGGTGAGTACCAATTAGTGATTTTATTTTGAAGGGAGCTTCAAATAAGGAGATACAAGTGTTCCACTATGTTCGCAAGAAGAAGAAGACAAGCAAAAGAGCATGAGTCAGGATAAGTATAAAATATCAATTTTACTCTAAAAATTACATATTTGAATTAATTTCTAGATTGAGCTTGCCAATGGACTTGAGAATGACTCTTATGCTGAGCCGATACAACGTCTCTCTGACTTGGAGTGGCTTCAGCACAAGCAGGAAAATGAATCTATCATAGACGATCTCTTCACTGGGCAGCTAGTCGAGGCCTATCACTGTCTAACAGACAACCACATATCTGTAAACCTTCAAGCTTTCAACATCCTCCCAGTTCCCATCGCAGCACCACGGGAAGTGTCGGGGGTGGTGTTTCTCGAAGACTGTTTCACTAGTTTCTGCCATATAGAGCATCTGATGGGGCCAGATGAAATGGACTGCACGTACTGTAGAGCAGACACCAACAAGAGCAAGAAAAAAGGGGAAGAAGAACTCAGTGAATGATGTGTATATGTCCAGCACGCCACGGACTAGAAGTGTAACAAGAAACATGAGCGTTGACTCGGCAGTTCAAAGTCCAGCTCCTCCACCAGCCTTCATGTCCCCAATCGTCGGGCAGAGGGACATTATCAATGATAGTGGTTTCCATGACAATATCTTCAAAACCTCCACTCCAATCATTGAGGCTTGTCAGGGGGTTGGGAATCAAACTCGGCAGCATATTCGAGACGTGCAACGACGGTGCCTTTTAAGACAGTTACCTGAGTGCCTGGCTATTCAGCTTATGAGATTTACGTACAACCAGCGCACTGGAAGGTCCAAGAAGATTAAAGCTCCTGTTAGCATTCGAATCAAAGATCTCAACCTGACCAACATCATCTATGACACAGTGACGGAAGAGAAGATCTCACAGCCATCGACCTCAACCACACGTACAACCTCTTCAGTGTCTGTGTCCATCTCGGTGCTGAAAGCACCAACCATGGACACTACATCAGTTACTGTTTGGTAGATGATAAATGGTATCGGTTTGATGACGAGAATGTCGCGGAAGTCAATATGGAGTATGAGCTGACAACGAGAGAACTACGCGAGAATGCTTATATTCTTTTCTACAAGCGAGTTCACAACTAGGCTTTGTTATTCCTAGTCTATCTAATCTCATAGCGGTATTGTTGAAGTACCAAACTATCTAGGGCAGTTTTGGTTACTTGTATGGGAACCCTTGTGAGGTTGTCCTTAAAACTCTTTCAGATAACACTCAGATATTAGTGGGATAATCATACTGTCAGATTGTTAGATTCGGGTTAGACTAAATAATTAAACAGGGAATTTTTTCATTTCTACTTTCAGTCAAAAAGCTTAATAAATCTTGTTAGTTTTCTTCATATTGCAATATTCATAATTGATTCTTTGTTTTTAACCATTATCCGCTAAGCAAATTGTCTCTAATATGTAAAGAATGTTAATAAGTAAATGCTAATGGAGCTTTTCACAAAAGTCAAATTTTCTTTTAATGTTGTAGTAGTGACAAGACACTAGAAGAACAGCTGCATTGTGAGGAACACTTGGACCAAAAACACCTTGGTAGTCATTTGTTTTGTTAATTTATGGAAAAACTAGTACTGATAAGTAAAAAATGGCAAGCCATTAGTATTTCCTTGCTGGTATACACCAAGGCATAAGTTATAAGTATGTAAGTTTGTAAGGCATCAGATGCCAGTTTTACAAGGGCAATCTACATTGGGGTTGTCTAAGACATTGTTCCCATACAAGTAACTTGAGAATATGGGCACAGTGAGTGTGCTATACCTAACATTGTAACACTGATATTGTGAGTGGTCCATAAAGAGAATGAATTCACCAGAACAGCTTTAAGGATAAAAAACTTTGTTCTCAGTTTAGTGATTATGAAATCCAGTATTGATTTTGATGCATAATTTCTTAAAACTGAAGTAAGGCTTCATGACTAGTCAGGCTGAATCCAGTGGAATATTGCAGGTCGGAGTACGATTAGAAAAAAGGAGTTATAACAGTTAATTATTTTTGTCTGTCTTGAAGAAAGTTTAATCTAATTTTATACGTATGAGAGTAAAGATAACATATTTGCTACATAAGCATTTAGAGAGAGTGAAAACTGATTATTTCTACAACCCAATCAGATTTTGTTGAGAAAGTCCAAACTGACGTAGGATGTTACTGGTAGGGAGTTATTATCTCCTTGGATGGTCAACCTTGGATAGGTAAAAATTTCACTCAAATTCAGCTTGTTAGCAAATATAAAAAGATCAATGAAAATATCATGAACTTGATCACTTTTCGTCAAACTTTCAAAGGGTTAACAAATGCATACTGATAGTCAGACACAGGAAATCAAGTCGGTCTAATTCTCTTTTAATACAAAGATTAATGATTTTATGTACACTTGTACATTATCAGTGACAAAATGATAGTTAAAAAAAGGAATTTTCTGCAGTTAGATAAAAACACCTAAATTATTTGAAATATATAGAGTTTGAAATATTTGTCTCAGTAATGAGAGAAAACTTCAACTGGAAATATCCAGGTAATACATTGTTATTCAAATTTAGATGCTAACTCTTCCTATGAGTTAGTTATTTTGCTTAATATGGCAGTCAAAAATTGCATAGAATTCAAACTTGATCACTGACAGAAATATTTATGTCATTTAAAAGTAAGATAGAAATCGTGAGCTGATTTGACAATGGCAAATAATAGGATTGATATGGAACCATGATTGCTTTGACATGTGTAGTTAAAATGAAATATACATACCATCATAATTTTAATTGAGTTTGTCTTGAATAAATTAGACTCTTAAAATGAATTAACTTGACCTGTCATTCGATAATCTTGGTGTAGTGATGACAGATCTAGAAGTGTAAGAAATGAAAAAAGAACTGTTGTAAATGAGGCAAGGACAGTTTAAATAGTTTTAATTGAATATATTTATATTTTAACCCGGTTTGTTTAACAAAAACTTGGCAATTTTTAACTGTTACGTTGATGTGTTTTATGGGTGTACAGCGCCGTTACTGGGAGTCAGTCACTGAAGAGTTAAATCTTTCAGCTGAGGCTCTCTGTTGGGTCAGCTTCATGTCTTGTTATCCATCGATTGTGTTACTTTGTGAGACTACGCATAAAACTGTTTTACATGGTTTTTATATGGTGCTCTGAATCGTCAAGCAGGCCACTGTACATTGTTGTAGAAACTATTTTTGTAAACTTATTTAAACTTCACTAGCACATCTGTGAATAGGCGTGAGAATAGAATGTGAATAGCAATTGCTTCTGTTGCATAATGTTGTGAATCTGGCTGATATTCAATGAAAAAAGTTGTATGCAAATCAAACTGTGCATTTATATATTTCATTATGTCTGGTGCTTATGACATGTCTTCTAACAGCCATGACGATACCAACTTATTTAAGTGATATTTTATTATTTCATGTCATATCATTCATCATGCTCATCATCTTGATCATTTCTGTGTGTATTTTCTTTTACTACATAAAAGATACAGAAAAGTTGCTATTTAAAGAACCAATACTATATTCAGCTATCTATCAGTTAACTGGGCTATTCTATGAACATCTCCAAGCAAGTATCACTTAAATTGTTTTGAGCATATTGCAATGAGAAAGGTGAATATTGAAGTATATCAGCCACATGCTTGTTCTTTGTTATTGTGTAGAAATAAGGGGTTGAGAGTCACTAAAAACGAAAACAGTGTTTCTCTTCAAAGGTCCGAGAGCACCTGGCTTTGAAGCTGGTGGCATGATTTGAGCAAGGAAAGATAACTCTTCTGCAAAAGACCCTGTTCATGTCACATTTATAAAACTAATATAGGAACAAATTGTTCACATTGCATGTAGGTAGGTGCAGGCTACCTTAGTTTCTGGATCGGGTAAATATGTTTTACTCCTGAATATACTACCCAGATCCTTTCCTCCACATGTAAACTGATTGTCTGATACATTACGTAAATTCATAGAACTGAAATAATACACAAGACTTATAGTTTCACTAACGATGCTGACAATGACAAGGCAAAACATTGGACTTGAATCTAACATTTGAACAATTTTGATTCGTCCACAAATGAACACCACAATATCCAGTTTAGTCAATATTCATTTGTTCCATGTTATAAGAGTAACATTAATCCTTCACATTTCCAATGTATAAGGAATCAAATGTTTGGCCACATTGATAAAGTAAAGTTATAATATGCTCACAGACAAATTTGTGTGCGATTCGTGTTGACTTAAGCACGGTATTGGATATGAATTGGCTTGTTATACCTTCAAGTATGTTTTGTTTTAAGATTTCTTTAATCTCGTCAGCAGATGCAACGGCTTCCATTGCCGTTCCATTGTACATTGGATGTTTGGAGCCAGATGTTTCCAGATAGTAGATGTACCTCCATTGTTAAAGCTCATTTATGCATTGCACATTGGTTTTGAGTTGTGGAGTTTAGATCAAAATATGACCAGATGTCTTTTTTTTAAAGTTTCAATCACTATGACGGTCACGTAGGTAAGGGAATTAACTCTGTAAAACATGTCTTGTAATAATACTGTGACTCCTAAATTTCTACCCGCCATAGACCTAACTGCATATTTTAAATAACCTACACAATGGTGAAAAACAATTTGTGGCTATATTCTATAGCAACATGTATTTCAAAACTGTTAGAAGGGATCTAGCATTTGGACTTTGGAAAATTGCTTACTTTGGTCATGGAAATGTTAACAGAATATTAATACTTAAATAAGAGTCTTGTAACTGGTATCATGTAAGCTAGGGGTGGAATGTTTTCTGTAATTTTGTTCCATCAAGTTACTGAGTGGTAACAGCAGTAAAAGAATCTGTTCATCATGTCTAGACTGTGCCTTGAACCCCCACCATTGTTAATATTTCTCTTGACCCTCATTGTAATATTCCTGGAATTGTACCAAGTGACATAGCTGTACTCATATTTGGCTTATGTACAGGTACAGATAAAGCTATTCTTGTTTCCTGTGGTAATTTGTTGAGAAGCTGTAGAAGCTAGTTAGTCAGTAGCAGGGATGACAATTTTCCGCAGATCCGTGGAATTCCATAAGGCCATGGGTCATTTTTGTGAATCGTCTAAATTCGTTGACAATTGTATGAATGTGCGTCAGCAGATTTAAAGTTTTTTAATGGTTGCTGTGTTCATGATATTGTCATTTCTGAGCCAGTTTTAAAGGTCTAAAATGCCTAAATATCAGGGGTTTCGGCTAGTTTTCAGAGTTTTTCTCAAAACTTCATTCTCATCCCTGCAGTAGAATTCATAATACAAACTAAAGCATAAGTGGAAATGGGTATGAGCATTAAAACATCCCAGTATTTGTGTGTATGCACTGTCCCAAGTTAACAGACATTAAAGGTCCAGTTTCACTTGCCCAACTAGTCTGGAATTTGTTCGTGTTTTGACATTGGTCTGTGCATAGTCCAATGAAGAGAGTGTAATGAAACTGCTCTTCGGTTCGTAGACTGCCTTGCAGATTTTGATAGTTTGCAAAGTTATTTACTGAATCTGTCATGTTTTAAATCAAGCTACCAATGGAATTAAATGGAATTAAACCTAATTTATTACCTAATAGATGTTGATCTTGTTTGAAGCAAATGCAAGTACTGTGACAGGTGCAATGTGGTAGGTCAACAACAGGGACATAGAAAACAAAACTTGTAGAAGCTACATGTGGTGCAACAAGTGAGAAACAATGTATGAAATAAAGCCTGTCCTACAGCCTGAGACGGTCTAGATTTCTGACGGATGGTCTAAATTTATAGTTAACCAGCCTGATTTTTTAGATGTTTTTATACATCCGAGGTATAAATTCACCATATTTGGTATGGTTAAATCCATTTCGGGCTGGAAACATTTTTAATTTACCAGCCCTGATATCGGGCTGGATTTTTGGCTTATTTCATACACTGTTACATTTGGTAAATGAGCAGGTGCCATTGTTCCTATATGGCTGTTTTCCTACTTGTTTCTGACATATTTGTCAGGAGAAGATCTGAAGCGGTTTGTTCATTTCTTTAGGTCCATATAAGAATATAGTTCTGTGTTATGTAGTCTTGTGGGTTTGAATCAGTGCAATGGGGATACGCATTATTACGGTTTTGTTTATCCCGGTTTTGTTCTCCACATTAATACATTGGGTATACTTTCCCAGAGTTTTCTTCTAATGGCTGGAGACCTGTGAAGATCCGGGTTAGAATTGGTCTTCAGCAACCCATGCCTGTCTTGGAGGCAACTAAAAGGAATGGGTGGTCATTCTTGCTGACTTGACATGGTTGACACATGTCATAGTCATGACAGTATCCCAATTCTCTAGATCAATTCTCATGCTAGGATTGTATGGTTCAGACTTGATTATTTACAGACTGTCGATATATAGCTGGAATATAAACAACAAATAAACATTCAATGGCTGGAATATTGAACAAAGTGTACTGAAACCATACCAAGATGCGTATCTGTTATATTTAGTTGCAGCTAATTTATTTATCTCTTTACATTCTGTGTTGTTTTATTTCATCATTTTTTTTATAGTAGAACCTGTTTACATATTTTTTTGAAGCTCTGCCTCTTTGGCAAATGAAACTATAAAGTTCTATGATTTACATTGCCTGATGATATGTTTGAATGTTATCCAGAAGTTTGATTACTATGTCACAAACGCATTAACAACATGCATATCATGTCATTTCTCTGTGCATCATCAACTATCTTCTTGCCATTCAGTACTTAACAGTACTTTCTTCAAAGCAGTAGTACTAATTAATATGAAAAAAAAACTTATCAGTTTCACTGTCTCATTATTGTTTTGATAAAAATATTCCAAAATATTGTAACTGTTCCACAAGTTCTTGTATGTAGCCCAACACCCTTGTCATTAATGATTTGATTCATATGGACAGTGAAGTATGTTGAAAATGAATGTTGATAAACTAGTTTTGCAGTATTGATTGTGTAAACTACAAGTTTGAAGGAAAATGTAACATCGTCATTGATTAATCAAGTGTACAACATTGGCTGACAAAAAATAAATTGGCAAAATTGTAAATGTAAAGTCGTTTAATAAATTTGATAATGTTTATCCTTTTAAGGAAATGAGTAGTTTTCAAAGAAAAGTTTAAAATGTTAGCAGAATGTGTTTTCCAGCACGCCGCCTTGTAGAGTTGGGTTTCCTTGGTGAATTTAATGTTAGGTGCTGAAAGACATAGGCCAACTTTTGGAACTGAGACTTTGGATGTTCAGAGTGTCAGTGCAGATTAAGTTACACCTTTCTTGTTTTGAAGAGAACTAATGTTTGGGTAACTTGCTGAATTGTTACTTGGAAGGGTAGTATATGACAGGGTATGTAACATCTCCAACCTGTAGACAGCTGTTGAATAGATTACAGGTCGCTTCCCTAATGTGCAATGGGGTGGTCTTGTGGTTAAGTTTGTTGACTCACCATGTGGAAGACCTGGGTTTCGTTCCTCCACATGGACAGCCCATTTTTAGTGTTCTTTGCTGTCATATTGCTGGAACATTTCCTAAAGCAGCTTGTGTGATGGGTAGCCTCGTGGTGACAGCGTTTGCTTGTCATGCCAAAGAAATGGGTTCAATCTCCTTCGTGGGTACAATGTGTGAAGCTCTTTTCTGGCACCTTATATTGCAGGAATATTTATTTTACTCACACTAAAAGCTGGTCAAAACCCTACTCACTAACACTGTAAGCTCCAAACAGATTTGTTATTGCCATACTAGTAGCATTCAGAAGTATATGTTTAAAAGGTAGGAATGTGTACTTAGTTTGTACTCACAATGACAGTTCAAACTTTCCTATGTCAGATAAATCTTCATTTCTGTAACATGCTTTGAAGAACAGAGATTACACAGGATATTGATGCAAAGCAACTTCATAGTGACTTGGACAGGTACAGATGTGTAACTCAAGATCATGGTTTCTTGTTGAATAGTGAAAAAATAAATGCACAGTTATGAAATCATGATGAATATATTTTGTCTTTATTGCCATTCTTTGTAAAAAGGGAGAGTGGAAGATCGCGGGTTTGATCCCCGACCGCGTCATACCAAAAGACGTTAAATATGGTCATTGTTGGTCCCTGCCTGGCTCTCGGCATTAATTGGTAGAACAAGGACTGGTCGGCTCCGAGTCAGTATAATGTGTCTGAGTGGGGTATTCATGTTTCACTGCGGCATGGTATCTCAGTGGGCTAGCACTATAAAACCAGCTTCAGTCTGGGCTAGTACAAGCAGCCGCACATACCCATACACTACGTCATATGAGCGAAATAATCTTATGTACTATGTTAAACCCATTTCACCTCACCTCTGCCCAAATGGTTTGCTCTAAAGACTGGCATCTTTGACTTTCCTCACATATGGAGCTGACACACCAGTGGCCGTATGCACATGTCGGGGGTAGCTAACGTCAGGCGTAACACACTACGTCGGGCTTAGCAGCGCCCTGCTCTTACACGTCATGCACAACGTCGGTTAAGCCTAGGCGTTACTACGCCCGACTTAACGGATTTACGTCGAGGCGCAGTGTGCTCTTTTTTAGATTTTCGAACGTTTTTAAACCACCGGTTAAAGGCGCGAAACAACTTCGCGGTACATCCCTTTCAGCCGTAATCATGGAAAGCCAAAGAAAACCGAGAAATCCAAACTTTACCGATGGATCCTGGTGGAGAAATAACATGGACTTTCAAAAAAAGGCTTTATCAGAAATGTTGCCATTTTTGACACATTACAAAATCACGATTCACAGCATTATTTGGTGTATGTTTTGAAATGTTCAAATCGGATAATTACTATTCAGAAGTATTGAATTTCAAAAATAGCATATTAATGATCACTGATATCCGGTTTTCATGAAATCACTAATGATAATTCTGAAAATACACTTACACGAACGCCGAAGTGCGCTTTCCGTCATAGAATCTATAATGTTTACAAAATCACGTTTCGCGAAGGCCGGAGTTGAAAATGTGCGCCTGATAAAAAACTCGGCATCCAGTGCCGCCATTACAAGGCTACGCCTGGCTTACGCCTGCTGGGTAGGTGGCGTAAATATAGAGCGCTACGCCTGGCGTAACTTTAGCTACGTCTAATAAGATATGCATACCGTTTTAACGTTACGCCCGGGGTCACATCTGACTTACGCCCGGACTAGAATTTACGCCCGACATGTGCATATGGCCACTGTACACAGATCCTTAGAGTTGGCTTAATACTTCCTCACTAGGGATGAATGTGTCAGAAAGACTGAAAGTAAGGCATTCATGTTGAATTTTTTACACATGAATTATCTGTAAATTTTATTTGATAAACAACTATTTGAAATTTTGCTCTGATGAATATTATTTGAGAAGTATATTTAATATGAATGTATGTCTGCATTTCCAGAAGCGGTGGTGTAGCCAAGCGGTTAGAGTGTAGGTTTGTTACACAGAATGGTTTCACAAAGAGGTCTAAGGATGGATCTAATGATGGTCTTTAGCTGTTAAATGTTTATTATTACAGTAGCGTTATGCTGGCTTTTTTGGACGGGGACATTGGCTGCAAAATGCAACAGTAGTGTTAGGCAGGCATTGGACTTATGCTTAGTGAACACAGACAAATGATACATTTCTGAGACAGTTGAGCAAAATATTCTCATTTTGACAGCATGTCTTGTCATGGGATACGTTGATGTGATTCCGCATCCAGACTGAACCATACAGATCAGCAAGGAGAAAGAAGACAATAGCTTATACAAAACCAAACAAACATGAGGTGTTGATACTGATGGTTGTCACCCAGCCATGCTTTCCACTGATGAAATCCTCAATAAATCCATCAAATCCGTCACTTCAATGACCAAACACGTGTCAATCCCTGGTTTTAGTTGTTCCATATGTCCTCTCACAGTTGAACAACTGCCTTGAATCTGCGTGTGACGGATGTCTACAGTGAAGAGGATGCGACCACCTTCCTACGAGTGAGTCAGTGAGTTTAGTTTTACGCCGCATTCTGCAATATTCCAGCTATATGGCGGCGGTCTGTAAATAATCGAGTCTGGACCAGACAATCCAGTAATCAACAGTATGAGCATCGATCTACGAGATTGGGATACGATGACATGTGTCAACCAAGTCAGCGAGCCTGACCACCCTATCCCGTTAGTCGCCCCTTACGACAAGCATTGGTTACTGAAGGTTCATTCTAACCCGGACCTTCACGGGTAACCTTTCTACGAACACCTGGTGCCATTACATTCCTTAGCACGTGTTCATATAATTGGAAAAATACAACTGACTGCTTTTCAACAGATATTCATTATAAATATTAATATGAAATATGTACAATTTAAAGTGAAGATTAATTAATGCACGAACAACACAAGATCGCTGGTAATTTTCACTGTATTCATGTAAATATGCTGTTTAAGTGTCGGTATAAGGCACCAGAAACAATTAAACAGTGCCTTTACGATTTTAACGTTCAAAC